TGCAAAAAAAGTGGCGTTTTTTGAGATATTCGAGTTTGAATGTTTACTTGCATTTTCCGAGGGGAAAATGGAAAATTCCGGAAAATCGGACCTCACCATCAGAAAGCTGAGGAAATTTCCTGTCAAAATCATTAGTTAGTTATTTTTTTGAGGGGCGTTTTGATACTTTTACAGCGAGTTAGAAATTGAGAGATTCGGCCAAAAAATGCCGTGCGGCAGAGCGCTAGGACACTTCAGGAAATTTGCCCCATATATATACTCCCGTCCGACGCGTAATTCAAGCTCAACGTTGTTAGCAAAGAGATCGGCTACTTGTGTAGGCCTCACACACACACACACACATACACACATTCGTAAGCCGCTATAGGTCATGTTTACTCGTGACAACGAATTCGTCGTAAACGTTGTCCTCGTTGGAAAATGTCGGGCCCTTTGGCAATCGGTCCAAGTTGCCGTGATTTGCTCGCCGATGATCGGCCCAAGTTCATGGACACACGAGGTCATAAGCAGCCTCCATGAGAGTCGACTGCATATAATATCTATAGATATTATACTCTGGGAGCTGCAGCGCTATAAAACGCAGCCGGCCCTCGAGACTCGAGACTCGCAAAGGCTATAAATACGAGCGAGTGTCGTGACTCGTCGTCGTCGTCGTCATCGTTGCGGTTGATTTTTCGCAGCTCCGTCCGATAGCTACAGAGACTCGATATATATGGCAGCGAATCGCCGACTCGACTGCTTGAATCGCGACGATGATGGCTCGAGGGGGAAAAAGTAGAAAATAGCCATTGGATAGGTGCAACTGGGTGTCAGTGCCGGTCAATGACTACTTAGGCTGTGCTATACCAGTTGCATAATAACGAGCCTCGCGCTACTCGGCGATTCGCTTTTAGTTGGAGTTTTTTTTCTTTCCTCGCTCTCGGCATCTCCTGCTACGAAGCTGTGCGCGCGATTCTAGTCGTTTCCGTCGCGACTGCGAACGTCGAATTCGAGTCGTCTACGCACAATGGAGAGCATTCACGATCTGCGCTATCAACACAGAGGGCAAGCTTATTTCGCGTATTTGCCAAACCTTCTCGTGCAGTCACGCCGTCGACTTTGTAATATATACATAGGAGCGATAAGCCGGCCGACGAGTCGCGCTGATAAGGCCTAAGTCGTGTGCAGAAGAGAGAGCGAGAGCTAAAAGCTCGCTCATTCAAGGTCGCAGAAAAATATCCATCGGCTCGATTGGCAATTCCGTTGGCGGACGAGGCCGACATCCTTTGCCGATCGCTCGACGGCCCAGCGGAAATCGGCGCGAATGCCATTCGTTACTTTGTATTTTATAGCTCGCGCCATAGACTGCTTGTATGATCAATGACGAAAAATTGTTGACGTGACGTAACGACGCGTCGGCCCCTTGGCATCCTCGCTGCTCGCGATGCGCTTCGAATAACGCAAGCTTGCAATTAAACTCGTACTCGATACGTGTGTTTCTGCATGTGTCGAGCTTATCGACGACGGGACTGCGCGCGCGGCTATTACAGCTATTGTGCAGCTCGATGATTTTACGTAAGCGCCAACGTGTGTCCCTGCAGCACGGATCGCAATTACGTCGCCGAGCGCGATCGCCAGCTGCTATTATACGCACGTCGTAATTATCGTACGGACCGAATTACATAATTGTTGTCGGCGGTGCAAAACCGCCGACCGACACAGAGATGGGCGACTCGACTGTTGAACTTTTGCGAGTGTTAAACAGATGCGCCGATCGAATGACCAACCGACTGCCAAATGCCAATAATTACAATTGGCGGTATACAGTGCACGGATTCGTGGCGAGCAACTCTTATCGGAATTCGAACGAGCGAGCGAGCTGCGAGCCGCGGAGAAAGTCCGCGATTCATCGACGTACTCGCTCTGCTGCTGAATCGGCCAATCTTATCGCGGCGACGGGAGGGCCGTATACGTATAATAATAACGAGTGCGGGGGAGTTTCTGATATGCCATGCCTTTCTTTTTTTCTCTCTCTCGAGCGGATCGCATCCGGCTATTGTGTGTCGACTCTTTGTTACCTTTTGCCCAGTTTAGCTGCGTTTGGCTATTTTCCATGCGAACCATTTGAAACTGCACCTGGCGCAGAATCCTTCGAGAATCAATCCGTGAATTAATAAAATATTACAAAATTGTATTGTTTCGCACGGGAGAAGAATAATTGCCAGCACAGAGCCGCGCAAATTGTCAAAGTGTCCAAGCAAGAAAAAAGCTCACATCAAGCCGGTTGCAATTTTATAAATTGAGAAAGCTGAAGACGACAATAAGAATGATAAGAGAAACGAGTTGGGAGCAATTTGTATTTAGACGAGCCGATGTGTGAAGCGAATCGCAAGTAACGAGCAGTGCAAGGAATAACATAATCGGGTCCCGAGCACACGACTGGCAGAAGAGCTCCTGAGCATGGTCGAATCTTCGATAATGGGGCGACGCGTACGGGGGGGTGCAATCCAAATGACAAACTAAAATCTACATGTGCTGCAACTATGTAGATATAGTCTTTTATACACGAGTACATAAACATGTAACATCGGACAGGGGTGAGCGTCGAGTATTGCGTCATAAATACAAATCCGCAGCGCCAGCCAAACTTTAGCTTCGCAATAGCTTATGTATAGATTGTAGACCAGCGAAAAAGCCCTTTAATCCACGCACGAAAGCTCGGCCAAAATTCGGATCATCCTCGCTCATCGTTGATATTCGCAAAAAGTAATGGTATGCAGCGCATAGCGCATAAGTGTGCATCGGACAATGTGTGCGAACTGTGACTGTGTATAGCTATATAGGAAAGGACGGCGAGGATGCCGTGACGTAGTCGACTTTGCGATCGAAAGAGAACGAGAGGGAACGAGAGAGAAAGATGAGAGACCGGCTGTGTGACGCCAGCAACACAGTTGCCGATTGGCCGAGGCTCGCTCTCTTTTGCGCTCTCTCGCCAGTCGCGAGTCGCCGCATAGCATACTACTACTACGTCAGATGTATAGAGTGTGTGCAAGCTGCAACTATATAGCGAGAGAAATATCTGCTGCTGCTGCAGGCACACAGACACAGAGAGCGAGCTGAGCTACGTAGGTGCAAGTCGATTTTACGCGCGCGACTCTCGCTACTTTGGCTCACGATGCTGCAGCGCACGAGTAAAGTATATATATAAAGCGACTGCAGGAGGAGGTAAAGCCCGTATAGAGACCCAGTTTGCGCCGGGGCGCATTCTCGAGCGTCCGCCTCGCTCGAGCGAGAGCCAACGCGGCCAGACACGCTATGCAACATCGCTATATGCTATATAGCAAGTAGGGAGGGAGTATATAGCATTAAATTGCAGCCTACTCTCCTTATATATACACACACACATACCTCCCCCGTTGCCGAGCCAAGCAACAGCTCAGAGAGACAAGAGAGAGAGAGAGAGAGTATATATCTCGTTACCGTTAAAACCCGACTCAACTCCCTTTTTCCTCGAGCACGACGACGACGACAGCGCAAACTTATTCGTGGAATCGTGCTCTGCTGATGCAGGAGAAGCTCGAGGCGAGCGTAGAGTCGTAGTGCGACGTTGTCGTTTATTCGCGAGTAGTACATAAGAGTATATATACAAGAGGAGGTAGGCAGAAAAACGAAAGAGAATAAAAAGGAAAGAACGAGCATCATTTTTGGGACCATTTCTTATTCGCGGCGCGCCGAGCAGCAGCAGCAGCAGCGCAAAAGAGAGAGAGAGAGACCTTTTATGAATGCCGCGCGCCAACGATGCACGCCCTCGACCTTTCTTGCTTCTCTCTTTTTCTCTCTCTCTCTCCACAATCCACGATTCAGCGATCCACGAGGCAGCAGCCGCAAATCCACTACATACCTATATTTAAACTTGTCGATTGTTCATCTCGCGCATTATGTGCGCAGCTTAGTTATACCTATGTATACTAACGGTCCAGAGTTTAGCAGATTTGTTTTTCTGTGCCGCCCAGTTTGTCCTACTATTATATATGTTTTGTGTGCATACACGTCGTCAGGCTCCTTCTCTCTCTAACTTTTTTTATTTCATTTTTCGACCCTTTTCTCTCCTATTGCGACTTTTATCGCCTGTTTCGCCTCGAGACAATGTTTGCCAACAACGAGGCGTGCTCCCAATATTTTTTATCCCATCTCCGAGATGCTAACGCGAGCTTGTGCCGTGCAACAATTGCGAAGAGCTCGTTGAGAGCGCGCGCCTTGCTTCCCTCGTTTAGCCGTGAAAACGAAAAAAAAACAGAGAGAAAGAAAGAGAGAGAGAGAGAGAGTAAAGAAAAAAATAAAGGCGAGCGACTACTGCACGCGAGAAAAACACGCTCGCCAGTCGCTGCAGCCATATGTCCAGAGTATTCCAACGCATGCATTGTATATATCGTATACACGAGCAGTTTGCGCAGCAGAGACATCGGAGAGCGAGAGAATCGGCGCGTCGCATTTTGCTCTCTTCGACTACATTATATAGCTATAGGTATGCCGTGTATACATAACACACATTTATATAGATAGATCGCGGTGGAGGCGACGGGGGGGCACGAGACGGAAGGGAAAGAGGCAGCCGAGTACGCAGACTCACAGTCACGTCGCGCGTGTGTCTGTGTGTAGTATGGAGGCGCGAAGGAGAGGAGAAGGGCCAAGAGGGAGTAGTGGCAGCGAATCTTCGTGTATCGTATATTTCACGTGCTATATATATGCGTTCAGCATTATTACAGCTCCCGAGCGCTATATACTCTATATAGCTATAGCTATAGATATATATGTGGCGCGTTTCGCACTGTTGCCACTTCTCCTTGGCGCGCGGCGAACGTGCGGCGTGCGCGCGCGATAGCCGATCCACCTCTACGTATGTGTGTACATTTAGCCAGACGTGCAGTATACGTCGTTTTATATATACCTATCGGCTGTGCGCGAGCTGTTCGGAGCAGCTCTCCCCTCTCTATACTACGCTCGTCGCTCGCTATATAGCTCGACCGCCGCCGACGACGACGACTACTACGACGACGACGACGACTTTGCGCGTCGCTCGATGCACTCGCACATATATAAGGCCTGCAGTGTGTACCGACACACTCACACAGTCAGCGGATCTTTCGCTAAGCCTGTTCCCACTTCCCCGCGCATAGCAGCCAGTGTACCGTGTGTGTCGGAGCGAGCGAGCCGGTCAGTCGCTTCCTACTCTCCGTACAGTAGTGACGCTCCGAACAGAACAGAAGCGCATTTCACGCAACCGCACGACGCGCCAACATCCATCGCCACACACATGTGTATATATATCTTGTTCTCCTAACGTATATATACTTGTACGTTCGACGACGCAGTTGAAACGCGTATATACCCATATTCTCTGACTCACTACACCGACACACCACATCTCTCTCTCTCTCACTCACTCTCTTTCTCTTTATACACACGAGACACACTTTTGTGTGTCGAATCGCTCGCTCGTTTCAACTGTTTTTTGCCCGCTCTCGTTTGCGCCTGCTCCAAAAAAGCTCGGCCGAGGCCTGCGAGCTAGTAAGCTAGGCGCTTTCACGCGTTCGCAACCCAACGCAGAGTAGCAGCAGTGTGTGCCCGATTACTGTCGCGAGCCAAAGTTTCGCGAGTGCTTTTTTCGTCCAAGCTCCTTCGAATTTCATCGACCATTCTTCGACTCTGGTATAATTTTTTTATCGACAAAAAATTAAAATATAATAACAGTGCTGCGAGAAATCGTGAAATAATTGCCGAGCTAATAATTGGTGACTACTTGCTTCGTTGTTGATTGTGCGACGAGAAGAAGATAAAAAAAAGTGTTTAAAGTGTTTGCATCATCGAAGACATGCCGGGTCAACCAGTGATACAGTCGCACCTCGACTAAGCGCTCCTCATTATCTCATCACCCACCAAGGCCTAAAACAGCATCAAAACGACGAAGCCACGCAGATACAACATCGCGGTAACATCAGCATCGTCATCTTGTGCTGATCCGCAACAACAACAACAGCAGCAGCCGCCGCAACAGCAACAAATAGCAGAAGCTAGCGGTGGCAACAGCAGCGTCCACTGGGTGCTACTGCCGTCGCAGCAAACGCCGCAAGCCCCGCTGCAGCAGCAGCAAATCTCCAACGACGATTACCAACGAGCCGTCAAAATAGCTCAACTGAAGATGGGCAAGCGCACGCACTGCTACCTCTGCGATCTGCCCCGCATGCCCTGGGCCATGATCCTCGACTTCAGCGAGCCGGTCTGTCGCGGATGCGTCAACTACGAGGGCGCCGACCGCATCGACGGCGTCATCGAGGCGGCCCGCAAGATGAAGACGTCCACCGGGGGCGTCTACCAGAGCGACCGACCGACCGCTGCGGTCGCGGCCGCTGCCAAGGTCTACAGAACCAGCTCCCACGAGCAGCACAACGGGGCGGCCAACCTGGAGGTCATGCAGCCGATGCAGAGCGCCGTGGCAGCCGCGGCGGCGGCCGCCGGTCACGGCCGACACCATAACATGAACGCGGCCGCGGCCAGCTACGCGCTCCACCACCGCAACGCCATCGGCGAGTTCAACTCGCAGTCGTCGCGACAGCAGCAGCAACAGCAACAACAGCAGCAGCAACAGCAGCAGCAGCAGCTCGGCCAGTCGCGTCAGTCGAGCCAGGCGCAGCACCAGCACGAGGACGGCCACGAGGCCGCCATGGCCAACGGCCTGAGGCCCAGTGCCGGGGTGCCTCAGCGTCTCGGAGCCGCTCAGGCCACGCATCTGACGGCGCACCACGTGTCGCTCGGTCACGCCGGTCGCGGATTGGGCCAGCTCAAGCGCGGTATCAGTGCCCTCGAAGAGGACGACCACCCGGACAAGCGGCTGCAGATCGAAGAGCCGCAGCACAGCGTGAGGCCACCCCTGACTCGGGGCGAGTCTCTTCCCTCGGTCAGCTTGGCAGTGACCTACGTCGACCGCGTCAAGGAAAAGCACCCGATCAGGGCGCCGAGCTTCGAGACCGCCACTACCTTCAAGGCCAACGGTGAGTAGCGCACAAAATTTTGTTACCTCTAACGATCCCTTATACGTCGCTCGCGAGTCACTCGCTCTGTTTATATTTATTCGGCGCATCTGTATTGTAGGGAAGGATCGATTATTGTCGGATTTATTAAAGCGAGCTATAGGTCATTCGGCGAGGAGACTGCAATGTTTGTTTACATTCTTTCGGCTGTGCGTTGCTGTCTCGGATGCTTTTCTCATCGGCGTATTCTCGTGCTCGGAGGAGGAAAAAAAATTCCGTTATAATCGGTATAATACACGGCGTCGGATGTCGGTCGGTGCGCACCGGCTCGCTCGCGATATAAATAGTAGGTAGACGACGACGACGACGCGTTCGTTTGAATTTTTCGCTCGAATATACAAAGCCGAGCGAGCAGGCTTTATCATCGACACTGTTTACCGCAGTTTAATGCGCCAATGTATCGAATGCGATAATGAAAGTGCTCAACGTTATGAGCCGTGCCGATAAGCTGTCTCACTCGAGTACGTACATATGTATGTATGCACGGCTGCCACATTGACAATTGTCAATTCGGTCCGCGTCACGAATGCACGAGTATATGTAATATTAGCATAGGCAGAGTATAGGTGGCGGCGGCGACAAATGCAAAAAGACACCGCGTGAGCCTCGTCGGCCATGCAATGGAAATTTCCCGCGCCAAGTGCAATATAGTCGTCGGCTGCGGCTGCGGCGGCGGATCGATGTTATGTATGTGTAGGGGATAATAATCGTGTGCGTGTCGGTGCAATCGCGAATTCGTGCCGCAGACTGCTGCACATAACGTATACATATACGCGAGACTGGCTTACATTATTATTGCGACCGGTATAACGTCGTTCGGTAATATCGTGCGATGTCGAAGCTATTTGCGGCCGGAGAGAGAAAGAGAATGCAAAGTAGCAGCAGCGCCGGACTCGATACGTTGGTGGAAATGGCAGCGGACTCGAGGCGCGCTCGAACGCGAAAAACGCACACGAGACTCGCGTGTTTATGTCATGTATTATATATGCCGTGTAGCGGCTAGACGTCGTAGAGTATGTGTACTGTTCTAGTTCTCGCTACGATTGGTCGACTAGATAGACGCGCCTGCCGTCAATCGAAAGCAGCCGACTACTTTAGCTTATATACTTATACTATACCAGCTGCCTTATCTCCCTTTTAACGTGAGCTCTTTAATGCGTGCTCTTTACTATTATATATTTGTGTGTATACGGTAGGCGTTGGCGCGCTTAATTGCTCGACGTCGCTCGTCGTCTGGTCGTGTATATAATAGAGTAGCTCGCGAAATCGCCGGCGTGTAAAAAGTCTGTACGCGCCGCTTACAATCAGCGCTCGATCAATTTTCGTTAATAACAGCGAATCGAATTTAATCAGCAAACATCTCTCTGTCTCTCTCTCTGTCTCTCTTGGCGCGCGCGCTTATCTAGTTTCTTCGCGTTGGTTTATTTACCGCTGTCAGAGAGCCCGAGCCCGATCGCAATCCGCCACATTACGGACACGACTATACGCGTGTTTTTGTATGTGTAAGCCCAATTTTGATTGCTCCGAACGATAATATTTACTTTTCTCGCCTCGTAAAATCACCTTCGATCGTCACGGATCTCGCATGCGATTATGTAGTAGCCGTCCGAGTTTTCGTTCAAAAGCAGCAAACATTCAAGGGCCACGGCACGCGAGTCACGTGTGTCACATGGACGGAATGTGTAGCATAATATAATAGCCGCCACCGCCGCGGCTGTCTCGCATTATATACGCTCGCACAAGTCACATGTAATATAAATACACACATGTATACACAATAGGCCACAATGTGTGCGAGCAAAAAAGAAAAAAAAACGGAGTCGAGCGGCGGCGGCGGCGGCGGCAGCAGCCGGCATAGCGTGACGTTTGACTCGGTTGCGCGCTGCGCTCGCCTCTATACTCGCGTGACGTCACGATCCGTGTGTTCGTGCTGTGCCGCACCGTGAGTATACGGGCACTCGTTCCACGACGAATAGGGGGTAAAGTCCTTCCCCCCGCCAACGGCAGCAGCCGCCGCCCGCACTCCTCTTTCCTCTCTCGCGCTGCTATATACGCAGTCCGGCGTAGTCGCACCGTTTCTGCACGCTCCGTACTCGCACTCTCCCCCACTTTTGGACGGCGGCGAGTTTACGCGCCGCGTCGTCCGCTATATTATATTATACATTCGCGATGTAGGTGATTCGAGCATGTTGTGCTCCGCTTCGAGAATATTTAATATATATGTGTGTTATAACTCTCCTTCTCGCTCTCGGTATACCTACTTACTTGCTGTTTCAACGAATTCTTTTACAGCGCTTTTTTATGAGAACGTCCGAGCAAAAGAGAGCTCCTACGTTTGCGTGCGCGAAAATAACATCGAAGCGCTGGCGCTACGCGGAATCGTTTGGATAAAAAATAACCTTTTTCCGATGAATCAATATCGCCGCGCCAGAGGAAAAGAGTCTCTGCTCGTCGTCGCATGTGCATCGCGCAAGAGAGAGTCGCGGCAAAAAAAAAAATTTATCATGGAAATATCGACGCGAGCCAGCAGCGACTCGATGCTCCGAACTGGACGCCAGCGATTCGTGCGCTCCACTTTGCACCGCCTTCCGTACAAACGTCTGCTATTTATTATTATGCCTGTACTGTCTAGGTACAGGTATGCTCGGCGGCTTTATTGGCAACGTTAACCGCTAATCGACTTGGCTTGCTTTCGGATTTCGGAATAGGTATTAGGCTCCGTATAGAGCTCTCGAAAATCTTTGCGTCCCGTTAGCCTCGCACTTTCGCCCGACTGCAGAATCCAAAAAACAAACCAACTTTAATGACTCTACAGACAATAATCCCTCGAACTTGGTTACATCGTACGTCTTCCGATCGATCGTGAAGCTCCTCATGCGCCAACTCTACGTCGCGTTTACGTCGTCGTGTCTATGAGTTGCTCCGGCACTTTACTTCCGCGCGTCCACGAAACGTCATTTATCTCGGCTAATACGTTCATTCATCGGTATAGTGCTGCTGCTAGCTGCTCTAATCAATGTCACTGGCTTTACTACTATACGCTCGTAAACACACGCTTACGATTCCACGTGTAGTATCCACATTTTTCTTGTCACGCTCGATATCTTTCGCGCGGTGTCAACTTAGACGATTCCAAATTTACACTCGGCTCTCGAGTTTAAGTAGAATAATTCGGAATTTCTATTGGTTAGTTTGGGCACGAGAAAGAGAGAGAGAGAGATGATAAGCGTAGTCGAAAAGTGGGGAAGTGTCTCTCGAGCACGTGCAAGCAGACGCTTTAACAAAGGGCCAGCTGTTGCGCGCCACCGCCGTCAATGACAGTTCGTCGCCGTCACCGCCTTGTTTTTCCCTCGAAACAAGAGCGTGTGTGAGACGTCACAATTCGTCGGCTAGTCGAGTTTTTTAAAAATTGAAAGTGAATTTTGCCCACTGTAACACTACCGCTATTTAATCATCATGATACACTCCGTTAGGCTTAACGGAATTTCTCTTTCCATTACGAAATTTTAAATAATCATATTTGACCTTGAAATGAGAGTCAATACAGGTGGGAGTCAGACGCGCCTCAGACTCGTTCACGTTTCCAAACAAAACATTACTATGTAGATTATCTAATGGCATTCCGAAACTATAGTTTGATTCAATTCTTTACAGCTGATTATCGTGTGCTCTTTGAAAGCTTAACCTTCTCTACCTATCCTTCATTTTACGATACCAACGCGAGATAATCTTTGTTTCACTTATTTTATAATATCTCACTGCAGCTATTGCATTACAATTCATTAAGTGCATTGAACGACCGCATTGGAATCTCAATAGCAAAATCGCGATAAAAAATTATTACTTCGCGTTAAAATGCTACTTAACGCCGCAAAAAGTTGTTATCACCTCTCGCTTCTATAATGACGTCAATTCAGAAACGCGTGTAGCTTTGACTGATTTGCCTGATACGGAACTTTTGAAAGAAAAAATTTTGTTCGCGTGCACCGCCTTATTGATTTCGATAGAGACAATAGTTTGATATAAGCACGATTCCTCGATTGTAATCGGCTCTTCCAACTGTTCGGAAATGAAAACATTTTTAACGAATCAGCTATTTCATTAATTGTAAAAATGTGTAATCGATTCACCTCAACTAATGTCGTGTCATAGCTTCTGAAAAATAGTCTTGGGCTAAAAGTGGGACACAGCAATGTAGTTTCGTTTAAACTAGGCATTTTTATTCGCTCCGCATTTATTTAATGTTTCTCTATCAAACATGAAGGTGTTTATGTAAAAATTAATCTTGAATCGAATGTGTAGTATTTTACGACGAGATATTGTGGAGTTAAATTCATTATCATTTTGTTGTATTTAGTGAGATCCCGGGTAAATTTTCCTCTTCAACTGGCATTTATCAAGAACATTATCATTATTATTTATCATTGTTTAATGTACAATTTACCTGTCTTACTACATCTCTCTTGTGTTCCTTTTTTCATTTTTTATTCTACGAGAATAGGCAGTCAGGCTTTGAAATCAAAGTGCACGATTTTTTGTTTTGATTTTTGTTTTGTTTTTTTTTCTCAAAAACAAAACGGCTCGCTCCATTTCGTCATTGTTTCGCGAACTTCGTGCACATACAGTCATTGCATTACTGATAAAACAAGCGAAAATTTTCCATTACGAGCTTTCGTTCATTTTTTTTTCTTTTTTCTTTGAATGAGTCACGCATTATGCATGCACATTATATTGCTCCACAGGAGAGCCAACAGGAAAAGGGAAAAAAGTTTTCGGATGCATTTAAAGAGACGAAAATAAACTCGAGGAAAAGTTAAAGTATTCAAAGATGATTGGCATATCGTCCCTATTAAAAGCTGCTGTATCCAGTTTTTAAAGCAGCTTTTAAATGATAATATTGAATCGATCATTAAGAAGTAGTTACGATTATCACTTAACGAGCTCGAACTCGTTGTATCAGTGCTCGGGTAGGTGTGGAGGTCTAGACGCACGGTAGCCTTGGGCGCGTTTGATTCGTTTAATTTCTGATATCTAACGGTAAGCGCGTCATCGACTGAAAAAATGGCAAAAGAAAAAGGCGCACGTCTTATGGGTCAAAAAATTGTCAAGCGATTTCTTCGGGCCGAATGAACGAGCACCGTTGGTTATCTCTTGCTTATTTTTCGCACCAAGTTACGAAGATCGCGAATGCGCGCGTGTATCGTCGCTGCATGAGTAACCTTATATATTTATTGTTGTGTGTGCAGCAAGAAAGAGAAACCTGCCGATAGCGTGAGCATTACTCAATCGTATAATACGCGTTGTTGATTCATCGGCTACGAGGTTTTTTCTTTTTTTACTTTTCTTCTTTCGTTTGAATAATAGACGGATCGTCGATAGAATCTCGACTGCGTGAGGTCGGCTTGCACGCGACAGTTGTAAATGTTGTTGCGAGAGATCCGATCGACTCGTCGTATGCGTGTGCGCCGAGAAACAAAGGGGCCGAATGAAAGAAAAAAGGCGAATAAAAGTGTGCGCGGCATTACGTAACCGGTGGGAGTTGGCGTATATATAGCCGCGTGCACGTTCGACGAGCTAAATTAAACCGCCATCGAGTCATCGTGACAAATACACATACGCATACACGTAAATAAGCACAAGGCAGTAATGTCATTGTGCGCACATTAGCATTTTATCGGCGATCTCTCACGCGGCTTTTGCCCGCTTTTTTATCGCGATTTATGTGAACGCACGCGAGAGCTTCGAGAGACAACACGACTGCGCGCGAATACCTGCGCGTACAAACACACACACACACACACGTTAGATATGGCGCGGCAATGAAAACATTGCCAGAAACGAAGAAAAAAAATATTTAATCTGAATTTTGCGGCTGACGATGTTATATACGAGCCGGGCCAGCTGCTGAATCAGACTTTCACGCATTTTGACCGCATTGTACGTGTGTGTTAAAAAATATATATAGGCCGTAGGTTTGGCCATGGCTTCTTCGACCTCTTCTATAATTTTTTTAGCTTTTTTAGCCGGCGCACACGTGCGAATTCCTTCACTTTGCGCAACTCTCTAGTCGCGCTTCTATTTTTTGAAGAAAATATCACTGACTCCTTTCGACGCTGCGCGTATTATAACTCGACATGTAGGCATGTGTATACATGTGTCGATGATGATAATAATAATAATAATAACGATAACGATGCCGATGCCGTGCCGATTATGATGAAATAGCTCGCGCGCGCGTTTTCAGCCGTCGACGTGCAACTATTTACGTCGCTCTCAAACGAATACACACAAATACACACGCGTACTACACCAATACATCTCGCTTCGAGATTTTTGCAGAATTACACGTCACGGAAAAGAACCGATCACATGTTGGCTCACGGCGCAGCCTAAGTGTATCTTATCTCGTGGCTATGAGTCGACTTTTGCGATGATTGTGAATTTTTTCTTCGTTTTTTTTTCTCTTCTTCTATTATTTATCGCGTGCCACTGCTGCCGCCGTCGCCGTCGACACGCTACAACACGAAGCTCGTTTTATTATGATTTCTTTGCTATTTAAATGCTGCTTGCTCGCTCGCTTTAAAAGAAGGATCTCCGTACCGGCAGTGGAAAATTATAATGTTTGCCGAGCAACGCAATCGACGGAAATAGTCGGAGAAGAATTTCCGATATTTTTAAGCATTTGTGCGCGCGAATACATACGCATGTAACGCGTTATATATATAGAGCTCGCTGCTGTTCTCGTGAGAAACGTTATTCGCACGCGTGCCTTAACGTTTTTTTTTTACTCGAAACTTCATCAACGCGCGTGTAACAGATAATAAAGATCCACGTGCACACCGATGATTTATGAATCAAAAAAAGAGCGAGTGAGAGAAAATAAAAAAGAAAGCACATTTTGCGGTTGAAGAAAGCTCGCGCAGGTTCAGCTGTCCAAATAACCTCGTTGGCGGATAAGTTGCAAACGCGACGATAAGAGGCAGTCGTCGAAAACAATTAATTGACTCGAATCAAACGATGCTTCTCGTCGAGCGAAAAACCATAACATATAATATACCGGCGAGAGCGAGCCAGAGAGAGAAAAACACGCGGACGTCGCTCACGTGCTCGCTGCTCGTCTGTCGATTTTGCAGCGCGAGCACGTGTTGCGTCACATGGATGGAGCAGCGGCGATTTACGCCGAGAAGCGAGTCGCGACTTTGCTTATTATTGCAAAGTCTTTACTCGAGTCTTGCATTTTTGTGCCCGGTCTGCGTCTTTGGCTGGCATGCAGAAATTATCTCGGCCGATAATATTTATTATCGTCTTGCGCGCTTTACACCTTTTTGCCGTGTTATCGCGACAGCTCTGTTGTTTTATCATTACGAGTGTGTAAATGGCAAGGAAAGAATTAATCCGCCGCGCAAGCATGCGCTGCTCGAAATCGAATGCGAGTCGTTGTGCAGTTGCTACTGCTGCATTCTAATGTACATCCTATATGCAGATGCTCACTTGGCTTACGATTCAAGCTCGGGCTCGAGCCGCCGGTTCAAAAGTCAAAAATGTTTATACATGACCTGGCAAATTGAAAGAGAGAGGAAAATACATAACATGGCGCGTCACGCGTGAGTCAGCTGCTGCTGCTGCACTGCACTGCTCGACTTACTTACCTACATTCATAGAGAGGCTGCGGTGCCACGAGTAACGTTATCCGCAGGTGGGGGGATCGCGCAAAAAAAGCGACTCGAAAATCGGATCGACCAATGGATGGTCAGCGATCGAGGAATCGCGAGCCGAGTATATTTTTAGCGCGGCGTTCTCGATGATAAAATATCGGTGGGAAAGGCGGCAAATTTGCATCGAGCGGAAAAAAGCGGAACGTTTGCATTCACCGCGTATTATAGGTATATATATACGAGCTGCTGTACGGCCTTGACGGCGATTCAAGAGGTTCTCGTCATCGTGGATCTATCGGCAGGTGTGCGCGTGCGAACGAGCCTCGTCGTGCGCCGCTGCAGTCGCGAGGAATTCAACATGCGAGTCGCGACACGGCAGCTTGCGAAACGACGATGTAGGGACGACGACTGCGTGATGTATTATAGCTGCATATTATAGCTCTACGCAGGCATATAGCGTAACGATGTACCAAGTCGGCGACGGCTTCAAAAGGAGGCTACATTACGCATTCGTAGATGCAGTGTCGTCGTCGTCGTAGAGTTACGTCATCGTCGTGTCGCGAATGCCACAGTACGATGCACAATGGCGACGGGCCGCTATATTTTATATCTATATATACGTATATACGAGCTACAGCCGGTAATGCACGTCGTTGTTTACGCTCGTGCTGCGCGACTCGCACTCGCGACGTTATATAGTACAAAACGCGCTGATCTCTGCTCCGTCTCGCAGGATCGACTGCGTCTCGGTTTCTCGCAGGACTGCGAAATTGCAATCGATCCGCGTGTTTTGACAACAGCCATGGTAATAACATTATTTCGCGTTACGAAATATTCGCACGCCTATATACGGCTCTCGACTTTGCGCTAAATATCACGGAGAGGCAGCAGCGGCTCCGTTACGTAAGCTGCGCAGCTGTAGCCGCTGCCTACAACTTGAATGAGATTCCGCATAGCGCGAGAATATCTTTGGCGCGCGTGTATAGATCGATGCGATGACGACAAACCACACGACGGCTTGACTCGACGACGCCGACTCCGAATACGACCGACCGACTATATATACGTTGTACGTTATATACGTTGCACGTTGTACGCACGACAAAATTACGAAAGCCCGACTCTGTGCGATGTACTTGTTTATATGCGCCACCGGCGTACGTACGACGCTCCTCTCGTCTATCGATTGCATCGACTCTAATTACCGCAACGAGCGCATTCGAAAGGGCGGAAATTACCTTTCCTTAAGAAGCTCGACGACGTTTGAGCTCCGATCTGATGCAGCGTCCTTGAAACGACTTCGAATGCTGCCGTTCGTATGGCTACTCGTTCGAGCGCAACGACTAATAATCGACCAATAATCGGCCAATAATCGGCCAATAATCGAGCCTTCACCTATATTATATCGATTTTCAATGATTGCGCGAGTACATTATACCGAGCGATTTTAATTGGCCCCCGCCAATGCCGAATTTGAGCCTTCGTTATTTTTTCCCTTTCTTTTCCGTAGGAGCCTACGTCGGTCCGTCTCTACCATTGGCACAGGCTAACGTATCGACGAACGGCAGCGGCTCACCGCTGAGACCGAGGACGAGTCCACCACCGCCCCCACCGCCTTCGGCTCAAGAAGCGTCTCAAGATAACCAGACATCCAACCATCACCAGGTGAGACTCTATTCTTCTCTTTTTACCCCATCTCATCTCGGAACAAAAGTTCTGACGAATCCACGCGATTATCTTTCGATGCTCCTCGAGTACGTAGTCGAGTGTACGAGTTGTACTCCGAATATAAATTTATAAAATGTCATTCTCGTTTAACAGTTCTCTCGTTTTTTCTCTGCTCGGTGATAACGAACATCGATTTTTTTTACTAATTCTCGCGAGTAAACGCCAGATTATTGTGTATTGCTTGTACAATTTTTTAAACAAGCTGATGTCCATGAGCGCAAAAAAATCTCTGCTATGATTTGTCCAGCGATAAGCCATCTTCTAGCTATACTTACGAAATTTTGTACAGAGTTAAATAGAGGAATTGAGAAATACATTAAATAATCGTCATTTCTTACGACCACTTGGTCTTGTCAGAAGTTCTAAACATCACAATGGGCTCATGATAAGATTACGCTCGAATTTTTTACGTAACGTAGCACCTTTCAGCGCTCTGCGCGCGCACAAACTGTCAATCATCCGTCTTATACTCGAGCACGTTATCGGGAATTTAAAAACTCGCGCTCGATGCATCGCACTCCATCTCGCCAGTTCCAATTTATTTTTGTTTCTCTGTCTCAGTAATCCAACGAAAACTCAACTATATTTTACGTTATTTTTAGGGTTCGGGCAGCGGTCCATCACCTATGGCTGCATTGATGTCGGTAACTGACAATTTGGCATCACCTGAATCGGTGCCCCAACAATCCAGTGGCAATCCTAGCCCAACTAGTCGAAGTCCACCAACGACCGCAGCTAATGTACAACAGCGCAGCACATCCAGGGGATCGCAGCACAGTCCCAACAGTACAGGTAAGCGTACAGACTCATAAGTACGAGTCAACGAGCATTATTCGAGCTTGGAGTTAATCTCGCCTTTCCAAATTCACAGGTCCTCAAGGCAGGAGACCGAGCAGCTCGAGACACGTTTCCTCGACCACTGTGACAACGTCGTCAGAAAACGGCGCGGCTGCACAGCCCAGCAGCGGAGGAAATCCAGAGGCAGTCGTAGCTCCCACCCTCAAATGCACCCTGTGCCAGGAACGTCTCGAGGATACGCACTTTGTGCAATGTCCTAGCGTACCGCACCACAAATTCTGCTTTCCCTGCAGCCGAGAGAGCATCAAACGACAAGGAGCTGGGGCTGAGGTAATTACCGTTCCTATTAACCAAACCTGAATCTCCATCTACCCGTACAGCCTTTATTCAATCGCTATGTTTTTTTATCTACAGGTCTACTGTCCCAGTGGTGAAAAATGTCCTTTGGCAAATAGCTCGGTACCTTGGGCTTTTATGCAAGGAGAAATCGCAACGATATTGGGCGAAGACGCTACAAACGGTGGGACTTTGAAAGAGAAAAAACGCGAGACTTAAGGAAAACTATTTTAAAGAAAATTGAGGCTTTAATAAATAATGTTCTCGCGCGCAAGCGGAGAACTACTTGGTGAAAGAGACGCGCAAACTCTCGATGGCGATCGCGCCGTGAAGGCCCGCCAGCAACTTGTTTGCTAATGCGCCGCCACCACAACTACAACAACTACAACCACCACTTTATATCACCACCGAAAAATTAAAAAATCAACAACTGACGATACTGGTTCAAAGTCGTGGCTTCGGGTCGGTCAATCTTCTCCAATGAAGTTTTCTGCCTGACCCATTTTGTTTGGCCGAGGATGTCGTTATGTATAGCTTTATATGCGAGCGCTGTGATGAGAGAAATCGTTCTATAATAGTGTTTTATTACATTTTTTTTGTAATTATAATATATTTTATTATATTAATATCGGCTATTGATTGTCGTGTAAATTGAGAATTATGGCAACATCGTTGAAAGATTTCAAGAATGCATGAGAAAGTGTCATTTATGAATTTCATTGTTTTACATGCTGTTTTTTGAGTAAGTTTATCATAGGACTTGAAATCCTTGACAAACTCATAAAATTGACTTAGGTACTATGTACATGATTCATTCAAGTCTCGTTTAAAAACAGATAACTGCAATGAAATAAAAATTATGAAAATACTAAAAAAATAGATATAAAATAATTAGAATTAGAAAATTCGAGTAAGCTACAGAGAAAACAGATTCGCTTTCATTATTGGGTTTGTACTTAGTCTCGAAACGCCTCAATTTTTAATTTTTATATATAATTTTACGTTTTATAATAGCTCGTACGCTTATTAAAAGACACAGCTCCAGTTGGATACAAATTTCAAATTTTATTGCGTTGTTGCAAATATTTATTTTTTTTCTTTTAAGTTTAACGCGATGACTTGGGAGAAAAAATATTGCAAAACACTGTTGCCGTACTTTAATTTATTGGCATTAACTAATTCAAGTCGTACGCTTTTAAATTATCATTGATCTATTATTTAGTCTTTTTCTATGTTTTACCCTTATTGTATTATATAATTAAACATGACGGATTTTAACCCATTGTTAATGGGTCTTCTGTACATTATGTATATGTGTACATATTTCATTGAACATTATTATGATTAATATTATCGACTAGAAACTAAAAAATAAATTGTATACTTATGAAAGTAACGCATCCATAATGTACAAATGAATCTTATATTGCGTTTTCTAATAAATTAACTTCTTTCTACACAATACACACCTCTTGACAAAGAGCTTTAGATATATATGAAATATATAAAATTGAAATATATTATAATTGTTGAATGAAACAATACACACGTTGCTTTGTATCTCGTTTCGTTAATTTTTATTGCGTCTCTGCTCCAATAGTCAACATGTACACAATAAATAAACGCGTCGTAATAAAAAGCCGAATTTTCTTAATGATGATTCTATTTAATACGAATTGGTTTATTGAATAAACGAGAAACTATGCTGAATGTAATTATTAACAAATTTGTCGATATCGACGGGCAGAAAAGACGATCTCTAATGCGAGCTCTGATAAGACCTTAACAGAGGAGGCAAGGCAAATTTGATGGTCTTCATTTTCAGTTTAACGCTAGACTTTAAAGTGAGGGCTTTCCGTATTCTCATTTTCTTCAACTTCATACGATATGGAACAAAACGAGAACAGATTTAGCGATCAGAGGAATCGCTTAAAAAAAAAAAAAGAAAAAGGAAATGCTCAGTTGAGAATGAATTAATTTCTTCAGAACCAAACGGCAGTTTTTTCAAAGAAAAATAAAAACAGACATGAATATACGCGATAGAAAGTTCATGAAAAAATATTGTCGATGTCGACTTATAGTTGAATAAAAAAAAAATGAAAATTATTAAAGGAGCAAGAATTTAAAGTAATAGAAGTATATATAATGTATCTCCGTTTGGCAACGTAAACACAACTTAATGAAAATAAAAAAAAGAAAGAGAACTTGTTCACACTTTAGTTTAACGCTAGACTTTAAGTGAGGGCTTTTTAATTTTTCATTAAATCCAAATGAAAAAATGAAAAAATTGCCCGACATATAGGAACCACACACTCGCTACGTCTAAAAAGTTATTTGAACAAGAAAATTGTGTGCATCCTCTTCAAAAGCAAAGGGAGCCACGCAAAACTTTCTTCGTGCACTTGACTTGTATTCTCAAATATACTTTTTGTTTCTCGTTTCTTAAAAAAATGAAGAAATTAACATAAGCCGACTCTAGCGGCGATACGTAAGACCGATCGCGCAGCTGGACCTACGGGTCTTTTTCTTATGTGTACATAAAAAAAAAAACAAATAATTGTACAAAGATAAAGTGATTAACAAGTAACGTTGGCATGCGTACTAATGATAAATAAATACTATTACTACTATTGTAATACGAAGCAAAAAAGCAGCGGGTTAGTTGTTGTCAGCTCCGCAACGTCCCGAGGGCTCATTGTCAAATAATGTGAATTTATATTAGAAGCACGAATAAAATTGGTGTACTGTGTGGACGTGCCTGAGTGCTCGCGACAACTTTCCCATGGAATGTGCTTGTCTTTTATATTAAAAAATATAAATATAAATATATTACTTATCATCTTAAACATCGATTAAATTACTCGATAGGCAGCGTGTCTCTCGTGTTTATAAATGCACAATATTTATGCATATGAAAATACACACAGTTCTACGAATTCAGCAATATGTAAGCAGTTATAATTTTTTTCGTCTCTTTCTGGTAGTTCCTACCCAATCTTAAATGCCAATATTCTAAGTAATATACACTTTTAAGTGTTTGTTTATTTCTTGTGAATATACTCTTGAATGAAATAGTTCGTGTTTTATAATACGATACTACTATGAACAAATATAATGTACATTTATTCGGACACTCGTTTTTTTATTATTCAAATAATAAACACGTATTTAAGCTTTGGAAAAAATGGATAAATAATTACGCCATTTATGCGCGTGATGCGACGGCGATGACTCGAATGGAGCTGTGGATCTGTGAGAATGAGGTTGTGTATGTAAAAAAGTAATAACGTCTGACGTGTATGGATCATTTACTGGGCACAGTTAATGTAGGCAACGCCAAAAGAAAATATTAATGAAAATCGAAATTTCTTATCAACATTGCAAAATCTAAAACTGTCATTTAATCCGCCGTTATAATATGTAAGTAAAGAAAAACAAAAAGCTAATAAATAAATAACTTTAACATTAATATTGAGAGAAGAAATCAATCTGTGGAGTAATTATTAATGATTCAATGTTTAGCATTATTATTACATACAAATTTACGCCCAAACGGATCGTGTCTGTCAAAGTGAGAAGCGAGGAGAGAAAAAAAATGTGGGACACGCAGCAGGTTTGCGCTGTTCTTGTGTATTGTTTAAAAATTTTGCTCGCGTATCTAGTGTACCACCAACTCTGTATTACACAGCACATACACTTAAACGTACCACTTCGTTAATTGAGAATTAATTAAAAGAGGGAGAAAAGAATAAATTAATAGTCTCATCTTTTGACTACGAATATGTAGCATCTGCGTTTCGTGCTTGTAATACTCGTAAAATATTAACGATTATAATGAAGTATGCACCAAGTAGGCAGCACCGGTGTCTTCCCGAGTAAACGAATTTGATGGGAACGATCAAGTAAATCAACAGCTTTTAGCGCGGTAAATTATTATTAAAAAAAAATAAAATAAAAAGAAATAACAATAAAAATGTATGAAACAGGAATCTGATCATTCCTTACTTTTGTATGAACCGATTTGTTTTTTACAATCTACATTGATAAATAAAAAAAAATAACGATCCGATGCAAGAAAGTGAGCGAGAAAGAAGAAAGAGCGCAATAATAAATATTAATAATTTTACTACCGTAAATCTTATACCAGGCGTCGAGTAAGCGAATAGCAAGAAAAACAGGCACAGCAAAAGCGAATGGCAAATAATCAGACATACAACAAACTTGTAAGTTTTATAATGGTGAAATCGATATATATATGCAATGTAGTAGAAACATAAGTATATATACGATTTTCTATAGTGTGTACCATATCTCGGTGAAGAAACGCGTTACACTGTATACTTTTCATCGAAAATATGTATTAAATAATTATACGCAGCTGCAAATGCAACATGCAAATCAAACAAAAACAAACAAATATATGTGTTGATGTGTAACAAATTAAGGAGCTTTATTGATTTCAAATTCCTCTTGGCCCATATCCTTTGGCTTTCCTACCACAATTGATATTTTTTAATTCTTATTTTGTTAAATCTAGATGGATAGTCGAAATGCATAGTTTTTTACCAATTGATTAATATGTCTTTCACAGACTCCGAAAATCATGTGGTATACCTATTTTTTGATATTTTTACCCAGTACTTCTTACATATTTTTTGTTTCGATGTTTTTTTAAACAATAGGAATCTGAAAACGAAGTCGAAAAAGTCCTTTTTCACTTGTTCGACCTGATTTGTGCACCCTCTGGATCTATTTTGTTTTTTCTTGTAAAGTAGCGCGTTATTTTTCATAAATATACGAATTTTATTCTGCGGCGTTGGTCTGTTGCACTTGTGGCAGGGGTAACAAATATTGCGCGTCACACGTGCAAATTCGACGACAGCTGGAGTCTTCCCTCCTTGCCTGGATACCGGCTGTTTATGTCCTTACACGAACGCCTCCCCCCGGCAATATCGAGTAGTTGGCATTAAATTCGACAATCGCGACTCGTTCGCCTGCCTAAGCTTACTTTAACTCGCAGCGCAGCAGATTTAGTAAAAAGAGAATTTAGGGCTAAAAGAAATTTTTGAATTTTCAGTTTGGCGCCGAACGAGCAGCAGCAGCAGCAGCAGCAGCAGCAGCAACGCGACGACTCATCGGCATCCGGAGGAGAAAGTATGAAGCTGCCAAAGTCGGAGGACGAGCGAGTTCCGACGGTGTCGTGGCTTCCCTGCGCTCCGATGCCCGACACCAGCCGCACGAGTGTCAGTTTGAAAACCGTAGCAGATCATCTGGTACGATTGTCTCGCATAAACTAATTCAACATAAAACACTCTAATCGCTCGTTCGATCGACTCTTCGTTTCAGGCGGAAATGGACGATGAGCCGAGAAGCAAACCACCCCGACGTCTGTGCATCAGTCCCGAGACGCGCCAAGCCCTCGAAAGTGCCGACAAACTTTTGGCCAACGCCGAGCGACTACTCAGCCAGATGGATTTCAAAAACGTCCCTCTCGACATATCAGACGATGGGTACGCTCCCTATTAGTTTCAAATATATTCGAAGCTATCCTTGCTTTGCGATTTCACGCATCATCGCGTCAATTTCAGATCGAACTGCGAGAACGTCAACGACGAGGAGCTTTACATTCGCAACGTAGTGGCTTCGACTTTTCAGAAGGGCTATTATGAGCCAGGCCCCAGTGCCATACTGGACAAGGATGATTTTAAAATCAAGCATGAAAAAATGGCAGGTGCAAGAAAAGAAGCCTCGAAGAGTACGCGAATGGCTCGAGCGAGATCCAACTCGCCAGTTAGAAGCTTCGAGCCTTGCCTGGTTTGTCATTCTGAAACCAAAGTAAACAAAGTAAACAGACCTCTGGAACAAAAAACGGAAGAAAAAGAAAGAAGTGGAAAAGCAGCGTTGAACGTTCAAAAGGCACCAGCCATCAGTATCAGCGGCGAATGTTTTTCTGTGCAAGCGGCCAACATCATCGATATCGAGCCCCAAGAGTCAAGTCAACCGAGATCTTACAATAACGTCGCGACTTACGAAATAAACCACGAGTCGAAGAAAACCGACGTCGTCGTTCCCATACCAGTGCCAGAGCAGGAAAAGGAAAAATCGACGCCAACAGTCGCGGCGAGCGAGACGAATCGTGATCAATTCGAGCAGGACGACGACGACATACGAGTATCGACGATCGTCGAGGAATTCGACGACGTTATTGACCTGAACGTGAGCCTGGGCGAGCCCGGAGTTTTGGCCGAGGTCGACAATTTGCTCGACCAGCAAAGGACGCTCATCAGGCACGTGTGTAAAGCCAGCGAGAAATTGGACCAATTTTTGATGATGAACGGGTCGTCGTTGGATACCGATTCGTCGCCGCAAATGGGCAAGAAAAGCCGCGTTAGTTTGCAGAAAAAGACGGCCAATGATAAGCAGAGCGAGGCTCGCCGGACACCTCGCGTCGAGATCGACTTGGCCTTGGACAAGAGCGAAGAAAGTACCTCGTCGAGGGCCAAAGCCAGCCGAGAGTCGTCGCGAAACGCCAAGAGCATCGCGTCGGTGGAGTCGTTGCCGAGCAAAAGCAGTAGGCAAAGCAGCGGTTGTCAGGATGAATCGGAACGAGCGATCAGTCGGAACGAGACTTACGACTTGGCCAAGCCATCGGAGCCAAGACCGGATACGAGCACTACTTTTGGAAGCGACGCCAAAATCGTCGATAGCCACGCGAGGACCAACAGCGGCTTTGTGGCCAATTTGAAGGTCCCAGTCGCGCTCAAAGACAATAACTCGACGGCGAAAAAATCAGTAGAGCGAAAACTGACGCGATCGGATCCGCTCGAAAGCGACCGTAACGAAGAACGAGTAAACAAAGAGAAAAAGAACGAAGCAGATTGTGACGTAACGGATCACGAGGACAACATTAGTAGCAACAGCAGCAGCATGAGTACCGAAAATCGTGACAGTCCAGTCGGCAGCCGAGAGTCGCAAGCTCATGGCCAAGAAAGTCCATCGTCATCGACGTCGTTCTCCGAACACGAGGACGACCGGTCGACGGACAAAGCGAGCGAGAACGTCAACGATTCCCTGAGACTCATGCACGTCTCGCATTTCGAGCATCGGAGCGCGACGCCCGATGAATCGCCCGACGAAGAGTCCGCGGAAAAGAGTCAGCTCGAGGAGCTGTCGACCGAGTCCAAGATCGAGAATAGCCTGCAGGAAGCTCGCGAGAACCTCAAGAGGGTCATGAAGGCGATGGACGACGAGCTCCCGTCCTCCGATGCAGCCTCGAAAAAACAGAGCGCCGACTTTGGCAACGGCCTCCGGCTCGTGTCGAGGATAGGAGCCTCGAGCCTGCCGAGCGACGACGCTGGCCCGTTGTCGCGCCAAAACAGGTCGATGGTCGAAATACTGGAGGAGACCAGCCGACTCAAGTCCAACGAGAGACAGAGGCTGTCGCTCCTGAAGAATTTGGAGTCGTGCTCGATCCAGGCGGGCGCGGATCGATGCGCCGTCAAGGGCTTGTTTACTTCGACTCTGATCGGCGACGCCGGCCTCGTCAACAGTTGCAGCAAACTCAAGGTAATTATTCGCTCGGTAATTCGATACTCTGATCGAACGCGAGCTTTGACGCGCGCCAATGTGTTGCAGATCACCGACACGTCTTCGGACCTGTACTCCGAGGGCGAAGTCTGCCTCAGCAGCGCGACGACTTCTTCCCTGTCGTTGGGCGAGGTGAGACGGAAAATCCAATTGACTAAGAGCAAGAGCACGACGAGCAGCAGTAATGCCACTTCCAGTACGGTTAGTTGCAATTATCTCTCAACTTTTCCTCGATAATAGCATTCCAATTCTCTGATTGTCGATATTACCATGTATTTTCAGTCGGCAGCTCGCAGCTTAGGCGAACTCGTTCCACCAACAGATTGAGTCAACTTAATTGTATAAATATATCGTAATAGACTTAATTTAATTATAAATTCATGTAAATGTAAAATAAAGAGACTGTAGTGCCATATTAAAGGCAATCAATGTAACGCCGCAATTTTATTATTTATCTCGTTCAAAGAGTCTCGGTGTGTACAATTGGATCGTAGCAATTGGATCGACGACAAAACAAGAATGATACAAGTGTGCGCGTACGTGCGCGATGCACGTGATTTTCGGATTAATCATCCGCCAGCTCGTGGCGAGTCGCTGCGCCGCTGAATTGATCATCGATCGATCGATCGAGAAAAATAAAGGGGCAAAAAAAAAAATCCGGCGTCGATTCGAAAATAAAACGGAAAAACGAGCTGAATGAGTCTTTAATATTGGCTTGGAAGAATAACAAATGCAGAGAGAAAAACAACAGCGAGAAAACCCGAGTGCAAAGAAAGAGAGAGGCTCATGACGCCGACTGCACGTACGAATACAGGCCTGGCCTTGCGTGCCGAGCCGCGCGCGCGCTTATTTAGTATTTACCTCTGCTCATCCACGTGACGAAAGGACATCTGCTCGCGGCGCACGTGAGCCGTCCATACATATATGCCTTATACTTGCAATAGGTGTGTGTATATCGGTGTATATAGTCGAGACGAAGCCACACGATTAAACCAATCGCGAACGACGTGTTTGTTTGCGCTCGCGGCGCCGCTCGTCGCTCGCCTACAACTATATATACAAGTACTCGAGGAGAAAAAATCACAGCGGACAGATTTTCGCGTTCGCCAGTCGTCGCTCCGCCGCAGACGCCAACAACTTGCAGCTGTCACAATTCGGCGACGTCTTGCGCTGCTGCTTGCTATTTGTCGACCTAAGTATAATCGTCGTAACGATCAAAGCAGAGTCGTCTCGTGTGTACGCGCGCGCGAGCAGTCACCCAAGCCTCCTAAAACTTTTGTAACCTATCTCGACTCTGACCTACTGTGCAGTGCACTCGACGACTGCATCAACGTCACACGGGGTGAATGTATTGTTGATCATATCCGTGTGAATCTCAAATCACAGCGACATAACCTTCCAGCGTCGACATAACTAAGGCAATTAATTGCCATGATCTACGATTGCTACTTTTTCTTCTAACTCCTTAAACGAAGTTATAAAGCTCGTTCGATTTGACTCGTGAAAGTGTAGACAGTTGATAAAATGGAATGCAAAGGAATTGTTATTGGTTATTGGATATCCGATAAAAAACGACAAAAGTTTGACTGGCACAAGTTTGAAGAACTCTGCGACAAGGAGGGCTTCATTCTCAAAAAGGTAAGCTGTGCATCGATCTTATGTATGAGCTGCACCAAATAATTCACTCTTCTAATAGCTCTACCTTAAATAGTATCTCTGACAATATTGATAAATTATATCATCAGACAAATTATCAATCACGATTCATCAATTTTTACTTCCTACTTTTTATTAGATTGACGTTGAAAACGATATAGAATCTCAGGGACCAGTTGATATCTTTTTTCATAAGTTAACAGATGTTTTATCTCATGCTGAAGAGGGCCTAGACTATGTAAGTATCATAAGCTATATTGGAGTCATGTTCTTATAAAAGAATTATTTTCAGTTACTAAATTGTAATTTATTTCCAGGCCATCAAAATAGTCACTAGATTAAAGAAATTCATAGAAAAGTATCCAGATTTATATGTGATTGATCCTTTTGAAAAAGTTCAACAACTGAGAAATAGACATCATTCGTATGAAATGATTAAAGCAGGACTCAAGTATGATGGTAATATCCACACTAAATCATTTTTTATTAATCAACCCAATATATTCAGTTATAAACCTATTCTTATTTTTCAGATAACATATTCATTCCTAATTTTGTAGAAATAAAAACGAAAAATGTTTCAGAAATATTGAACATTTTTGAAAAAAATCAAATAACATATCCATGTGTTTTCAAACCTTTGATAGCACAAGGTTCAAGTGATGCACATAAGGTAATTTTAAAATACAATTAAATGCAATTTTTTTTAATCTCATAAATGATTCTTTCCTTGTTTTAGATGATGTTGATATTCAATGAGCAAGGACTGTCTGATTGTCAAATACCATGTGTAGCTCAAAATTTTATAAATCACAATGCCATTTTGTATAAATTATTCATTGTTAATAACCATTATCAAGTTGTTGAAAGGCCTAGTTTTAAAAATTTCTATCCACAAGATTGCAAGTCAATGAATACAATATTTTTCAATTCTCATGATATTTCCAAAAGTGGTTCAAATTCTAAGTGGTCTATTATATCTGAAGAAGAGCAAGAGCTTAGTGTCAAACCAAATGTGACCGTTTTTGATAGAATAGTCAAGAAAATCACAAAACTTTTTGGACTTATTTTAGTGGGAGTGGATGTTGTCATAGAAAATCATAGTGGAAAATATGCAATTATTGATGTCAATGTCTTTCCAGGATATGATGGTTATCCAGAATTTTTTGAACACTTGGTTGATAGCATAAGAGAACTTTTAAAAAATAAAGCTTCTGTCAAACAGAATAAATGTCTTCTAAAAAGTCGTGGTGATGGTCATGACTCTGGTATAGAGAATGATGAAAAGAAAAAACAAGCCATTCTTTAAAAAAGAATTGTTATTGATAAGCTAAAAACTTTTTAAACCAAAAAATTTTTTGTACTTACACTAGTTATCCATTTTTAAGTGCATCTTTTGTGTAAAAATGAAGCCAGGAGAATGTGAAAGATATTTTATCAGATTCATGTTAGTTAATATTTTTATAAATATTTATTTGTAAAAATAGTCTAGTTGATAGATATTTTTATTTCTGTTTTTTACTATTTGTTAGCAATTGGTTACAAGTTTATATGTTAATGAATATATACATTTATATGTGTAATTTTAATAGTAAGTAAATTTTATAATGTCAAACATTTAACTTTTGTACAAACTTACAATGTATGCTGAAATTGCAAAAAGTTTATAAAATTATTTTTGAATTAACAATTGTCTACTATACTTCTCCTTCATAAAGTTCTATCTGGATCTATTCTTTCTATTTATTCTGAGCGCCAAATAAATTGTTTTGGACCAACAGTTGACTTAAAATACTGTAAAGTATATTGTCTTATTTTATTTTAGTAGACAGTCGACGGACAACTTGTGTACATCGGTGAATGAAACACGATTGAGTGAAAACGATTTTTTAATTTTTTCCGCTTATGATTCAAGTTAAAAATATAAATTCCAGATTTCTTGATACTGTTTGCTCGTGAAAATAACAAACTGGCAAACATGAATATTTATATATTTAAATTATTTCAATCCTTGGTCATTGATTCATTGCTTCAACACATCTTCTCTCTACACAATCTATATACATAAGATACATACTTAGATCGTTAAACGTCATATATGTGTTGCTATTTCATTTTACGACGCAAACATAACCTGTGTTATGTAAATAAAAAAGTCGCAGTCGTGTATTGCTATCGTCAGTAAAATGTTTACGAAAAAAAATCCGTCGAAAGAGTTTCACGGATGCTTGATAGTGTAGCATGAATGAAAAATATATTTGATAAGAAGGTCAGTTACATGTATGAATATTCTCAGCTTGGACTTAGTTTAAAACTGTTTAAATGTATTAAAGTGCTACTTTTGATTTCATTTCAGTAGAAATCATCGTTTGTGTAATATAACAAAAAACTTCTCAAAATGCCACCAATAAGTGGATTAAGTGATTACAGAAAAATTAAGTCACTTCTTGGGGTAACTGGTAGTGCAACTGCACTATTTGTTGGTATCTCATTATACCAAGGAAATGAAAAATTTTATGATCAATTTGCAATGCCTTTTATGAGATTAGTTGATCCTGAAATTGCTCATAGGCTTGCCATAAATACTGCTAAATTCGGTCTTTCGCCAACACAAAATAATGCAGACCCCCCTATTTTACGCACAAGTTTGTGGGGCTTGAATTTTAACAACCCTCTAGGAATGGCTGCTGGTTTCGATAAACATGCTGAGGCTGTTGAAGGTTTACATAAGATGGGATTTGGTTTTGTGGAAATCGGTATGACATCATTAATTAAGGCATGAATAATTTTAAAGTTCAGTTGACTTCATTTTTTATTATTAATTTAATTAATATGATTTTACAGGATCAGTAACTCCTAAACCTCAAGATGGTAATCCAAAACCTCGTGTCTTTCGTCTTTCTGAAGATAAAGCTATTATTAATCGATATGGTTTTAACAGTGAAGGTCATGATGTAGTGCATGATCGTTTGGCTGCTCTTAAAGCATCTCCAACATTCAATGGCATAATTGGTGTTAATCTTGGCAAAAATAAAGATTCCACTAATGCAACACAAGACTATGTTGATGGTATAATCAAATTCTCTGACCTGGCAGATTATTTTGTTGTCAATGTGTCTAGTCCTAACACACCAGGTTTACGTAATCTTCAGGGTAAAAAAGAGTTGGAAGAATTATTAAGTCACGTAAACGAAGCACGCTCAAAAACGGAAAAAAAACCACCCTTACTTTTAAAAGTTGCACCTGACCTCTCTAAAGAAGAAATGAAAGATATTGCTGCTGTAATAATGAGAGCAAAAACAAGAGTGGATGGTCTAGTTGTGTCAAATACTACACTGAGCAGAGAAAATCTTCTTAGTGAGGTAAATTTAGAGAGTTCACAGTGATTTAGATCCATTTATTTTATCAATTTATATTTTAAAATGAATAAATGGTTTTTAGGCAAAAGATGAAAATGGTGGTTTGAGTGGAGCACCAATTGCCTCTTTATCAACTCGCTGCATCGCAAACATGTATCAACTCACAAATGGTCGCATTCCTATAATTGGTGTTGGTGGTATTTTCAGTGGAGCTGATGCTTATGGAAAACTTAAAGCTGGAGCTTCATTGATTCAAATTTATACTGCATTCACCTACCACGGACCACCAATTGTTGGTAGAATCAAACGTGAACTTTCTCAATTATTACACGATGATGGAATTAATAACATTTCTGAAGTTGTTGGAAAAGAAGCAAAAACCATTGTATAAAAAATAATGTATAAATTGTCGCCTTGTAAAAAGATTTGATTTTTATCAACTGTTAATTTTTTTTGATTTTTTTAAATTAAAAAAATAAAGTTTTAATTCTGTTTTGAATGTTGTTATTTGTAAGCTTCACACCTATTGTTAACCATTAATTAGTAAAAATGTTATTGTAAATGTATTTTAAGAGATTTTAATTCAAGTGTAATACTTTTATAAAATATATATATTTTTTCAATGGAAACATAGGAGTGTTGATGCAAAAAATTAGTGTTTTCAGATCTATGTTGACAAAAATATTACACAATATTTTACTTTAGTTTATAATATAGACCACAACCGTGATTTACAATTCAGTGCACCGCAATCCTGAACATTTTATAAATCATAATTCATTTCAAATGTCATGATTGCTATCACCTATTACCATCAGATAACTTCAGCAGACATCCACGGGTCGCCGTTTTCAATCCTCCACAGTCCACAGACATGCCACCGCATGGTCCCCCTCCCCTTCACTCTTGACTTGATTTTTGCATGGTTAGTGTAACGAGTGCGCTTATAGGTATTCATAGACTACAGTAACAGTTTGGACGCTCGAGCCTTGTATTTGTTTTTAGGTGAATTGTAACCTTTTCAATAAAATGTCATACATGCGTAATCATCGGGAACAGATACCCGACTTTTCTGACAGTAGACGTATTGAACGTGAAAAAATTGGTATCAGAGGTATCAAAGAAGCATGGAGTTCATCCCCAAAACACGATGTAGAGTAAGTTTTTACTTTTTTACTTAATATTAATAACTATTGTGTTTATATTTTTAAAAATACATGCAGTTGCGTTGAAGTTTGTCAAGCGTCAAATCGCAACATTTTTCTAATATTCTATGAATAATTTACAGTTCGGATCCAGACGAAACAGTAACTGTAAAAAGGAAATCTACAGAAGATGATGATTATGAGAAGAAAAAAAAGCGTAAGAAAGAAAAAAAAGAAAAAAAGAAGGTAATTAGAATAAATTTTTCTCATCATTTCATAAATAAAAATCATTAAATTAATGTTCAATTTTAACAATTGCAGAAAAGTAAAAAGTTGAAGAAGGAAAAGAAAACTAAAAAAGCTAAAAAAGTTAAGAAAAGATCCAAAAAACATTCCAGTAGTGATGACTCTTCAAGTGATAGTGATAGTGAAGAAGAATGGGTTGAAAAATCTGCTGTTTTACCACAGCCTAAATTAAAGAAGGACCAGGAATCAGAAGGCAGTGCTGATGAAGGCATTATCGGTCCAGTACAGAAGCCTCAAGGTACCCTCAATTCAAAAGACTTTGGTAAGGCTCTTTTACCTGGAGAAGGAGCAGCTATGGCTGCATTTGTTGCTGAAGGAAAGCGAATTCCCAGAAGAGGTGAAATAGGCTTAACATGCGACGAAATCGATGCGTTTGAATCTGTTGGATATGTTATGAGTGGTAGCAGGTATGTATTTCAAAAGACAGATAATATTTTTAAAATCTTTGCAAATATTTATCTACATTTTTTATTGCAGACATCGCCGAATGGAAGCTGTGCGTATACGTAAGGAGAACCAGATTTATTCTGCAGATGAAAAGAGAGCGCTAGCTATGTTTAGTAAGGAAGAAAGGCAAAAGAGAGAAACTTTGATTCTAGGACAATTTAGAGAAGTTATCGCTAAAAAACAACTTCAAGATAAAAGTAAATAATAATTTTTTGTTGTTTTTAAAATTTATGTAAAATATTTTGTAAATAATAATTGTGATTCTGTAAAAGAAACGAAAATGTAAATAAATTGTGTACACATTTCATAGCTACATGATAAATTTCAGTTATGATCTACATCAAACCATGTAAATAAACTTCTTTTAAATAAATACTTGTAAAGTTTAAATCTGCTTGATTTTACATTCAATAACAGCAATTCATTTACTTCAAAGTGATGGATTAATTTTTCATTTTTCATCAAGTAAAAAATTTACTAGATTGTCTTGCTGTATATCAATAGCAAAACAAATCAGATGATGTAGGTATGGAGGTGAACTGTCACAAAAACATAACCTTATTCTTTTCAGAGATGGAAAAATTTTAAAAATGTACGAGATCACTACATTTTTTACCACTTTACCGTTTGTAACAATTTCTTTTCATTCATAAGTGAACTTCTCAGTAGCTAGTAAATTCTTTAATGAACAATAGTATATGTTTGTATTTTTGTTTACGTAGATCAGCTGATCTCAAACGATGATTTTTCCGATGTGTTTAGTAATCTAGTCCATAATTGTAAATCATCATTCAAAGAAAATGGTGAAATTTTATTGGTCTGTGATAAACCACACTATTTCAAGATGGTAAAAATTTAATTTTGTTATTTAATGAACGCTTTCAAGATGTTTACAAAAAATCATCTTTTGTTTACAGGTGGAACAAAAGTTACTGCAAACAAAAATTATTCCGAATGAAAATTACATTCAAATCCCTTTTTTACAACTACTACCTAGATTGGAACTATGTTTGCGATATACTACTAGAACCTATTTTATGGTTTGTCGAAAACTTTACTGCCTATTTAGGACCTGTACGTCTTTGTTTATTACTTCTCTTTACAGTACAAACAAGTGTACATTTATTAACAAAATTTTTATAGGTATTTGTAGCAATGGTGATACTATTGACATCATTAATAGTTTACATCGCATATTATGTAGGTTTCCCTTATTGGTGGGAAAAAAGTCCAGAATTTACTATTGTTTTGGTTATTGTTGGAAACTGGCTGTTAATCAATGTTAGTTTTCATTATTACATGGGACTAAAAGTTCCAGCTGGTTTTCCACCTAAGGGTGAACTTATACCAGAAGCTGTTAGTATTTGCAAAAAATGTATTAAACCCAAGCCACCAAGAACTCATCACTGTTCCGTTTGCAATAAATGTATACTCAAGATGGATCATCATTGCCGTATCCTTTTTAGAAAAAAATTCATATGAACAAGCAATTGCCCAATTGTAAAAAGCCCAAAATAGCATTCATTCAGTTCTTTAATGATAATTTTACAGCATGGCTAAATAATTGTGTAGGATATTACAATCATAGATACTTTTTTCAGTATATGGTCTTTACGCTAATAGGAATAATTTTTATAACAATTTTTGGAGCTCAACTAGCAATTGAAGAATTTCTTTTATCACCCGAACCAGAGATAGAGGGTCATCCTGTTCGTGTAAATAATTCAGAAATAATTCCCTTGGTAATTTAAAAATAATTACAAAGAAGTACTATACAAGAAAAAAGTCAAACATATGAGCGTAAAATATCGTGTTTTAACAGACGGAGTCAATGGACCATTTAAGCGTCGAAGAACGGAATGCAATAGCTTTGCAAGCAGCGGCACAAAAAGAAAACGAGTATCGCCGAAAACTCATTACTATAGCAGCTTTTGTTTCTCTAGCAACACTTGGATCTCTTGGACCATTGACTTGGTGGCACGCTCGACTTATATCTCGAGGAGAGACTAGCATCGAAGGTCGGATCAACGAAACTTTGAAAAAAAGCTTTCAGGCCGAGGGCAAAATCTATAAAAATCCTTACGATTTTGGAAAACGAGAAAATTGGATGTTGTTTTTAGGACTGAAAGATAGGTAAAAAATCGTTGTATTCATAGTAAACGAATTTGTTGATAAGTTGTAAGAAAAATGTTTATTTTTCAGAAGTTGGTGGTATCTACTTTTTCCATCCACCCATGAACCTTATGGAAGTGGTTTAATCTGGGAGACTAGTGAAAGTAATAAAATATCTTGACTCGCTTGAAATGAAATTAATTCTTATTGTAAATATGTATTTAGTCATTTTTGAAGAACTTATATACAATTCAATTCATTTTCTACGTAATTGTGATATGATTTTACATTTTACCCAAATATTGTCTAAGGTGATACTCAAATTAGAACTTTTCTTTGACGTAATAAAATTTTTCTATAAAATAGAATCTCAGCGTTTTTAGATTTCTGTAATTTTCTATGGGTATTTTAAGTAACTTTATTATTTAAGCTAACAAAAAAGTTATCGTACAAACTCAACGAAAATTTCTCCTGGAAATTGGACCTTTTTCGCTCAGTTATTCATTAGTAATTCATTATGTCGCACACTCGCTGTACTGGACTCAGCTACGATTTCTTCAAGGGAGTCGACCTTTGATGTACCCTCGCGTACAAGTATCAAAGTATTGCGTCAGTCTGCAGTTTTGTCGTTTCAAGTCTTTTATGTTATATATATGTGTGTGAGCATCTGGCAAAGAAGGAGCACAAAAAATCGGCAACGATTTTATTTTTTTATTCGAGCTCGAGGTTTTGCCAAGTCTCTGCTGGATGTGGACAAAACTAATTAGTAAAAAAAATCGTTCCAGTAAAATTAATAATAAAATTTTTAATGAAAATTTTTGTATCAGCTTGATGCAAAAGTTAAAGGTACCATCGTCATCGTGTGGGTAAAAGGCATTGCCTTGAATTAAAAAGCTTCGCAACATAATAAGATGGAACCATAAGCCAAGCTCCATTGAAAGGTGGATCGGTGACTTTGTTATAGAGTTACAAATGTGTTGAGATTCGCATGGCTGCACACATGTATATGCGGCAAAAGTGCGTGATTCCAGGAAAAAGCAATAATGATGCAGCATCCTGCTAGTTTACAGTCGAAACGATAGCTCAAAATGTACACGCAGCGAAGTAGGGGCTCGGTTGATGCTAAGCAGTGTATTGCTATTATTATTGACGCGTACTTTGACGCAGAGACAAGCCTCCTTACATTGTGTTTATGTTTTGATTTGCAAACGCTTCATGGTGTATGTATGCATACGATTTTTGCTTGGTGTTTGCCGGCACTTTTGGCGCGTTCGTGCGCACGCACGAAGCCGCTCGGAGACGAGCAGCGACTTGATTCGCGTTCCGACGCCCCCGTAAATATCGAAGCAAGCGTCGGATACGTGCCTCGACCGGAGTGGGGATCTCACAACCTGTTCTCGTTCGTCGATTCCGCTGGTCAGTGGATGAGCGGAGTGACTCGTCCTCCCCCTCGACGCACCGCTGCCGCCGGCAACGCCGCGCGATCAAATTGCGCTAGTTTTTCTCGTGTGTCGCCTACTACTCTACCCACACATTCGCGCGAGTCAAATACGTTGGTGTGATTTTAAAAAACGGTCGTGTCGGCTCGGCGTCTTCGTTAGGCTGCCTCGCGCGCCACACGATCACCATAGCTCCGCTAGAAGACACAGAGCAAGTGCACGGCTGCGCTTTTTAACTATAAATGCCCTCTGCCTACAAGCGACCTGAAAATCGTAAACAGGAGCTACAGCCAGCATGACGGGGGAATCAGCTCGCATTTTCACCGATTCCCAGGAACAGAGGTTCTTGCAGGATTTGCCTCCGTTGCAGGATTTCGTGTGAGTTGATGCATCTTTTCTCTACCTACTTCTTAGCTTAGGTTAAGTCTATGATTGTGCTGCTCGGTCTGGGTGCACCGCGCGACACGCACACCGTCCGATGTGCCGTTCGTACTGCTTTCGCATTTTCTATTTCAGTTACGATGCATGATATCTGTGTTTACGAGCGATGCTTGTTTTTTCCGTCTCGACTACCCGGTGCCGAAACCCCGTTGCGGATTACCAATATTTATAGGAACGCATTGGGTTCAGGCAGTCCGCTGCGCCGACAAAATGGAATTTTTGAACTCTCGAGACCATTTTGTGCGTAGTAAGGTACTCGACTACGCTACAGTTTTTGCATCGAATTTTTTAGCAAAAAACTCATTTTCATCGAATATCTGGAATTTGCATTAATCCTGTTCCCTAAACTGGGGATTCTTGGTTCTTTTTCGTTCATTGGCTTCGCATGCACACTTGTCTTTGTCTCGAATCTCAATGAACTCTAGGGGGGAGAGCAGATGCCACTAAGTCATAAGCACGGCCGTTGCCATTTTAATTGCTAAGATTTGAGTGCATTTGATATACATCAACGAATACGATAACCTTTAAAATTAAAGATGGAATTACCACTTTTTGGGTACGTTATTGTAAACCTACGCATTCTTTGTATGAAACGCCGGTCTTAGCCGCGTACCACTTACTTTTTTAGGTTACTGACTGGAATGTTGCCCAAAAATTAAAAGATGCATTTTTCCCTTTAAATTACCATATTATACTATTGAATGATTTACACAATTTTAATTTTCTCATAAACTTGATTAAAAAATTCAATTTTTAATATTTACTATTAAATTTTGACTTTCAGAGAAATTGACGACAATTGTGACTTATTTCAAGGCTTGTCCCAAGAATTACCACAAGATTTTCATTTAAATGGTAATCTTAGTTTTGGTCAACCAGAGAACAATCCACTTGCGATGGATGAGAAAGTATCATTGCAACAACAACTAGGATTACAGGATCAGACACACACATCGCAGCAATACCATCATCAACAACAACAACAACAACAACAACAACAACATCAGCCGCAGCAGTTGATGCATCCGCATTTTTTTCTACCACAAACGTTGCCACCCTTGACCACGCCAATACTTGGAAAGGAAGAGTTTGCTGGTAAATACAATTTCCAGCTAATATTCAATCCAAAAAACTCAGGAAAACATTGGGTTGTAAGTTTCTTTTTCTTTGTCAAATTCTGAATTTTATATTATATAGTTCGAATATCAAAGACTATTGATAAAATTAATTATTTTTATTTTTAGTACTCTGAAAAATTAGCCAAAGTCTTCATACACATGGAACAAGTCCTTCCATTATCTTTTCAATGGAATCCACCAGTAGATGGACTTTGGGTCAGAGCCACAATGGTTTACAAATTAGATCAACACCGATCTCAACCAGTTGTTCGGTGCCATAACCACATGGCCCCGGACAACAATAGCAATAGGAACATTAATCCTATGCAAGTTAAGCATGTGATAAGATGTCTTCATAATACGTCAAGTTATGAAGAAGCCAATAATGGACACTTATCAGTTCTTACACCACTTGGTGTACCTGAAACGGCCCTGAATAATGTACCAATGGACTTCCTATTTACTTGTAAAAATAGTTGTTCATCTGGCATGAATAGGAGAGCTACCGAGCTCATATTCACATTAGAAGATGAAAGCAATCATATTCTTGGTAGAAGAAAATTGGAAGTCAGAGTCTGCAGCTGCCCCAAACGCGATAAAGAGAAAGAGGAGAAAGAAGAAGGTGGAGAAAGTGGATCCGTCGCTTTGGCCATTGGACAAGGAAAAAAGAGAAAAATTCCTAATCCTGGTTTAGGTATATCTGCGCCTCCAGGTAAAAAAATTGCCATGGATCATAAAGTGTATAACATAAGTTTTAGCGTTATAGGTAAAGATACTTATAATGCGTGCTTAAGATCTATATACAATACAATGGCAGGTCAGGGCGTACAGCAAAACAATTTAGAAATGCAAAAGCCTTTTATGGAAGAAATTTTAAAAAAAATAAACGAAATGTAATGTAATTGTATGTAGAGGGTGAAAAATCGCTATCATCTTCCTCATTATTTATTTTTAAATTTTTTATTAAAAGTCTGCATGTTTTATAATGAGAAATAATGAATATAATGAGAAAATATTTTGATAGTGCAATCATATTTGAAAAAAAATTCAGTAATGTAAGAATAATCGCGATTTTCCCTCCTAAATATGTAAGAAATTGTTATCGCTATAGTTTATAATGTTTATTATGAATAAATGTAAGATTTTTTGTACTCCATTTATCAATGGATCTCTTGTGCCAAGTGCCTTTTTATTAATATTTAATAAACATGGACGCATGTTGGAATTTTTTAAATAAAAATGAAAAAATTTTATCAATGATTTTGATACCCAAGCACGCTGAGTCATTATTTAAACCTTAACGCAACCCTCATTAGAATTAACTTCTATAAGCGATACCGTGAGGGAAGTCACAACAAAATTATCAGGTATCGAGGCTACTTGATGAGACATAAGCTGGTAAGTTTCGTGTAAATTAGCCACTTCTTTTCTCAAATGAATTTCGTTGCCATCGATCGACGTGACATGCAGCATCCATTCCCACCTAGTCCGACAGTCAATTTGCGCGTTAACAATCCATATCTTATCTTCATGCGTCTGAAAATGTTGACTCACCGTTAGTCGAGACCATAATATCGTTATAAAATACACTCGTGAAGCGTACCTGTAATATCAAAATATCGTCCTTCTGATGCAAAGCATAAATGGCATCTCCTTGGAAGGGAAAAGGAAACGGTAAGGTGACTCGCCTTTTGTAAAAATGCACGATCGGACCGTCGTGTTGGTCTTCGAGGTGTTCCATGAAATTCGAGGAATCGAGCACCTGGTGACATCGTCCAAGCAAGGAGAGAGGACAGGAAATTCGGGAAGCGGTCATCGACTCGGTCGAAGCTCCCCAATAAGACATCTACGGCAAAAGAGCTGCTCGATCGAACGCACGATGCTTTGTTTTCAGAAAATACTGAAATTTTAAAAAGATCGAACCTGCGGCACGCAAAGCAGAGAGCTAGCGGCTGCACTTTTGAACGTCAAGTCGGTGAAGCTCGTCTTGTTACTCCCGGCAGTCTCGAGGTCAGCATCGACGCTGTTGCGATCGAGTTCACCGGTGCTGGCCGATTTTCGTCTGTCGTACAGCTTGAGCAGCCACCTTCTGCCGTAGAGCATATTGCCATCGACCGAAGAAGCGGCGGAGCCGTCGATGCTCTCGGTCGATCCGGTAAGTAGCTCGGCTTCGGCTTCCATCGCTCGCGAGGAGGACGAGGTCAACAGGAGCTTTTCCAGCAGTCGCTTGACTCTGGGCTTTTTGGCGAGGCGCCGATCGTCGTTGATTCCACGCGGGCAATGATCGGTTACAGCTGGCGGCGCCCCAAAGATGCAGTCGCGCAGCGAACGAGTCTCCCGATCGCCAACGAGCTCTTGGCTCAGCAGCCGATGGACTTTGTCGGCGAGCAGACACCTGCCCCGGCCGAGGCGGACCCGACAGACGGGGCAGCGGTCCGTTTTGAGGCGGCAGCCGTAGCAGAGCAGGTGGCCGTGGACGCACTGGGAGACGGGCGGCGAGGAGCTTTCCAGGCACACCGGACACTCGAGGGCTTTGACGATGCCGGAGACGGCGCGCGCGAGCTTCTGGGCTACCTCGGGCAGCGGCCCTTCCATCAGCACAGAGGCCTAGACGCCGCGTATAGATTTTTTAATCGCGTGTCGCACTTTCTATCAAAGATCGCCACGTACCTGCTGATGCTGCGATTGCTCGGCGTCGCTGAAACGAGCGAGATTCGGCTCGTTGGAGCTGCCTGGACGTCGCCAAACGCTCAGATTAACCCGATCGTTTTTACCGATCAGATGGCCTATGTCGCTCATCTCGAGACCCAAGACGTCGCGACCGTCGACTCCCAAGAGGCAATCGCCCGATCTGCAATCGGCAATCGGCCGTATACTCGCTCGATCTCGCATCGCAGGCCCAAAATTATTTCACTCACCTGAGTCCGGCCACGTCGGCGCTGCTGGACTTCTCGACCGGTCCGATCCAGGGGTAAGGGTCCCACTTGGACCGGACCAGGTGGAAGCCGTGAGATCGCTCGGTGCCATCCTCCTCCCTGTCGCGTCTCGAATCGTCGATGTCGAGCAGCAGCTCCTCCCTGCCGATCGCTATCATCGGAAACTCGCTCATGGCTCGCTCGAATACCGACTGACGCAGCTTCGCGAGTCCAGGCGTACACTTGCCGATTCGTCCCCGCGCGAGTCCCCGCGCGTGGCCCGACGTCGCGGCATTGTCTTTCCAATTACCTTCACCCGATTCGTGCGCGACACCTTGGCAGTGGCGCGCGTGCCTCCGGGCGTCGTCGATTCGCTCTCGATCGTCCTTGGGCGCGAGCCTTTCGAGAAAACTCCGAGGTCCTCGAGCGATCTCGTCGCGTCGGTCGCGGGCCTTGGAAAACTCTCGACCTCTGGAAAGCACGATTACTAGCGGCTACTTTGCGCATGCCGATCACGATTTTCGTGCGGAGCATCGACGAAACACGACCTGTGCATGAATGAGAGCTAACGCCGCGAGTGAGGCAACACTTTTTGGCCGATATTGCGCCGCGCCTATTGTCTCGTGACTGCGACCCCTCCAAATGATAATACGAATAATCGATCGAATCGATGCATTGAAATGTCAGCTAATGCCAAGTAATCGCCCATGCCGTTGAAGGATGCAAATACTTTACATGTACGCGTCACGAGAATATGTTTCTTCGTTGCTACTTACAGGTGTCTTTGAGTCTGCGCACGTATTTATATATGAAAGACAAATTAAATTATTTGTAAAAAGCTTCAACGATTTATTGTTAGTTCTTTGAACGTTTCAATATTGTTCGCATGCATACAAAATTCGTTATCTACATGGCCTTATATATTTATGAATCTACATTACTCCTGCCTCCATGATTTCATATTTATACCGATTGCTAATATTCTTATACAAATCTCAGCTTGACTATTTAGAGTGCCAAAAATTATACAACTTTTATTTTAACTGAAAATTTAGGATTGCCAGCAAATCCAGTTTTTCTATTTTCATTATCATGCATCGTTTCACAAACAACTTTAGTACATAAATATTTTCTTTCCACATTCAGCTCTATGTATAGTTACATTTTAAATACAAGTACTAAAAAAAGTTCGATGACAATAGAAAAATCCTGGAAGGCAAACGCTATTCTTATAAATTGACTTTACATTTTGCCAAATAATGATATGTTTCGAAAGATTTTCACTTTCTTTCTTTTTATCTCTTACTCCATTATGAAACTTATAATTAAATTATTCAATTGCATTGGAGATATCAATTTGATAAATTATTTCATATTTTATTTTTGTACTCAGCCACTTGTACTCAATACAATGAACTTAGTGATATATATAAAGCATAAACAAGTAATGGAGAAAAGGATAGCAGCATATCTCATTCTTAGATCTTGGCAATTATTCATGAAGACATTTTTGTACAATTTGTTACGAGTTACACAAATAATTATTATGGCTATTAATGGGCAAGAGTTGGATTATTTTCAACACTTTTTGAAGATTTGGTATTAGCAACTAATAATATGTAAATTTCATTAAATATTACTTTTTTAATGTAATGTAACTTTACTTGAAAGTGTAAAATTTTGCACAACTCTATGGTAGATACATAAATATGATATGAATTATACAGCTAAATTTTATGATTCTTAACAGATTTATTGTAAATAGAGAATTAATCTCTGCATCTATTTAGTTTTATATTGCATAACAGTAATATATATTTTTAGTATTAGGTAAGAACTGTAAATTGAAAACAATTTTTTTTCATTGATCATAAAATTCATCAGAAGTAAAATGTTTATTCAATATTATTATAGATCAAATGAAATATTTTTATAACCATAAGTTATAGCTGTTGATCATACTATGAAATTTATGTAGAAATAGAATATTAATAAATGTTTCTTTAGAAATCTTATCAAGAGGGATAATTCTTTCAATTATTAACTTTACACTTTATTAAGAATTAAAACCTTTCCACTTGTTGTATCTATCTATTTTGAAAAACAAGTTCAATAGTCTGTACTCTACAAGAGTTTCTTTATAAAAATGTCAACCTTAAATTAAATCAAGTTCAGCGTTCATCACCGCTTATTGTCTGTACCATGATTGTACCTACACCAGAGGCCCCCGTTGACCTTGGCCCTGACAACACCCCTGTTGTGTCTGAGAGCCTCGAGTGCACGCTACTGATACAAGATGTTAAGACACTGATTTAAAGTATACACTGTTGCATGAGCAGTAGCTTTCAGCAATAATAGTTCTGGATCTAAATTTAAATTTGAACCGGATGTTTCAATTGCTTGTGCTAATGAAAGACTTTGTTTCTCCACTCTATTAAGTTGTTCACGACATGTAGCAAATGCATCAAGTACTTCAAGTTTAACACTTGGGTTTCCTCTCAAACTGCCACCCGAATGTTCTCGAGGGGGTAAAGGTGGATGACTACTTGCAATAGCACGAGTATATATTTCAGTAACAGCTCGAAGCTTGTCTACCCATTCTTGACGAGCTCTTGCATCTGTTGCCCGCAGTTTGATCATATCTCCTATAAAATAAAATTATTTAGTAAATAATACTGATTTTGAAGATACTACTTCCATAAATGAAGTCCAACCTGTAGCAGAGTTCACTGTAAAAGTATTAGAGTCTTCATCACTAGGAGCAATGACAGCACCAGCCAAGTAAATTGAGCTTCTAGGTTTTTGATTTTTTTCTGACTCACTCAGAAAATAGTGTAATTCTCCTGTTTCTGGACTAAGAATGAACCAGCGATACTGCCAACCTTTCATAGCATTTGTATACTTATGCAATAAACCCTCATAAGGGTATCTGTTTTGTACACTCATTATTTACTTATTAGATAGAATCGCGTTTTTATCAGTATACGAATACAATTCGCGCAGTAATATTAACTCATAGTATATCTGGACTTCTGTAACAACACGCGTCTGCTTTTTTGCTTCAAAAATTCAACAAATCATTCTTTATAGAGTACTAACAAAACTAAACAGCAATTCAGCATCAATAGATTCGATGAGAGCTTTCATACAATATTTACTTCCGCTAATATTTCCGTGAGTAACACTAAAGTTCTCGAAGACATGTTTTTTGAGTGTGACAAGTGCCCCTTGGCGATCAAGTACAGAATTATGTGGCTCTCACTACAATACGGAGTAATAATACACAAATAGCATAGATAGACCGAAAATTCGCGCGCGAAATTGATAAGGTTGAAATTATTAAAAAAAAACACATGTTTAGAATGCTATAATATTTTATTAATACAGTAATTCGGTCACTAATCTAGATGGTTTGGTAACTATTATCTTCATACCAAAAAAAAGTTCAATAAGATATATTGTCGACGATTACAATAAAATTTTATAAAAATGAAATTTGTTACTTCTTAAAATAAATATTTTCACTAGCTGAAAGTAAAGTGAAAGTTCTCTTTTAATTAAAAATAAAGGAATATCCATGATAAAGAATTTATAAAAACTAGTTTACTTGAATTACAAATGATATTTCAAGTAGAAAAATGAAAACTAATTTTTTTGTTAAAAAAAATGTTCATTTAAATTAAATTTTCTCCTTTCAACTTCAAACGGAGAACCGGTATGTCAATATCCGGGATATCTGTTTCATCTTTACCAAGTATTTTAATATCTATAAGTTCGTTAAGCGGTACCAAATCTCTTATTCTTTCACTTATTTCTTTGGTTTTGGCATTATTAGGAAGTAGAGCTGTAAAATAATAAGTATTGTAAGATACGTAAAATTTACGATTAAGATTATAATTGTTACAGCCTTACTTGAAATAGAACATAGAACACCTAGAGCTCCGATTGTAGAGAAATCTTCCACAAACTCTCTCATATCAGTATGTTTAACGATTTCTGTGTTACCAAAGTCAATAAACATAACACGGCTTGAATCAGGGGTTGCATTTCTAGCTAAACATATAGCTCTGTAAAAGATCCCTTCATATGATGCAATACATAGTTCCTTATCTCTTGGTATATAGTGACCATCAGTTTTTTCCACATAGTTAGCAATCTAATTATGAAAGTATGAATGATTATAAGCAAAACCTATTTTTAAGAACAAAATACAATTGAATAATCAATTAATTTCAATGAAACTTACGCTTTGAACCATATCCACATGTAGAGCTTGGATAGCTATTTCATCATTTGGAGCCATAACAAAAAGTCCTCTATCTACATAATAAGCTAATGGGATAACTTCAATATTTTCTCCAACACTGCCCAGTACAGTATCTGGCAGATCGTTTAAAGTCCATACTTTTTTACCTTAAATAAACGATCAGGTATTGATATCAACATGTAAAAGTTAATAATAAACAAAATTCAATAATTTTCAAATCAATTAATTAAATTACCATCATGTGCATCGGCCCCTTTCTCCCAAGTGGGTGTTAATGCATCATTTAAATGAGTATTGATATTTTCTTTATGTGCTGAGGTCAAGATCACACCATCTTCAGTTGGATCTCCAGTAAATGTACATGTTAAAGGGGCTGCAGATGATATGAGCTGAGACAAATAAGTCGAAGCTTCTTCAGTTAATGGAGCTTCTTCTTTGCTCTTCACTCCTTGCAGTTTCACCTTTTCTGCGCAAGCTGGTAACTAAAATCGTAACGATATTAATTTTTTTCAGTTTTATTTTAAATTATAAAATTAACTTACTTCTTTTATATCGTCAGACAAAATATATAAATTTTCAATTTTGCTGATTTCGACGTTACCATAATCGATGTACTTGGCAAGGATCATATTTCCTTCAACCTTATTAATGATTGCTCTGTAGAAATTCTTATCTAGCTCATATTGAGCTAACACCATTTGACCCACAACTGGAGTTTTATCTAATGGTTTACCTGAAAATATTTAATTATTAATGCATGGTTTGTTGGATATTAACACAACAGTAATATATTTATTCAAGACTTACGATTCAAAGCATATTTAGCGACTTTTTGTTCTAGTTGATGTCGTCTCTCTTTTTCAGAATCTTCTAGACTATGTACATATACAGTGTCTTGATCAACAAAGTCCACAATTATCACCTATTTAATTATATTAATTATAAGTATATGTTAAAATTGGATTATTAATAATAAACAACAAACCTCTTGTCCACTTCTTAATGGTGCCCGCTCTATTCCTTTTTGTTCAGGTTTAACACACCATTTAGTGAGAGTTGCTTTATATTTTTTAGTTCCAATGTTTACTACAATTTTGGCTGCACTAATTGATGCTTCTATGACTGTAAACTCAGCTGGTTCTAAAGGTCCACTCTAAAATATGATTATATATTGAAAAATAAACTGATAATTTAATGAAAAAGAAAAAAATTACTTAGAGTACTTACCAGTTCAATTTCAGGTTCAAAAGTACAAATAAGTCCCAATTTGTAAACATTTTTAAATTCTTCACTTAGAGGTAAATATTTATTCGGCGTTAGGATTTTGCATTCATCAATCAAAGCGACTTTGAGCACTGGAGTTACACACACAACTATACCTCTAAACCAATCATTATTGTGTTCTACAGCAATCATACCACCAATTTCAACACTAAAAAATAATATTACATATTTGAATGATTTTGATTCTTGATTATTAAATTAATTAGAAATTAAATATTAAATTAGAAACATTGAAATAATATTATTACTTTTTCTGGTCATTTTTTCCATCATAGTTAATACAATATTCTGGTAAGTTTGTAACCACTTTTTCAAAGGGAGTTGCGTCAGAGTGAATAGCCACTGTAGTGCCATACTCTAAATGAGATAATTCACCAGCAAAAATAATGATACCATCTTCACCTTCCTTCAAGTGAAAAAATACAGAATCTAGACAATCAATTGCATCCGTTACTACTGAATGTTTATCTAAAGATTCTGATTGTTTCACTGTCACATTTTTAGTTTGATCATTAGCAGATTTATGATTTGGCTTCAAAGAGTCCTTGTTCAGAGATAAATTCTCTATCTAAAAAAATAAAGAGATGCATTATTACAAAGAGACTAAAAACAAAAATTATCAAAACTTACTTGCTTATTCAGCTGCTCTGAATCTTTTATTGCAACTAAAATTGTTCCACTGTTGACTACTTTGATACATTTAACTTGTACACAATCTTCCACTTGTAAATTTGGTAAAACACGTTTTGAATTTTCATCAAAACAGATACGCCTTGACATTGGTAGGGGATGATTTTCAAAGGGTCCAATAGGAATGACCTGTGTAACCACTATATCATCGTATGTTCCAAAATCTTCAAAAAACACCTGTGAAATTCCATAATAATATATAAATTATTCTGTACAAAAAAAATATATAAAGTAAAACAACACTTCACCTTGCAATTTTCGTTATCTTTACCAACAATGACAGCCCGGAACCAAATGCCATCCCACTCAACCAAACATTTAACATCAATGTCTGGTACAGATCTGGGTTTACCTTCAACATAACTTGCTATTTCTACAACAAGGTCTTGAATTTTTTGGGCATCTTCCGTTTTTTGAACGTAATATTCGCCGTTTCCAAGAGCCGCTGTAACACTAACTTCAACATAACGATTTTTTGGGATAAAATCATCTTGAGGTTCAAATCGAATGTTATCTTCAACTTCAGATAATTTTTGATTTTGAACTCTATCTTCATGTTGAAGTGGTTCTTTTGGTTGTTTTTGTTTAACAGGAAAACTTGATGCAAGAGCTTGAAAATTACTGCTTACAGGTTCAGACTTTTGACCATTAAATTTGGTTTGAAGATCTGAAATTATCAATATATTTAGGCAATAAAATATTAAGCTTTAAAATTTAGTGTATATAAGGAAATGAATATAATAAAAGTATGTAAGAAATTTTTAAATTACCTTTTGTTTCCTTATTTTCCTTCTTACTGGGGATTTGAGATTCTTGTTCCAACATCACTTTTGGTTTCCGAAGCGACTTAACAACTGGTGTCTCAGTTTCATTGCAGTTTTTATTTTCTATTGGAGTAGTACTTTGAGGAACCAATTTTTTTAGTTTTTTAATCAATTTTCTTGAAAAAAAAAAAAATTAATTAATCAATTTTTTCCCCAAATTATTTTAAATATGATTAATATATATAATACTTACGGAAGTGGTTGACATTCGGTTTTATGTTGTGGCCAAGCTTTAACTTGACAACTTTTTGAGCAGTAATATGTTAAATTGCATTTGGCACATTTAAATGCTGTTGGACTTGAACAGATTTCACATTCACCACTTTCATCCTCAACATCATCTTCAGCAAATTCATAATATCCCTTAAGAATTTTGTTAAATTCATTGAATATATTAAATTATTTCAAATTGTAAATTGATAAGATTTAAAATCACTCACATTTTCACGTCTTTCACATACATTCTGCAAACAAGTTCCAATATTGTAATTTGGTTCAGGCAAACTGTAGTAGGTAAATCCCCGGCCATAGCTAATATGTCTCCGACCATCTTTTGAAATGTGAGTCATTCCTCTAAAATATATTCATAATTAGTAAATAATAATTGTAATGTTGTCAAAATAATATTCATCTTTGTTATTACCTAGTGTACATAAGATTTGTATTCTCGAAAGGCCCTGGATTTTCATAAGGATTATAAGTTGCATAATCCATAGGAGATGGATACAACAAATCTTCATCTGTAGGATGAGTTGTAGCACGTAATGCAGGAGAACAATTAGCTGGTCCTGTTTCAAGAAACTTCTTACCTTGAGTCGATTCTCTAAAAATAGAAAATAACATTAAAAATTTTTCAAAGTTTCACGTTTGTTCAATAAAGTAATTAATCATAATAGAGATTCAACTTACAAAGTATCAGGCTGATATCTAAAGTCAGCAATAGGTTTTGAAAGATCAAAGTTTTTATGAGGTTCAAGATTCTTCAGATTTTTGTCAACAAAATCTACATGCAAATGCAATGGTTTTTGGTCAGATACTTCATTTATGGCTAACTCAGCATCTGCATACGAAGCAAAAGTGACAAATGCTATAGGGCCTGCAGTAGTTTGTACAAGTTTTGTTTCTGTTATTTGACCGAATTGTAAAAACAAATCATGAATTGCGTCCTGCGTTAAAATTCAAATGAGTAATTTAAAGAATAATATAATACAAAATTGTTAGTAAGTTAAAAATGTATAATTGCTTACTTGTCCTAGATGCGGAGGTACTTTGGTAACTTTGACAATATATCCATCCCTAAAAATTCATGAGCAATGTTTAAGTATTGGTATATATTATAACTATAAAAAAATTGAAACTCACATTTCTTCATTTGTTGGAGGCTTTAAACGATTGCCATTGAGTTGGGTTCGAATTGATGACATTTTTCTTGGTAGTTCTAAAGAAAATGAAATAAAAATAATATCTTTATTAGTTCACAAAGAAATGAATGAGTTGACTTCACATTATCAATTCTAAAATCATACAATTTTATAATAGGTAAATCAAAAAACGATTCAATGTTATTAAATCTTTATATTGTTCAGTAAAATTGTTGAAGAAAAAAACAAGTCCAATTTTGATGATTTTCAACTTGTTCAGCTTCTAAAAATCAGATTACATTCATAAATAAATTGACAGAAGTATTTCAAAAATTGAGAAACCCGAAAAGAAACATGAAATGATGAGAAAGTAAAAACTGCGAGCTTCTCACAACGTCCTTCGTGATTTTATTAGAGGACACTTGTTGCTTTGAAACGTGCGACTACATACATGCGACGTACTCGTGGGGCTAACAAAGAATCGTCGAATAGTCTGGTGTTTACGTTTGGCACACATACATACCAAAAGCGAAAAAATAGAGTACAAAACACTCGACTGTCGGCACGGATAAAACTAGCAGGAATTTTCACCAAAACAAAAGAATTTTCTCATTTTTTTTATGACGACAGACAGCCTATTGTTTAGCTTACGTTAAAACAAAAAAAACAAAAAAAAACAAAAAAACGAATAAAAAACACTTACCACTACAGGCAAAAATGTAATTAATTTCGTAAAGGGTACGAATAATTGTAACAGATAAAACGATTTGTACGATACAAAGAGATATCGGAAGGGCAAGTACAAAACTCGCACACACGTGTTGGCAAAGTCGAACTCACAGATGAAACGAGCTCTCTTGACCCACTGACTGTCGAGCGGGGAATGCACACCGGCGAAGTCAAATATCACGCACAGGATTCTCAAATCAGCGAATTCCCAGTAAAGCGCGTGGCGGGAGTAAGCAGCAGTGGAGCGCCGGTTCGGCTCGTCGCGGTGACTCTGGCATTAAACTCCCTCTATCGCGACTCAGCGTGTTTTCTATGGCACTTTGGCGACAGTTCCGTGTACTATAGCTGTACTACTCTCGTGTTCTCGTGTAACGTATTCTCAAGTCAGCGATCGACAAAGACAATAAAAACCTTTGAGAGCACTTGACGGTTATTATGCTTCTTTCTCGAAACTTCTTTTTAAAAGTTGCGACAAAAAAAACACTGAGAGTAGCAGCCGAAATAACTATACAATTAGCTCGGATCTAAGTATGATTTAATGCTCACATGGTCCACGATAATCGTAATGCATACACGTGAATATATTTTTGTTCTGTCAGACAGAATCTGTGTTATGTCTCGTACAGCCATTTTTCGTGTTTTGATTACGTTACGCTAAATAGGGGTCATATGAAGTTATATGAATGAAAATCTTTTCTACGTAAAATTTCATCAAACATAAATGAAAACGACTGAACGTATCTGTTCTCGTACTTTTCTTGCAAATTATTTTATGCAATTTATTTTAATTATAGTTTTTCGCTTTAACTATTTTTCTACTCTCAAATGATCACAAAAGTTTTATCGGCTCTTATCATCGGTTGCATAGCTAAAGGTGCATCTTTTCTCGATACACCAATTCAATCCATAGAGTTTTTATTTAGAACGATATTTGTGTATGAGATAGCAGCCAGTTAACATTATTTGCGTGCCTCCTTGAAAAATTAATTTTCGAAAAATAGTTTTGAAATTCTAAACGTCCGAAAAAATCAGCCGATCTCACTTTTGGGCCGACGGTGCACAGTTAAAAACTTATTAAACGATTGGTTCCCATTCATGAAAATGTGGGTGAATGTAAGACGGCCAAAAGAAGCGGGTTTTCTTTAGGAGGGTGGTGCCCGTCAGAATTTTTTTAAAATTTATGTGGAGAGCACGTATAATAAATTCGTAATTTTTATTATAAAAATAAATATTCGAGTAAAGTTAAGAAAACAATTGTATATACTTCGGTCGACCATGAATTTCTTCAAGGATAAAGTTATATCGAGAACAAGAGTTGGAAAAAGCTAATATATAAATGTTTATTGCTTCTAGGCTTCGAGAATCATTCGATGAAGTTATTAGAGAACCATTCAGTTTTACGTATATGAAGAGAAAAAAATATGACAAAGCAGCTTCGTAAACATTATTTGAGTTTGTCGTTTCCATCGAAATCGGTCGCATGCAGTGACGTATGCAAATGCGGGAACCATGTCGTGCTCGTAATCAGCATATTTTTGCGATCGATCGGCAGCGACCAAAATTAAACGTCTAGCAAAAAAAAAGAAATACAAAAATGAGAAAGAAGGAAAAGGCAGAGCTCGATCGCGGCTAAGCTCATATCGATCGCACGGAAAGCTAAGGAGAATGAAGCGCGCGAACCGCGAAGAACACGGTGGCGGGGGGGCAGTGCGTGTAAAGCTCTCTTACGTACATAACACACGCAAATTGTAAATACAATAGAGTAGGTGGGCTTATGAATTTTAACGACTCGCGCCTGCATCTTGATAAAGTCGGCAGGCACCTTGCGCGCCTCCACCGCCGCCGTCACATACACTCGGTCGTCATAGCGACTTGGCCGCACAAATATATGAGCCAGCCACGGAGTCGTCGTCTATGTGCGCGCGTCCACAGTCACTCGTGCAGTGCAAAAGCTCGAGTTCAAGTCACCGGTTCGTCTTCGTCGAGAGGGAGCCGCGTAAAATGACGCTCCTGAATAATTACGATAATTGGTCGACGCGTCCGCGAGAGCTCCTCGTACCGCGATCATGCGCCCTTTGAATCGGTCGGCGATCGGGCTCTGTTTGTTCGCGCTGTTTACCTGCTGCCCAGCCGCTGCCGTTCCTTCTTCTTCTTCTTCTTCCAATTCGCTGTACTCGGCCAACGACAACGACGACAACTTTGTCTTCGCCTACGAGCATCCGAGAAATTGCCGCAGCAACGAGTACTTCGACGTGGCCAGCTTCGCCTGCGTCGAGTGCGACGAGCAAAAGAATTTGGTGCCCTCCGAGACGGGTGCGACTCTTTCGTGTTTTTCCCCGATTCCGAGATAACTAACTCGTTCCTCTTTTGAATCAGGTGCCTCGTGCGTTTGCAACAAGTACAGCGTATACCTCGGCCAAGAGCTCGACTCGCCGAGATGCGAGCCATGTCCTCCTGGGACGCTGCTCACTTCCGACCGGAAGAGCTGCATACCCTGCAGAAAAACAATCACCACCACCAGCGTCGACGGCAACAACACCTGCAGCTGCGGACCCAACGAGATCAAAGGTACGCGATTTGTAATTTGTAAAATGTTATGCATTTGTTAAATTGGTAAAATCAGTCGAGAGGGACGCGAGCGGCGAACTGCTCAAGAGCCTCAGGTGCGTCCAGTGCTCCGAGAGCAGCTATCCGTCGGCCAACGGCTACAAGTGCCTCGCCTGCCACAACTCGTCGGCGAGCGGTCACGCCAATTGCGCCTGTCCGATCGCGAGCCACCTCAGGATACAGGACTACTGCTTCCGACGCAACCTCATCGATTTCATGGACATTCGCAACTCTTACCTCGTTCAGTTCGCCCGTGAGAGCGTCGACAGCTTTTACCTGCGGAAAGAGCTCCGACTCTCGGCCTACTTGTGCAAGGCAAACAATAACTCGTGTATTTTACTTGCTATTTGCAAAAGAGAGATAAGAAAATTCGTCTTTATTACAGGAGGGTGAGAAGACGGCGTGCCAGCGACTGTCGAACATGTGCGCGCTGACCCTCTCGGACAAGAGCGTAGCCTGCAAGCTCGCCAAGGCACTGCAGTCGGACGAGCTCGTCTGGATGTTCTACGAGGAGAGCGGCTATCCCGTCGTGGCCAACAACAAAATCATCCCGCTCAAGTACACCCTCGACAAGGACGACGGCAACAATCGGCTCAACTTCAGTCTGGTCGCGTTCGGCCTGGACGGCCGGCTGCGCTCCCTCGACACGCCCAATCTCTTCTGCACCTTTCTCAACGACGTGCGCTTCGGCATCAACGTCAACAAGCAGTGCCGCGTCTACGCCAAGGAGCTCACCGCTCGCGAGATGCTCTTCTTCTCGCCCTATCTGCTGTTCGCCGACAAGGCCAAGTCCTATCTCGCTGCTCTGCCGCTTTTCACCAAGAACAAGCTGGTGGCTATTGAAAAAATGCTCTCGTCTTCTATTTTATTGTAATAATAAATAACAATCGCTTTCTGTTAAGCAGTGGCAGCCGTTGAAAAAATTCTTCCTCGTCGACAGCTTGTCGAGCTACAGAGCCATGCCGAGTTTAGTGGACGACACGTTCAAGCAGGAGGACGAGCTTTCCACTTTGCGCTACATGAAGTCCTTGGAAGTTTTGTGAGATTACATTTTCTTTTCTTCCCGATGTATATAATATTTTCTCTGCAGAAGTTGATGGAAAAACTCGTTTGCGCTTGCAGAATTACCGTACAGAATGACAAAGAGGGTGGGCACATTTACTCGCCTCTGCTCGTCATCGAGTACGGCGAGCTCGACAAGCAAGAAATTCAAGACAATAAGCAAATCAAGGTGGATTACAAAGTCATTTTCATCTTGACCAACAAAAATGTTGATAACTCCTTAGAGGTAACTCGTTATTTTTATAACGTAGAGCACTTGGAGTAAAAATTATCGTTTTCTTTGGTGTGCAGGTAGCGATCGGAGTTCTCGCGGGACTGGCCGTCATGTACTCGGCGCTCAAGGCTTGGGGCTACTGCAAGAGAAACCACAACGGCATCCTCAAAGTCGGGGTCGTCGCTTGGTTCTTCATCTATTGCCTCGGTGCCATCGGAAATGTACTGCTCTTAGTCACGACTAGCGTTTGCGTTTACATATTTATTTTTTACAAAGGCCAAACGGTGCTGCACATATTGTTGCCGGCGGATAGCGTCGAGACGAAAATTTACCTCTGCACAATCATTGCCTTTTGCTTCAAGGTCGGTACCACTGTTCATTTTCCTCATTATGCAGTGGGTGTTCATCGTTATTTTGTCGCGCAGTTGGTGGAATTAGCGGCGCTAATCTATCGTCATCGCAATATCAACGTCTTCTTCATCGACTGGGAACAGCCGAGGGTCATCGCGCAGGCGGCTAGTTACGATTCGCCCCACACGTCCTTGAAAAAGCTCTACGACAGCAGATTCGAGCCCGACGGAGCCTCCAAGAGGAGCAAGAAAAAGTCCGACGGTTCGAGCGCCGAGGAGAGTCCCAGGGAGGAAAAAATTTCCGATCGGCAGCTGCGAGAGGAGACGCCGCCCCCGGCCCCGTCGAGCGACAGAGTCCAGCAATTGCCGGTCAGCATATGGAGGACCTACTTCGTCGCCAACGAGTGGTTCAAGATTCAAACCAAGAGGAGAATAAACATAGCTCTGCAGATCATCTTTACGCTTTTCATGCTCGAGGTGCGTGGAAAACTCTCGAACGGCGTTCGGACGACGATTTACACGATTTTTCATTGATTTTAGATCGTGGGTTTGAAGTACTGGACCCAGCCGACGCCCGAGCTGCAAACCGATGAGAACGAAAATTCCACCAACGAGAAAAATTTCACCCTCAGATACGGAGTTGGAGCCTTGGTCTACATGTTTTGCTACACCGTCCAGTGGATAATTTCCATCACTTTTTACGAGCGATACGTGAAAAATCGAATGCAACATTTCGTGGATCTGTGCTCGGTCGCCAACGTGAGCATGTTCATTTTCGCTTACAACTACTACGGATACTACATACACGGAAGGTGAGTGCCTTTAAGCAGCAGCCAAGTCAACAACGCGAAATTCAAATGATTTTCAATTTTAAAAGGTCCGTTCACGGATACGCCGATACCGACTTGGAAACTTTGATCAACGACTTGAAAAAAGAAGAGAACAATTTGTGCGCTCACAGAGGTTTGATTCCTGGTTCAACTAATCAAACCTTTATCGTTTCATTGTCTTCTGCTTTTCGAGATATTTATCAAAAGCTCGTGGACCTCCAAAGCTTGGTAGGCTTTCGATATTATGTCATTTTTCAAATTTTTTTCTTTCAATTGATTATAATTGAAATTCTATTTACAGGGTGAAAAACGATTTTCAAGAAGGAATATTTTAGACTCGATCAATTGGGAAAAAAGTCTTCAAACTCATCTGAAAATAAAAAAATTTTTAACAGCTTTTATCGACCATTGTTTCAAAGATTTAGATTATGTTATAAAAGAAAGACTGCTTTTAGAAAAACTTTGTGATATTGAAATTGGAAAAAATGACGATCAATCGACGTTTTACACAGGTAATAAACTAAAATTAAAGTCCGTTTTTCAAAAATTCATCTGATTACATGTTTCTAGATAATAGCAATATGTTTGATCGAGTTATATTTTACGGCAACGAATGGACATTAGGAACATTTGAAATTGCTCTCTTCATCTTTGTACAGGCTTTATCCGAGGATTATATACTTGCTTGCATGGTTACCTTGCTTATGTCGCAGTTGATAATTACAATTTGTAGAATAAATGGAAAAAGTAACTTAGCCAAAAAAACGTTGATCGATGAGAGGTTTCTAATGTAATATTTTTCATGCCATTAAAATAATATATTTTAACTAATATTAAAGCTTAAAGTTATTAAGTGTAGATAGTAAATAATTAATATCTTCATTTAATTATTGTCTTCTCTAATGTCTAGTTTATTACATTTTTATAATCTATCATATGTAAACTTAATTAATATTGAATATAACAAATTATGCTGCTTTTATACTGAATATTCTAAATGTAATTTCAATCTTTGATGAAAATGATGTATGATACTTTGTTATTTAAAAAAATCTGTTCTTAGCATGTTAAAATGTAAAGTTTGATTAATAATTTGAATTATTTGTTGCTCTTTTCCATTAAGTAAAAGTGGTATTATTTTCCTAACATACTTTTATTACACTTTAAATGTGTAGGTACATAAATTAACAAATTATTTTTCCAATTTGTACAATAAAGAATTTTTAACTTTCTGCTAAGAATGTATTCACTTTAATGGTGTTCATGATCATGACCATGACCATGCTTTTGCTTGGCATGCCCATGATAATCGATTCCCAAAAATTGTTCAGCTCCAATTACAATACCAAGTAGAGGAACCCAATATTTCCATCCCCAAGTAAAGAAGTCGAACATAACCCAGTGAGGACGTTTTATCCCTTTGTTCAAATAGCAACGCCAAACATAATTTCGTGCCCATGGATCTTTTAGTCCATGCTTGGCCAAGCGTTCTTGCACTTTACTATATGTTGGCGATTCTTCAACTTTGTAAATTCTATAATCAGGAACTGGTGGAGGTGTAATATGGTGATGACCTCCCATGATCTGGAAAATGGAAAAAATAGTGTAATTGCTACATGTCACAATAGTGTATCCAGTTTGATTGCATCCTAATTGACTGTTGATTAATAAAAGATAATCTGAGTTACATGCTCAACAAATTAGACGTATTCGATTTGCAAAAATGTAAACAAAATACTTAAATTGTGCTGTTTACTAACTTTTCAAAATATACAGACTTATTAATAAGTTAGACTCCCAAATCATCAATTAAACGAATCGATAAAATGTACGATAGTTTTAATGATTCTAGATAATCTATTCATGCACTAAAGTCTTCTGAATGAAACAAAAACTTTCACTCACTCATTAACTGTTATCTTTACCTTAAAAATATGCCAAACTTATGTAATTAAAAACCCTTGATGTTTTTACAGTGTTAACCTTAAATATTACGATGTCGTCTGCCAGTTACTTAGACACTATGAGTTTCTACCACCACCACCGCCACTCAGTACTCAAGCACATCCGCAGAAAATCAGTTCAGCAGTCTACAGCGCACACATACTAGACTAGAGTTAGTAGTTGTATGTAAAACCGAATACCAATACATATAGCTGTCAACTTATCTGTGTATACATCTACAGACAGAAACGTTATCACGTGACGTCAGCATCATCGAGGTGTTTGATATATCTATGCTTCGTCGACCGTCGTCGTCGTCGTCGTTCTCACTGAAGCTCGATTTCAAGTTGTGCAGTTTACGTGGATACGTCTTCGCCAGCGCTATCCTGACACAAAAGTATTGAAATCATGTGGTTCGACGAGTGCGACGGCTTCGTCGAATTATGCCGGGGCTCTTTGCCGTACTACTTGCTCATCGTTCTGCCAATATTTATAATTATTGCACCGGCTAATCCTGTTGCCGCGTCCCATGAGTTTCCTGCATTTCGCATGAACCAGTATGATTTGCACGGCGTGCCACATGGTCAGTTTCATCACTTATCTAACTAAAGTAACTTTGATAATCTCTTCAATGATACTCTTTCACTTAATGAGGTTTAAATCTTCAAATTAACCAATCTCAATTAAATTATTTATAAAAAATCAATGACTCGTGATAATCAAATTTTGTTCTGAGAGAAAGTATAAGTTTATTAATTTTAACATTTATTTATCATAAATTACCCAAAAATTAATTTAAAACTTCTTAAAATAGTCAATTGACTTTCATGAGCGCACATATTTCTAATTATAGCTGAAGCACCAAAAGGTAATCATTTATTTCTTCATTTTAGGATGCCGCAGTGCTTCCATTTCTTTGGAAGCAAGATCTGTATCTGGATGGAGTACTTCAAGACATTGTGTTGTAGCTAGAGCTTTAGACTTGACTCCAGATTCATTCCAAGCTATTAAAAAAAAAGCTGGATCTTTAATTGTAGTCTTGCCTGAAGATTTGAGCTCGTTAAATGATGAGCAAAAAGAAGTAAGTGTAAATTATATAATAATAAGTTGCTTAACGGACATGAAAATAATAAAATGTTTTATAAATTTTTAGCATATTATGGCCCTTGAAGTAGCCATGATGACTGTACCTGAAACTACAATACCAGTTTATTTCAGTAAATGGAATCCAGAACTTGAAGTAATATTGCAAGATGTAGGGAATAGTTTTATTACTGACGATAAAGCTGGCTCTGCAACGGAAGCTTTGTTTAATTCTATCACTGCCAGTGGCTATCAAGTAGTTGTTCCTTCTGCTCAACCAGCAGTTAAGCCTGATGTTAAAATTTCAACTCTTCATGGTAAACTTACTGGTTCTGGATCAGAAGATAAACTTCCTACTATTGCGATAGTTGCACATTATGATAGCCATGGTGCCACATCAGAATTGGCATTTGGTGCTGAGAGCAATGCTTCTGGAGTCTCAATGTTGCTTGAACTTGCCAGATTATTTTCAGTGGTTTATTCTGTTGGAAAATCCAGGCCTCATCACAACTTGGTATTCATTGTTACTGGAGCAGGTAAACTCAACTATTTGGGAAGTAAAAAATGGTTAGAAGATCAACTTGATGGCCTTGAAGGATCTGTTATTCAAGTAAGCATTGCAAGTTTTTACTTTGCAATTTATTTATTGAATTGAAATTTATTTGATTCAATTAATTTTTTTTCCAGGATGCATCATATGTACTTTGTTTGGATTCAGTTTCTGCATCAGATAAACTTTATATTCATGTCTCTAAACCACCCAAAGATTTCTCAGCCGGAGGTCTACTCACTAAAGAGATTAAAACAGTGGCAAATAACTTGAACCACCCACCAGTTGAAGGAATACACAAAAAAATTAATTTAGCGGACGACAGTCTTGCTTGGGAACACGAGCGTTACAGTATTCGTCGTTTGCCTGCTGCCACTATTTCTTCTCTTAGAAGCCACGATGATCCAATTAGGAAAACAATCTTGGACGTTTACTCCGACGATAAAATTGACAAATTGTACAAACATACGACAATTATTGCCGAAGCTCTCGCACGGCACATGTATAACGTTAGCTACAGCCAAATATTTTCTGAACCATTGGTAAGTTATTCAGAAAGAATATTAGTATAACAATTTTGATATAGAATTACTAAAAAAAAAAATTTTTTAGAGTGTATCCAAAGACTCGTTAACAATGTGGATGAAATATTTAACATCACAACCAAGATCGGCTTCTTTGATAAATGATAAACATTCCCTTGTGAATACCATTAAAGAATCAATGCAAAAGTACCTCGGGGAAGTCAAGATCACCAACCACATTCCCGACAAACGAGAGCCTGAAGTTGTATTTTACGACACCACCAAAGCAACTATTAATGTTTACAGGTAATTTATAATTAAATTAAATTTTACATTAAAATTCACTGCATTTTTATTAATACACGATTAAATCTTTTTTTACAGTGTCAAACCTGCCGTTTTCGACCTTATTTTAACGATAGCTATTCTTGTATACCTTGGATTCGTGTATCTCGTCGTTTACAATTTTTCGAAATTTTACAATTTTGCTACAAAAATATCTAGCGGAAAGTCGAAATCATCATAAACATCAACCATTTGTACATTAAATACCCAAAACAAGATTGCAGGATTTAAACTTGCATACCTTTGCAAATTAGAGCACGCAATTGAATTTTCTTTGTTTTCATTATGAGGGAACATTTTACAAGAATACGCAGTTGATTCTGTGAAGAAAATTGTTCACTTATTAAACATTCTCAATTAATGATAGAATGGAACCCATAAAAAACATCGATTTATAAGTAATGATGTTTTGTTGAATTTTTTTCGCTCTTGTTACCACCATAAGAGTGATAAGATTTGAAATTGAATAAGATCTTTTTAGAAATTTTATTCGCAAACAATAAGTCTAAGTTGTTTATTTATTAAGAATAGTAGCATAAAATAGTAACAAAATATTTCGTAATTTTTATGAAAGGTTTTGAATTTAAATTGTACCATTAGTGTCATTTCTCGCTTCAACTCTGATGATTTTTAAATATTTTCTACAAACCCCGCATTTATAATTTAATAAAAACTACTTAGCAATTGGTAAGAAATGGAATCTACTCAAGAAGCGAATGCACAAAAATTGAAAAGATGGAAATTTTAATTTCGCGTTGAGCAATAATGTGCAGACCTGAATTTGACGAATAATTTTTGATTATTGGAACTGAAAATAAAAAAGTTTAAAGCAATCACTGTGATGAATCGTGTATCTAAAAATGAAGCTACTTTGAGGTAAATTAATGTATGTACGTTTGCACTTTAAAACACGAATGCACAGATATATTTGTTTTGGGTATGAATGCGTTAACGGGTGATTTACCGAAGTCTAGAGAGCATGAAAAATCTGCCAATACATTCGTACGTGAAAATGGAATTCTTTTAATTTTATAAAATGAAGAAATTCAAGTGCTGTGTATCGTGATCAGTAAGACTGAAAAAAATTACTGCGCGTTTGTTCAAGTCGAGCATGCAATGAAATAGGATATATTGTAAAAAATACTTGTATATTAAACTATCGATAGCAATTACATGTGTACTCTCTCGATAGAAATTGTAGAGTTTCCAGGAGCATAAATGATTTTGTAATATATATATTTATGAATTTCCAATAAATGAGTAAATGTCAAAAAAAAAAAAAGAAAGAAAAAGAAGAAGAAAAAAGTTATTCAAAAAATTCCTCTCTATATAAAGAAACTGTGCACTTGTCGCGCGACGAAAGCGTATCAATATTGATTTATCGATCGATGCACGGTCCGTCCGCAAGTTAGAAAAAGTATAGCAGCGTCTCAGTGGCTTTCACTATTGGGTCCGTGTATACAGACGTTACGCCTGTCAAGGCCGAGGAGAGACCAACGAGACCGGTTATTCGAGCTGTAATTACACCTCATCCCAACTCGTTGATCGCGAGCACGCGTTTAGCCTCAGTTCAGCCTCTTACATCAGTTCAAACGTATGCGTGCGTGGCCGTGGCGATTCGGAAATTAGAAACCATGAATTCTGCTCTACTCAAAGGTATGGTAAAACAAAATATTATGCGCAATTTTGACGAACAATTGATATCGAATAATGAAATGAATCAGCGAGGCACTGTTTGGTCGCTGCTGCCGGCAGGAGAAATGCAACCTCGCTGGCGGCTCTGTTGGAGCCAGAATTGCAGTCGATCAGAGACGCCGGTACTTGGAAAAACGAGAGGATCATCGCCTCGTCTCAGAACACCGAGATCGCCCTGAGCGACGGCAAGAAAGTTCTCAACTTTTGCGCCAACAACTATTTGGGCCTATCCGTAAGTCGATATAGTTTTTGTTATAAGTTGATATAGCGACTCTATGATATTGACGCGACGAGTCGTCGTGCGGCAGGACGACAAAGAAGTGGTGGAGGCGGCCAAGGTGGCGCTCGACCGCTACGGCGCCGGCCTGAGCTCGGTCCGCTTCATCTGCGGCACCCAGGACATTCACCGGGAGCTCGAGCTCAAGCTGTCGAGATTTCACGGCCGCGAGGACGCGATACTGTACGCCTCGTGCTTCGACGCCAACGCCGGCATCTTCGAGACTCTGCTGGGGCCCGAGGACGCGGTGCTCAGCGACGAGCTCAATCACGCCTCCATCATCGACGGCATCAGGCTGTGCAAGGCCAAGAAGTACCGCTACAAGCACCGCGACCTGGCCGATCTCGAGGCCAAGCTCGAGGAGGCCTCCGGGGCGAGGATCAGGCTCATCGCCACCGACGGCGTCTTCTCCATGGACGGCACCGTGGCGCCACTCGGCAAGATCGTCGACCTGGCCAAGAAATACGACGCCCTGACTTTCGTCGACGACTGTCACGCTACGGGCTTTTTCGGAAAAACCGGCAGGTACGGAGCTTGCGAGTGCTGCAGATTCTTTTCAAACCTAATTCATCTATTACGTTCAGAGGAACCGAGGAGTACTTTGGTCGCTTGGGCAGCGTCGACATAATCAACTCGACGCTGGGCAAAGCATTGGGCGGAGCTTCGGGCGGCTACACCGTCACCTCGAAAGCTCTGGTGGACCTGCTGAGGCAGCGCAGTCGGCCCTATCTGTTCTCGAATTCGCTTCCGCCACCGGTGGTCGCGACCGGCATCAAGGTCATCGATCTCATAAGCGAGTCGACCGATCTGTTGAAGAATCTCCAGCGCAACGTCGATCGATTCCGGCAGGAGATGACTCGGGCTGGCTTCAAGATCAGCGGCGACAATCATCCCATCTGTCCCGTCATGCTCGGCGACGCCAAGCTCGCCAGCGTCTTCGCCGATAAAATGCTCGGTAATTGTCGTTCAACCGGTCTAATTCCCACCGCAAAAGCTTCGAAAAGTATTTTATTCGTTTTTACGATTTTCTTTTTGCAGAAAAAGGTATCTACGTCATCGGATTCAGTTATCCGGTTGTGCCCAAGGGTTTGGCCAGAATTAGGGTACAAATCAGCGCAGCGCACACATTGGCCGAGATCGACAGGGCCATCAATGCATTCGTCGACATCGGTAAAGAGCTCAACGTCGTTGGATAATTTTTTCATCGAAAATCTTAACTATCGTCATCGTTTACCAATGATCGAACTGCTATATTGATTATTTTATAAGTTAAAAAGTTATGTAATTTCTAGTATATATTAAATATATTATTATTGACATTTTTAAACCGACATTTTATTTTCATGCTTTTTATATTATTTTATCGCTTAAAGTGATTGATTACTTAAAATTAAGAATCTAGCGTTTATACGCTTTTATAGCTTACAAAAATGAAGGCCTGTTGAAAAACGATAAGATAATGGCATTTGATGGTCTACATTTAGCCAAGTGTTTTTAATTCGTAAAAGTAAAAAAACCATAAAAACTATACGATCGCCCATTTACTCAATGATTTCGATATTTAAAATGAAAAGAGCTTACTTGGTATTTCACGACTCTAGTATTTTAATTTCTTAATAGAAAGGTAGACCCAGCTGTTTTCTGGGTATCGATCTTCCTTATTAAAATGCATCTGGATCGCCCAAAGCACGTCCAACGGTCAGGGGTTTTCCCGCCAAATTGTCTTACTCGCACGGCAACTCGAACTTTTTTCTCATTCTCGTCTGTTCAATGGCCCACCACAGATCGCCGGCCGTGTTTGAGTCACAGGCCTATTGATTGCGAATAATACAAACTTCTTACCTCATTCGTACTTATATCGCCGCGAAACTTGTACGAACGGGCACAGTCGCAGTATACACAGTGATACCGGCCTCGCGTGGTTGATAAACACAGCAGCACCCGACTCCCGTTTCTGCACGCTTACGCCGTTTGATTTCGATTGTCGCGATGGCGGAGGATCTTCCTTACCGAGTTGAATATGCCAAAAGTGGACGTGCTTCTTGCAAGGTCTGCAAATCTCCTATTGCCAAGGATTCTTTACGCATTGCCACTGTCGTACAGGTTAGCGAAATTATATGCTACGGTTTTATTTACAATTTTTCATGTGTCAACTGACAATCGCCGATTCAATTCAAATTGCTGTTGATATTTTTTAGACAAAATTTTATCTGTACAATTTTCATTTTAGAGTCCTTTTCACGATGGAAAACTTGAAAGATGGCATCATGCCAGCTGCTTTTTTCAAAAACAAAGACCTGGTAATACTGGGGATATTGCTCACTTTGATAGTATTCGCTGGGAAGATCAAGAAATGATAAGGAAAAAAATAGGTACTACAATTTTTTCTTTTTTTCTTCTGTCAATCAATCAAAATTCTATCTTGAAATTTTAATGTTTCTAGAAGAATCGTCTGGTTCAGCAGCACCTGCTCCAACAAAAGGAAGAAAAAGAACTAAAGCATCTGAAGCTTCAACTGCAGCTGCCAATGTAAACAAAGATTACAAAGTTGAGTATGCCAAATCCAATCGTTCCAAGTGCAGAGGCTGTGAAGAAACAATTATCAAAGGAGATATGCGTATCTCTAAGAAAGACTATGAAAGTGAAGATGCTCGTAAATTTGGTGGTCTTGATCGCTGGCATCATCTTGACTGTTTTGCCAAGATTCGTTCTGATTTAGGATATTTTGATTCTGGTACAAATCTTCCTGGAGCCAATACGCTAAGTGCCGAAGATAAAGATAAATTGAAGAAAGCCTTACCAAAGACTAATGATGCAGATATTCCACCAGTTGCTAAAAAACCTAAAAAAGAACCTGAAGATGCAGCTGAAGAAAAAGAACTGAAAGCTCAAACGAAAAAATTCTTCACTATCAGAGATAAATTAAAGGATTTGCCCAAAAAAGTTTTATTAGAATTGCTGGAATCAAATGGACAAACTCCACCTTCTGGTCAAAGTGAAGTAAGATCCTAACGATGAACAATTTTAATATCTATGAAATTGAATCTAATATTTACCTTTCCATAAACCTTATGTACTTGTAGATCTTAGATGCATTAGCAGACAATATGCAATTTGGTGCCTTAGAACGGTGTCCTAAATGCCCAGATGGTCAACTTAGGTTTGTCTCTGGAACTGGATATAAATGTACTGGGGCATTGGATGAATGGTCTTTGTGTGAATATCTTACTCAAGATCCTAAGAGAAAAAAATTTGTTGTACCAAAAGATTTGAAAGATGAATTATCTTACTTGTAAGTAAAGTATTTTGATAATAACAAGATAACATTTATTCTTGAATGTAATTTGCAATTTGAATATTAAAATTTACAGATCTTCTTACAAATGTAAAATACAACGTCGAGCCCTTAAAATTACGGCACCAACTTATTCAAGCTCTGTCAAGAAAGAAGATGTAACAGATGGCCCTAAAGTAAAGCCTGAAAAACCAAAGCCTTTAAAACACATGGAGTTTGTAATTACTGGTAAAACAACAAAAAGTAAGGATGAACTTATGAAAGAAATTTTATTGTTGGGTGGTTCTGTGAAAACCAAAGTATCAAAAGAAACTGCAGCTGTAATTGCTTCGCCGATTGATGTAGAGAAAATGATAGCAAGAGTTGCAGATGCTCAAGATCTCGATATTAATGTTGTATCAGAAGATTTCGTTGAAGAAGCTAAAGATTTCACGGATACGCCTTTTACTCTTATAAAGAAAAAATCAATAGCTCCATGGGGAAGTGATCCATCAACTAGAATTTCTAAATCTATCGCTACGGTAAATTTTGTTTAATAAGTACTAATTATTTAAATTAATGTTGAGATGATACTTACTAAATGTTATTACAGAAATCAGCTTCGCGAGGTAAAAGCAGGTACGAGAAATCGGGATCAGGAACAGCAAAATTGAAAATAAAAGGGGGTGGTATTGTTGATCCAGATAGTAATCTTGAAAATGAAGCTCACGTTTACCAACGTGGAAAAGAAAAGTTTACTGTAACTTTAGGTTTAACTGACATTCAATTAAAGAAAAATAGTTACTACAAGATGCAAATATTAAAACATGACAAGCATGAACAGTATTGGTTGTTCCGTAGCTGGGGTCGCATTGGTATGTATTAATTCTTATTTTATGATGAATGAATATGAATAATTAAATTTTTACTAATATATAACATAATTAGGAACGACGATTGGTTCAACGTCTTGTGATAAGATGGGATTAGAAAATTGCGAGGAAAAATTCAAAGCGTTATATGAAGAAAAAACAGGCAACTCATGGTCAAATCGTGACCGCTTTGTTAAAATACCGCAAAAAATGTACCCTATTGATATCGATCATGGAGATGATGAAGATACTTCAAAATTGCTTGATTCTAACATTGAAAGTAAACTTAAAAAGCCAGTCCAAGATCTTATGCGTCTTATTTTCGACGTCGATTCTATGAAGAAAGCCATGCTTGAATTTGAAATTGATATGGACAAAATGCCACTTGGAAAAATTTCAAAAAAACAAATTCAGCAAGCATACACTGTGCTGAATGAACTAGCTGGACTGATAAAGGAAGGCTGTACAGAAAAAGCCAAATTCATTTCTGCTACAAATAAATTTTACACTTTTATTCCCCATAGCTTCGGCGTAGATGGACCATCCATTATCGAAACTGATGCTGAGATTCAGACGAAAGTTGAAATGTTGGAATCTCTGCTTGAAATGGAGATTGCTTACAATCTCTTGCACGCCAAGACAGATGCAAATCAAAATCCACTGGATGCTCATTATGAACAACTCAAAACGAAGATCGAAGTTTTGGATCGCGAAAGCGACGAGTTCAAGCTTATCGAGAAATACGTTAAGAATACTCACGCTGAAACTCACAAACAATACGAGCTCATTGTCGAAGAGGTCTTCATTGCTAACAGAAGTGGCGAAGAGAAACGCTACAAACCATTCAAAAAGTTGCCGAATCGAAAACTATTGTGGCACGGTTCTAGAACTACAAATTACGCGGGTATTTTATCTCAGGGTCTCAGAATCGCACCACCCGAGGCACCTGTCACTGGTTACATGTTCGGAAAAGGTAAGCCTCTCAAAATTTTCTTTAAAGCAATGAATAATTTGATAGGTAACGTGATAATTTTATTTTCAAATAGGTATTTACTTTGCGGATATGGTATCTAAATCAGCAAATTATTGTTGCACAAATTCGCAAAAGCCAACTGGTCTGCTATTACTTTGCGACGTCGCATTGGGTAATATGTACGAACGTTATCATGCAGATTACATTGAAAAGTTGCCATCTGGTAAGCATTCAACTTGGGGTCGTGGTCAAACTCAACCTGACCCAGAAAAAAGCGTCAAACTCAAGAGTGGCGTTGAAGTGCCATGCGGTCCCGGTATGCCAGCTGATTTGGCTCAAAAATCCTCATTACTTTACAATGAATTTATCGTTTATGACGTCGCTCAAGTCAAAGTTGAATATCTTGTTCGTATGAACTTTAAATATAAATATTAAAGAATATATCTTGCGGCGACATTTTTTTATTTATTGATAATTAATTTTGGTAATTTGTACATTTCTCACAATTTGTAGCACCCGTTCTGAATTTCTTGACTATTATTTCATACGAACGTAACCATTATATATTTTTAATTTTTTTCGTCATTGCATAACAATAAGTGTTGATATACAAATAATATCGATTGTGTTTCCGTTACTGAATTATTGTGTTTGTAAGCCTTGTATTTAATAATTGTTGAGATGAAATTCAGGAGCCTATCAATTTTTCAAGTATTATCTGAACGAATATTGTTCATCCATTCACTTGTAATGATATAATATGTTTGTACTGTTCTTTGGTTTGTGATATGTTGAGGTTGTCAACGATATTTTTCTACTTTTTACAATAATTGTTAAAAATAGTGGTCGAGAACTTTACCGTAATAGAAAATAAAAATTATTTTGAGCGATAAAAAATCTTGTAAATCTAATGCGAGTTTTCTTTTCCTAAAAAGTGCATGCCGTGTATAATGGTCAGTAACTCAGGTCTGAAGTTGTCGCAAGCTCTTTCGGCGTCCGACGTTTACAACCTCCACGCGATATCCCCAATAAAAATAAACTCCTCGACGTCATTTGAGTGTAAATAGAAGAAAAAAAAATTGTCCAGTGAAAAAAAAATTGACTAATGCCCCGGTGTAAGCTCGAAAAGTCGTGAAAATGTCGAGCAGAGTCGAGAGATCGCCTCCAAGTCATCCAAGTCATCAGTACAATAATGAGCAGCGATGACGACGCCAACTGGGACGATCAGCTGGCCGAACGGTTCCTCGAGCAGTATCAGCGCCACGAGTGCCTCTGGAATCCCGCGGACGGGTCGTTCGACGATTTCTGCGCCCGGACCGAAGCTCTGAGAAAGATCGTCGTCCGGCTAAACAATCGCGTGACTTTCGAGGAGTGCCTGGGCCTCGTCAAGCGCATAAGAAAGAGGTTGGACCTGATTCATTGCGCGATAACTCGAATATCAAAATCGAAGCGTGTCCGCGCAGGTACGAAGAGCTGAATGATCCTCGGGACGTGGCCGATCGCAACCGTGAAAATTCGAGATGGCTGGGGATCGTCGACGCGATGCTGCAACGCGTCGTGCGTAACGAGAAACGACGAGAGTTGGCATCCTGCAACGGGCGAAAATGCAATAGCAGCTCGGTCCGGCCACTTTTTCGTCACTCGATCGGCTCGAGCAAATGCAAAGAGATTCCGCCGGCTCCGATAAAGCTGGGGAACGTGAGTAAGAGTCGTACGATCGATACTCCCTATATTACGAAGGATCGTCGCGACGTTGAGCGAGGCCGATCGTCGCGTTTCAGAGTAAAAATCCGTGCAAAATCCCGCTCGGTGCAAAGAAATTCAAGAAGAAAAAGCAGCCTCGAGACAGCATCAAGTGCAACAACAAGCTGGAGAGAGAAAAGTGCAGCAGGACGGACGGAGCGGCTACGCGAGAGAGGGCCGGTTGCGGAGGTAATCATCGTTCGCGCAATCAACTTTCTCACCAACAATTAAGCCAGCACTCGTCTCGAAGACAAAAATTGTCCCGGACACTCGTCGTCGCCGCGCTGGTCGAGCTACAACAGGGAGTCGGCGGAGGAGCCGATCGGCTGTCCCGGCTACGCCAGCCACCTGTCGAGATTGACGCGCGTCCAGAACCTATGCCAGAGCAGCGAGGCAACTTGTCCCGATGCGACAGCCGCCGGTCTGCCCACGGAGAACTTTGGCCGTCGACGACACCCCGAGCTGATGCCGGCGGTCACGAGTCCCCGAGGCTGCGCCGCTCCCTCTAAGCCTCCGAGGCCCGGCTGCGGCTGCAGGAGCGCCGCCACCTCGCCGACGCGACCCTCCAGGAGCCGAGAGAGGCCGTCCACGTCGACGTGTCCGCGAACGAGGCCACCCTCGGCCTGTCCCGGCTGTCCGTGCCTCCTCGAGCGGCCCAAGGAACCCGAGGCCTGCACGAGGAGCACCTGTCCGGCCTTCAAGAGACCCTGTCCGAGCAAAGTCGCCTGTCCTCCTCCGAGTCAGCAGAGGCCCTCGACGAGCTGCTGTCCCGGCAGGCCCAAGTCACCCCCACCTCCGGCGAGTTTCCAGTGCGAGGATCGACCCAAGGTCTCGGCCAAGTTCGAGAACGGCGTCCTCGAGGCTTACTCGCAGTTCAAGGTGGTCTTCCCGAGCTCGGATCAATGTCGAGCGGGCAAATCCTCCCAGAGGGTCCAGACCGATCGTCTGACCAGCGAGAGGGCCTGCGCCGTTCGAAGCGCCGATCTGCGCCGCCGCTCCCACAGCTCTCACCGCAGCGGACAGCGATCCAAGAGCCGCTCCAAGTCGTGCCGGAGGAACGCCCGCTGCGGCACCGAGGACACTTACGAGCCTCCAGGTGAGCGTATACAGGCAAAACGAGAAATTGAACGGAATTGATGGAAAATTCGGTCGTTTCGCTCTCTGCAGCCTACAACAGCTGCAGCTCGACGGACGAAGCGGCGGAGCAGCAGCCCTCGGGCGAGCACAGCTACGTCCTTTTGACGCCCGGCGGCAAGTACGTCCCGCTGGTGCGCACCAACTCCGACTCGGACGAGAGCTGCGCCCTCGAGACGCAGCCGGAACATTGTGTCCCAGCAGGTCTCTTATCATAATGTATCTCGACCCTCCTAATTTCCGAACAAATCGAATCGATCGGGCAAATTTTCCAGGCGCGTCGCGCAACTGCGACAAAAAGTGCCTCGGCGCCGATCAGCAGCAGCCGGAAAACGACTCGACGACGACCAAGCTCTTGCTCCGCTGCCTCGAGCAGATGCTCAACTTGGAGGAGCAGGACGTCGACAAGTGCCCCAAGCCGCCCCCCTCTGGGGAAGCCTCGCAGCAATGCGGCCGTAACGGCAAGTCGTCGTCGAGCAACCACTGCCGCCTCGATCGCAGTCCCACGGCCACTGGTAATAAAGCAGCTTCTTGCGCCGCCGATGGACGCTCCAAGAGTCGCTCCTCGAGTCCGCCCCGCGCCAAGCTCACCAAGAACTTCCTCGAGATTCTCCGTTGCGCTTTGGAGCTCGACAACAACAACAACAATAACAAAAAGGACGATGACCGCGATTGCTACGAGGACGCGTCGCCCCCGTCGCGCTCCGGTCGTCGCAAGGGTTGGCATTCGGAATTTTTAGCTCGATTATCAAACGTCTCTTCTTAGATCGATGACTGTTTCCTCGACAGATTGCCCACCGCCTCAAGAGGACGAGGAGGAGGAAGTCTGTCGCGAACGAATCCGGTGCGATCGGCAGCTCGCTTCCGCCGTCGTTCGGCCCTCGCGGAACAAACCCAGGCAGCAGTGCATCCGATTTGATCCCGAGTGCGACGATCCACCTCCTCGTGCGAGACCTACCCGAAGTGAGAATTCGAAAGCTTTCCAAATCTCCAGCTCCGGCTGGCTACATTGTTATTTCCTTCGATTTTTGGTAGTTTGCGGCGGTGGCAGTAGAGAGTCTTATTCGCTCGACAAGACTCGAGACGCGGACATCCACGAGCTGATCAAGCGACTTCCGAATTACGAGAACGACGACGACGACGACTTTGCCGATCATCGAGTCCACTACGAGGACGTTTACGACGACGAGGATGTTCTTTACGAGCGAGACGAGGATCGCGCATTGTCCGTGCGACCGAAGAGAAAATTTTGAAAATCCATCCATTTTTTAAGCTATCAATTTTTAAATAATGTCAAGCTTCGTCGAATGTCAACTTTGCAAAAAAGAATAAAGAAAAATATTTGTTTCACTTGGATGAGCGTACGATCTTTTTCTATGGCAGAGATTCAAATGACGATCGGACATGTCTATAAACCTTAACCAAATTCTCGTGAAATACCGCTAAACACTACGATAAAATTAAAAAAAAAAAAAAAAAACTGAAAAAATAAGGAAAATGAAAGTAAGCCGGCACATATCGTCTGAATCGCTGCCCGACTGGGTATTGTCGGACAAGAACATCCTGCGCTTCTTGGCGCTTTACCGAGTACTAGATTTTCTGTGGAACCCGCGACACCCCATGTATCACGACACGATTTTGAGAGGCCGCATATACGACGAGATCGCTCGGCAAATGCAAGTGTGCCTCGTCGACGAACACGAATGTCTCAAGTTTATGGAGTTTCTGAAGAGCAAATACCTCGAAGAGAAAAGAATCAAGAAGGGCAAGAGGCCCAAATGGTTCCTAGTTATCGACAGAATGGTGAAAGACGTTGCCTATCCATGCAGAACCCCGAGTGAGTCAATTTTTCTTGGTCCGATATTCGTTATGATTTTGGAGCTTTGTGCTTTTATAAGTTACTGCATGATTCGGCGCGTTCGCTACAAGTACTTAATTCGGTGAAAATGAAAATAAGCTCGAACGTATTTGCAGCTTCGTCGTTGGTGAGTTTGAGCAGCGTAACAGTTTCATCCGATCGGCCAGGTTGCGGATGTCCCTCGGATTCGCAAAAAAGTTACTACTCTACGGACTGCGATACGAACGGCGATACGAGCGGCGATACGAGCGGCGATACGAGCGGCGATACGAGCTGCGATACGAGCTGCGATACGGACTGCGATACGAGCGGCGATACGAGCTGCGATAGCTCCAGCGACAGATCGTGTGTTTCGTGTGATTCGTGTGAAAAATAGAGAACCCGAGAAGCCCAAGGACGATTGGAGCGTCAACCCTCTCGATTTGGATGACCTCGTGCGTCGAGCCAATGGCTCCTTTTCGAATTCGTCCATCTCGTCTCGGATCAGGATCGATCAACTGCATAAGATGACGTGTTTGATTAGTCCTGTCAACTTGAAAACGAATTCGGTGCTGTCGATTACTAATTATTCTAATTACCAACTTTAATAACGAATGCATCTAATTCTGAAATTTTACGACTAAAAAGTTGTAGCTCGGTTTTATGAAAAGCTCACATTTTTTAATCGAAAATGTGGCACATGATACGTTTAGTATCTCCTTACTGAAAAGAAATCTTGTACATCGATATAATACATTACTTTTTATCAAGTCAATTGAAATGAATCAAATAAATAATGGACAATAAGGTATTTCATCGTTCAGAAAACAATTTCTTTAAGAGAAACAAGGACAGGATTGTATGAATAATAGTCCAGTACAATTTTCAATTTTCATTTTTATATACCAACACTTTTGTTCAATGTAAATAAGTTGTCATGAAAAAACTACCACAAACTTCATTCTCACTTGCACATGATTACAGCCCATCGACTGTAGAATATGTTTTTGTCGCGTTTTCTGTCCATCATAGTTTGCTCGTCGACAGATTTTTAAGTACATTGCGGTATACGCGGCTTTCGTTTTATGATTTGTATAAGGCAATTTAGTTCGCGGTTGCACAAACTGTAGATCGGATTTTTTTGATTGTTCGTAAATTGCATATGTTTCGTTTGCTTATCGATATATCTAAGACTAGGAAGAATTACTGCAGCCTGTTCAAACGTGTGACATTTAAAAATGTACTCTAAAAGCAGGATTTACAATACGAATACTTATTACAATCTGGTATATATTATATTAAATATATATTGTGTACAATATCACTCCGTTCAGAGATGCATAAAAAATTGATAATGTTTCTATAGCTATTCCTGAATTAAGGGAGTTTAATATTGATATATTGTCAACTTTTTTGTTGAAAAAATTGAGTCTGACTTTCTATCAAATTATACACACGATCGATACATGGTAAAACACTCAAATCACCCTCGTGATTAGTTCGTTACAATTGTCATAAAAGTTTTCCGCGATAAATCATTTAAAACAGATTAAAATGATGGTCAATGTTGAGTCGTACATTTTTACTAAATGTTATCAATCGTTCCACAAAAAAAAGTGACAACATTTAAAATAAAGCAAAAAAATATACGACTCGACGATAAAAGTTCTGAAGGAAAAGCCATCAGCACGACATTCAATGTTTAAAAATCAGTATAATTATAATACTGCCGTTGCATACTACGTGATTTTTAAAACATAGTGAAAATCTTGATATTGCACTTAAACCTCGATAATCTGGCTCCCTCGCTTTGGTTTTGCAGGAACCTTAAAATACCTCCGGTAGGAAAGAAACAAATGCGCAAGTTCACAAAAATTGCGAGCTTTGAGGGGGTAAAGATTATTTGTTTTTTTCCTAACCAGATTGACTAGTTTACATTATAAAATTTGCAACTGCATATTTGGAGAGCAGTCGTTTCTCTTTTTGGTACGTTTCGTCCGCATCGGATGCGTCGTTCTCCCCCGAAATTATTATAATTTATTTAAATGTACACTCGTAGAAGATATGCTCTGTTGTGCTTTTTTCTGCACTTCAAGTTGAAGATCATCGCTCGGTACGATCAGAAAAGAGCGTGGATAAAAAAGAATCAAGTGCATGCAAAAGTGTACACACTCTTGCGTTGATTCATCGGTAGAGTGATATTTAATTGGTCTTTTTCTGATCGGCCTTTTCGTCCTTGGCCTGTCCACGGCCCAAGATTTTAGCCAACGAGTCCCAAATACCTCCCAGGAACAGAGCGCAGAATAGATTTTCGAACGGCACAATCGGATCGTGGATGCCGAGTAGTATGGACGATAGCTGCAACGAGACGAAAAATGGCAATCAATGTAAATCGATGTCAATGCAAATCGCTCAACAAGTACCTTAAAGTACACGAAGAATATGACGATGCCGAAGTAGACGAGTGCGTGGGGCGCCGCAATGAGATCAGTCTTCTTGTCCAGAACGAAAATAATGGAAGCTAAGAGGGAAGCCTTGGTCGGGCTGTAAAAATGGCAAAGAAAAAAATAAATAAACGAGTGTGTTCGTGACGAGCGCGTGACTTTTTTTTTATCGCACAACGAGGAGCACTGTTATACTCACAAGCTCGGCTGCATGAATTCCATGGCTGTTGGTGTCCACGCGCCGCGTATCAGACGCTCGATCAACTTTATGAAAGCAGCTCCGTTTCCTGCGAAGAAAAAAATATATTTCGTCCATCGTTCAAAGCGACTCGACTCGCAAATTGAAAGCCACTTTACCTTTGAGAGTTCCGACGAGTATCATGATGAGGTAAGCGCTTGGATAGAGTTTTCCGGCGTGCGTTACGCCATCGTAGACCTTTTTACACCTGTAGACCTCCTTCATAGCCGAGCAAACGATTTTTACGGGCAAAAACTTGGCTACCTTGTAACCGATGTCGAACGGCGTGTAAAATATCACGTACCTGAAAGGAGCAAAAAAGCGAGATAGGAAAGTGAGTTGCATCAACGGAAAAGAACGAGGAGACGAAAGAAGAAACGTTTACCATACAACGGTGGCAACGAGAACTTGAGGCGTGTTTTTCAGCGGGGCGAGTATGGGCTCGCCCAGCAGGCCGTTGCAGAGCATACCGCTGGAAAAGACGACGAGCATCGTCGACAGCCAGCACGACAGCGGATGTTTTCTCGAAAACGCCTGAGCGCCTGTGAACATTAAAAAAAAAAAGAGCGACGTGACGAAATATTTATCAACAAAAGCCACGTGACGCGTCGGAGAGATCGTCATGGGCTGATTCGACGCGCTGTAACATTTGCCTAATCGGATGGTAAAAGTGTAAATGGTTAAATGCGCGGTCGCTTGCACACGGCGTAGGTACAGGGCGGAGATTGCGTAAAGTCCACGTGCGGGCCAACGTATATAATGCTTTCGCAATTGTTAAAATAGACGAGAGGCTTTTAAACGCGCGCGAATAGGCCGTCGTGCGGTTTATATAGTCGCTACGTACATAATTTCGTTGGAGCGAGAGAGAGAGAGAGAGAGAGAAGAAAAAATAACAGCGGAGCGTTGAACTTGGAGCGTAATAGCGGGCCTCTGTTAATCGTGGATGTTGGTTTAAGCGAGTTGAAGAAAATAAAGAAGTCGCCGCTACGCCGCCGAGGGGGTCCACCGCAGCGTCGTCGGCCAGTTAGATTTTCTTCGGGTAGCGCACAGAAATAGACGAAATAACTGGGAAACGAGTGTGTGCGCGTGAGTGTAATACATAAAATCGATTGTGCCAAGAATTTTCGCGGGGTAAATCGCTCGAGCGAATCTTGGAGCACCTGCGTAATTTTTGGCGCGTTATACAGAGCGGCGCTTTTCAATTTCGCCAGTTTATACTCTCGCGTCGTTCGGAGAGGCAAATCGATCGAATCGACGATATACCTCGATACCTCCGGTGCGACGCTCGATCATCGCGTTATAGAAATGTACGAGCGCGCGTAAAACATTACGCGTTTATGAATAATCAAACGACCACAACACGGAGGACGCGGCTCGCTGGAATAATCGGAGCTTTTGTTTTTATCTGCGCGTCGATAATCGCGGTCGATCGATGAACTTGTTTTTTTTTTCTGTCTCCGATAATAATACTTTCGCGTCTCTGACTCGCTGCGGACACTTTCACCGCGGGATAGGCGCAAAATAGAATCGCTCCCGGTGCATTAGCCGCGCGCGCGCGTGCAAAATCACGACGATAATTGGAAAAAGTGCAAAGCTAGGGATATTCCGCGCGTGTAAAAAGCGCCATACCAGAGAGAGAGAGAGAGAAAGAGTTGAAAGTTAATATATATATAGAGAGAGAGAGGGGCTCCCTTTTAATAATAGAAATCCCTCGGTAGAGCGCGATATGTCGTCGGGGCTTCAGTCGCTATATGCCGCAGTACACATGAAGCTATGTAGCTATATAGCTATATACACACACGTTCGTTCACACACATGCAGATGATGTCGCGCGATCTCGCGTCTATGCGTGTACGTGTGCTGTGTTACTAGATAGACATGTATACAAGTACATTGTATAGACATGCAGTGGCGTGCTATGTACCACGTACTATATAGTTGAGAAAAAAGTAAACTCACCGGGTCCCAAGTCCTCTCTGACGTGTAGCGCGCACAAGACACTGTGCGCTATGTCGAAGTAGGGAAACATCTTGAGCTTGACCACTTGGTTGGCCATGTCGAGAAAAGCTTCGGCATCCATATTTCGGCCTCGATCGATGCGCTCGCGTTAACAAAAGAGAAAAAAGTTGCTGCTGCTGAACGCGCGTCACTCGCAGTTGTTTGTTGCTCCTTTTATCTATCTATCTATCGCTGCTGCTGCTCCTCGTCTCTTTAGCTCGGGCCTATATTTAGTATTTAGTCGAGTCTCTTATTTGCAAGCCAAAGCACTACTTGCACGCACGACGTCGAGGAGCTTACGAGTGTATGCGTCGTCGCATGCGTATGCAGTGCCGACGAGGAGAAAGTGACGCGCGTCTGGCCTGTTGCTGTCTATAACTGATGCTGTCTACTGGTGCTGCTGGCTGCTGCCCGTGAGCGCGGCGTTGCTCGACTGAGCGCTACTTCGACTCGAGTCTCTCTCGAGCCAACGGCACAAGCAGACGAGAGCACAACAGCAGCAGACGGCTAAAAGCAAAAGCGTCGCCCCTTACATGTATATAGCTATACGTGTGTAGCGCGTATAGGCTCGCGTTTCGTAGTAGTTGTATAGCGTCGAAGCTCGCCAGCCTGTATATATATCGTGCTATACAAGCTCGAATTACTGCACCGTCTGGAGCGTCGACGTACGATTACGGACAAAAAGTTCATTTACGCGACGATCGTTACGTTAGTGCTCCTGCTTTACCTGCTCCGTACGCGTAAATTTGTTACTACTCGTTTTTATTTTTATTTTTGACGAAAAACTCAACTGTCTCGCTCGAGTTGGATTGAGAAAGTTTTGCTTTTGAAAGATTCATACTTAAATAGTAAGTTCGTGCCTAGCTTCAAATGTCGACGGCTGAAATTTGACTCCCTCGAAGGCAAATATTTTCGCGGCGAAAGTGGTAAGGATCCAGGAATCGTTGAAAATTCGAACGACGCGCCAATAAAATAGTACAATAATTAACACAATTTACAAATTTACATTTGCCTCGATAAGATGCAGCTTTTTTCGAGAGAGGCATTGCCATCCCCGGCATGCGAAAAACATCTCGATGTCAGACATAAAGAACGATCGCAAGTTCGGGACCGAGTTTTCTTTCGATCCGCGAGCACGCGACGCGAACGAGCGAAGCTCGCAAGCTCCGGCTTCGAAGTCGAGCGGACGATACTCGGAAGCATCGGTACCGATTGCTCGGCAAAATGGTGAATATTTAATCTTCGAAGTTGACAGGCAAGTTGACGGGGAAGTTGGAAAAAAAGCTCCGCGTTACTCGAAGCTATAATCGAAGCGATCGCGCGACAACGTACGAACTCGTTGACTGTACAGGAAATATCGGTCGCTCAACGTACGTATAACAGCGATCGTGCGTGCATAGTGGTATCACAGTATTCAAGGCGCTCGTTCGAACGAGCGAGTTGGCGATCCCCACCGCAGAGTCTCGTATTCTCTCTCGAGTTTTGCTCCGCCGCTGCCGCTGCTGCTGCTGCGTGTTTATGTGTGTATGGAAAATTGGCATATATACTACGAATACACCGCTGCGAATGTGTCGTCGTATATATTCGCGCACGAGTCAGTGTCCGGCGCTAGCTCGCTGCCGCTGCAAAAGTGTATCTCTCTCGTCTTTCTTCCTCGACTTTCTTCCTCGTGCGATACAAGTAACAAGTGCATTACGAGCAGCCGTGTTGACGATGCGTCGTTGTAGCGAGTAAAAAGCTGGTGCACGTACGGCTCGTGATAAAGTGCTAAATGTGCAGCTCTATCGACAGCTCGTCGTTATTATTTTATAATAAATAGAAAGATGCCGATGAAGCACGAGGCGATGATGTCTCGCAGCGAGGCGCTCGACATCATATCCAACTGGAGCTGCTCCGACGTCTTGCTCTTGCTCAAGAAGGTGAGTAAACTCGAGAGCGTATAATATGTGGAAGACGGACGAGTGAAAAAGAGAGATGGCGAAGGATCCGTGTCGCGATCCCTTTGAGACGCACTCGTACAACTATATACATACATATATACAGGCTTACTACGGCTCGGCGGATTATCGGAATGTGCACGCGAGCGAGCGAATGGAGCGATGCGCTTTTATACGCGTTGTTTTCGTATTATGGGCGCGGGTGGCACGCGCTACAGCTGACTACTGCACACTGATCTACATACACACCAAGACCATCATATATACTTACGTGTGTGTGTGTGTGTGTGTTGTGACGCGCGATCTAGCACATGACTGCTAATATGTACAATGAGTAGAGATAACGATTCTTTGCCCGATATTCGCCAAAGACTCGGGGGCCAATTTGTTTCGCGACTACCACGTGCTGTGCTCTGCTTCGAGATACTTACTCGTTGGCTTGTTTTTTCTTACTCACTTTTCTTAGGCACTATTTATATACACCTATTCGTTATAATCGATTGCAATTTCTTCCGTACGCTGGATACACCTTGTCATTGATCGTCGTTGCTCGGTGCAGCTATCAGTCGTTAAACCCCGCGCGCTCGTTCTAATGACTAATTTGCAATGACTCTCTCTCTCTCTCTTTTAAATACTAATTGCAATGATTACGATGCAGCGCGTAAAATAGATTTCGACGCATCGCAGCTCGTTGCCGAGCGACTACTGAACCACCCAATGCGGCTGTTTATATGTTCGGTACTCGTCGCATCTTAATTTGGACATCGCGTCGAGTTGAAAAAAAAAAGAAACGATCGATACGTTTATAGGGATATTGCATCGATGACACTGTACGATAACAACGCGTTGTTGTAAGACGTCGATCCGCGTGCCACCGATCAATCGATCATAAGCAATGCTGCATAATAATCCGTAAACGCGCTGATCGATATTCACGATCGACACGGCTTATAGTAAACGCACGACTGTTTCACTCCGTCGACCGTTGTTTTTTAGCGCGCAATGCCCGTAACGGCTCGTTACGTTAAACAATTAATGTGTCTCGATGAAAAAATATAGCTCGATGAAACAGGTGCGATTCATGTATACAAGCGAATGCGACGCACGCGTGTATTTTGAAAGCATAGAGACGCAGTGCCTGGCAGTTACTGCTACTAAATTCCTCGGGACATGCGTGCGTGTCTTCCTGCGCTGTAATAATGTATAACTCGTTTGAGACTAGAGAGTTTCTAAATATCTACAATTTTGCAATCATACACTGATAAAAATATCGTCCACTTCGATCACTGCCAAAGTGCTTGCAGCCTTAAACATTCACGTTCTGAAGGCTGTGGCACGTTTTCGATTGGCTTTGCAATTTTAATTATTTAAAAACCGCACGAGTTGGATCGATTGGGTTATTCTTTACAATTTTTTTAATCTTCAAATTTTTCTAATAATTTTTCATATTTGAGTTTTGAATGTTATGAATTTCGCGCCATATTGAATTCTCCCCAGCATCGGGATCGCGACGGAAATGATTTGGAGCAACGCCGTGGACAAGTTTAATCGTACATCGCAGCAATTAGCTGTTGCGAATTTTTCCTGGGATATGATCGATGTACTTTTGGATCAAGGTGCTGATCTGTCTAGCTTCGTTTTTCCCGCCGAAAGATTGGAAACGCATTACGTTCGAGTTTGGTATTATTTTAAATTAAGACTAGCACCTGGTGCTCTGGCAGTCGTAGAAAGTCTGGAGAAAAGAGGATACGAACTGGACCAAAAATGATGCCCTTACTATCATGAAATTGTTCGCCAAGTACGAATTATTCGAAAAGTCAGCGGATCTTGAAAAAAATTGGTACGATGACGAGGAGTTTGCGAGCAAAGCGAAAAAATGTATGCGGCGAAACCGAATCTGTCGCTCTATGATCTGATTCAATTACGACCAGAAAAGGCAGAGAAACTATTCGCTTTTACGGACTGCTTCTATTTCGCACGTTCATTTAATCTTAATCTCGACTATTTCGAGAGTTATGATCGCGCTTGTGCTTTACATTTGTGTGAGAAACTATCGAGACGATTTTTCCGGAGCTGGGCAAATAAAAGTGGTGTTCAAATAAAAGTTGTAGAGTTCCATAAGTCCAAAACGCAACGAATTTCACCCCCGCGTTCCTACAGACCTCCTCTACGAGGTGGTGTCGGTCGCTTGCTGTTATTAATTTATGTCAGAAATGAGCTCATACATAGCTGGATGAAACAGGTGCGATTCATGTATACAAGCGGCTCCGAACGCGACACGCGTATATTTTGCAAGCATAGAGACGCAGTGCCTGGCAGTTACTGCTACTAAATTCCTCGGGATATGCGTGTCTTCCTGCACGCTGTAATAATGTATAACTCGTTTGAGACTCGAGAGTCTCTAAATATCTACAATTTTGCAATCATATCATAGCACAGGGAGATGGAGAGAGAACGTGACGTTGGCTCAACGCATGTGCGTTTCAACAATTCCATCGCGAGCTCTCCTTTCGCCGCAGTTCAGCTCCTTGGTGGCGGCTCTCAATTATAGGACGCTTAACGATATATCTCATGATCTCTGTTTTGGCTGTTTAATTTTTTACTCTCTCTTTCTCTCTGCTGGTCATTCGCACAGGTCATTCTTTCGCGACTAGTCACTTTTTTCTCTCGGCCGACTCTACTTAATTTTTTGTCTCGCTCTCTGCCAACAGAGTGGCGTGGGGGAGGCCTGCTGCAAGGCGGCCGAGAAACGCCAGATCGACGGGGACGAGCTGCTCGTGAGTACACACATTTCCTTTTTTTAATACGAGATTCGGTATAATGGTAATTTACGATTACGCAGCACTTGACCGAGGGCAAATTGGCACTGTGGAAGACGGACCTCGCGAGGCCTCACATATGGGACTTGTGGACGTTCGTCGAGGAGGTGAAAAAGAACCCGGAGGTATTTGCGCAAGGAGCGGAGCAGCCGCGGGCCGATTCGTCGATCGGATCGGAGGAGACCCGAGCCGAGTCTCGAGCGAGCAGCTCCGACAACATATCCTGGGACGCGGACCAGGTCATCGCCTCGACGCCCAAAAGCCAAACGAACCCGACCGGCCGAGACGACGACGCGAGCCCGGACTTTCGCAGCAGCTTGAGAATGTTTCAGGAGAACGACCGGCGCAGCATGCGAGCCGATCCGCTGCGATCGTCCAATGTATCGTAAGTGCCAATAATTTCTTCCTCGAACTTTGCTGCCAATTACGCTACGTCGATCGATTTCAAAGGCTGAACCGTCGCTCGCAAGACAAGTCCCTCGAGGAGTCGCCTCCGGACGGCTCCGCTACTTACGCCAACATCTCCGCCACCGTCGTCAACGACCAAACGACCTACGCCAATTTGCCGTTCGCCAACGACCAAACGACGACGACGACAAAACACAACGTCGAGCAGGCTCAGGAGGAGACGTTGAAGAACTCGTCGCGCCTCCACAAGTCCGGCCCGACCAAGAGTTTGGCCGACCAGCTGAGGGAGCAGTTGGAGATCAGGGCTAATCGATCGCCGAACAAATCCAGCCCCGCTCAGAGGCCGGACGATACGACAGACAAGCCGAGGGAGTCGTTTTTGCACTGCGCCAAGAGCAACGGCACCACTGGAACCTCCCATACGCTACCCTATTTTCACAGTTAGTTTTTTTTTTCCCCTTGAAAATCAATGACCGATTAAATACAACGATGGCCGATCGCAGGGAATCGAAGGAGCCCGGTAAGCGGAGTGGCGTCCCTGGACACGTCGTCCAGGGCCAGTCAAGGCTCGACCAGTGGCAGCGACGGCGGTGATCAAGCCCAGCAGCTCCGTAATCTGCCGAAGCCGCCGGCGTCGATGAGCCTGCGCGAGCTCGATCTCGTGGCGAATCTGCCGCGCAGGCCCACCGTCGGCAGCGACAGCGACGCCGACGCCGAGGACGAGGAGGACTACGACGGGGAGGGCTACGAGGCCTTCGACGAGCAGATCGTCGAGCGCCATCAGCAGCAGCGAGGCTCCGTCGTCAGCGTCGACTCGTTCGCCAGCGTCCGCGACGATCACGGACTGCCGCAACAACAACAACAACAGCAGCAGCCGCCGCAACAACCACCGCCACCGCCTCCCCCGGACGGTGGTGGCCTCGACGACGAGGAGGTTTACGAGATCTACGAGTCCATCACGGAATCGGTGAGCCCTTGTAACTCGACGATTTTCCTGTAACGAGACTTTCATTCAATGTGTCGCTGCAGCCTGATGACGAAAACGGACGGGAGTACATCAATGCCGATTTCAAGGTGAGACCGGATCCGCCTCCCTTACCAGCCAAGCCACCGCCCAATCTCACTGCCAATTTGAACAACAAGAACAAGACTGAAGCCAAATCAGGTTCGTTGACTTCGATTATACTCGTACTAGGTATTATATAAAAACTCCCGTAACGACACACGTGCGCTCGCAATTAGACGAGTGCCTTTTTCGATTCTTAATGTTTACCGTGCGAACAATCGATCGACGAGTCATTTCCAAACAAAACGATTTGGAGCGAGCTTATTTATAGATCACTCGCGTTAAAAAGGTATATAATAATAAATCTGTGAAGCCGCCCAACGAACCCCATGCCGCGATCCAGGACCAACGCGAAGAATCGCCGCGCTACGACGCTACTTAGTTCGAATTCGGATTTATACCCGTATACATCAGTCCTAGTCTAACTTCTGAGGTGCACCGATCGTTTCTTGCAAATCTTTGAGTGACCGAGTGACAATTATTTTCTCGTTTCTCTGTGGAAGGAAGTGAACATTTCAACGGATGATCAAAAATCGTCAAGTAATGTCCTTTTGATTTTTTTCTTTAAATTTCTCTTTGGCTCGGTATAAACAAGTTTACCTAGCACCGAGCTAAAATTTACGAAGCTAGTTACATAGCTTGTTTTGCTTGAATGACTCGAGCGCAGATTTTCTTTGCTTAAAGCGCAGTGGGTCGTTTGGCGACTTTGTTGCGCGAACAGAAGGACGTGATGCTGTCGCTGGGCCAGGGTGGCGCCAACTCGAAGCGCCAGTCGAGCGCGCAATTGCCACCAAAAACCAAGATAAATCGAAGCCAGCACGCCCTGTCGGAATGTTTAACCGAGGCTACCTTGACTCAAGCTCGCTTGAATCTCGTCAGTTCGTATCGCACTTTTTCTTGTGCATCCCCTAAAAATCGTATAGGGCCTGCACGTGTGTCGTTATCTATATTCGTATTATATGCAATTAATATTTAATTCTTCGATGTTGCGCGTCACTACTCGCAGAGCGATCGACGGAAAACAAAAAATCGGCCACACTGCCGCACACGGGTAGCAGTTCGTCCCTGAGCAGCAGCTGCAGCAACAACAACAGCAACAGCAACAGCAACGCGGCCCGACCCCTGCCGCCGCCCCCGAATCGCCAGCAATCTTACATCGACCGTCCGTGGTTTCACAATCTCACCAGAGAACAAGCCAATTTACTTATCGAAGAAAGTACGTCTGATTTTATACCTTTTTTTTTTTTACTTCAAAACTTATTGACGCTTTAACATTAAATGTCTCATCTTGATGTACGCAGAGGGTACTTATGACAGTTCAGCGGATGGATATTTTCTCATAAGGCCATCGACGACCAATCCCACCAATCCACTCGTTTTGGTGCTTTGGTGCAAAAATCGCGTTTACAATGTCCCCATACGAAAGAGACCGGATAACAAGTAATTCGTTTGATCTGCTTCTCCGAATTTGTTTTATCAATTAGTATAATTATCTCATTAATGTTGCGTTTTTTAACATTTTCTAGGTACGCGTTGGGATCAGCGAAAACAGAAGAGAAAACCTTCATCAGCGTCGATGAAATCATACCTTATTATAAAAGAGAAAAATTGATCCTCTACTCGGGAGGTGTGCAGAGTGCCACTACGTATTTGACCGAGACTCCTCCCAAAAATTAGACACGAGCATTCGGTTGTCGACTTAGCTTCAATTACTGCGTTTATAAGACAAAGTATTTCTCTTTTAATGAACATTTTACGTAAATGTTTGAGACTATATGTACGTGCCGTATTTGCATTTATTTTTCTCGTGTCTCTTTTAATGATCGTGTATTTTTTATTAATATAACGACTGTTTCATTTCGAGAGACTGTACTTTTCAAGTCCTATAGAATATATAAAAAAATGAATATTTTTTACTGCCATATACTCCGTGCCTCATCAAATTATTGATTTTTGTGATTGAATGTAAATGATTTTTTTTAAACGTATATTTCTAATTTTTACAATCAAGATATAGAATTGATAGGCAAATGTGAAAATGCGAGTTTGATTCCTCAATCAACACGAATAATTGTGAATAATAATATATATTACATAATAAAAAATGGTTTTATTTTGTTATTAAAAATATTTACATTTATAATTATTTATCAAAAAGTCAAAATAAGTATAAAAATAAGTTAGTAACTTGCACAAAGTTTATATCCTGTGATAATAAAACGACATTATGTTGTAAAAATATTCTCATCTCTATAAGTTATCACATTATTTTCTGTTTTGCATTATACATATTTAAAAAATCCGATTTCTCGTGTATAAATCTAAAGCTTCAAACAATATTATCAAAAAATGGTTATAAGTAATTTATGTGTGACAGTTTTTAAAGAGCTTCAACCATCACAGCGATTCCTTGACCACCGCCGATGCAAGCCGAACCAATGGCAAATTTACCAGCATTTCTTCGTCTAGAAATAAAAAAATTTTTAATTACATTTTACCATCAATCACTTAGTTTGCTATTGATTACTGATATTAGTTATTAACCTTAATTCATGGACTAAGTGGGCTGTAATTCTGGATCCAGATGCTCCTAATGGATGTCCCAAAGCAATAGCGCCTCCATTGACATTCAATTTATTCAAATCTAAATTCAAATCTTTGGCACAGGCAAGAGTTTGAGCACCAAAAGCTTCATTGATCTATAAAGTTCAAAATATGTTTTTCATTATTGTGACTAATAAGAGGCTTGCTTAAGAAAACAAATAATACTATACCTCTACTAATTCCATATCATTCAAAGACTTGTTAGTAGCTTTCAATAAATTCTTAATTGCTGGAGATGGTCCAATTCCCATGATTGTTGGATCAACTCCAACAGCACTGTATCCTACCAAACGAGCTAAGGGTTTCAAGCCATGAGCTTTAACAGCTTCTTCACTTGCCAATATAACGGCCGCAGCTCCATCACATACTCCCTAATGATTAATTTATAATTTACATAGTTTTCACACGTCATATATCAAGTAAAAAATTAAAACACAAGTAAAAAATTAATATACCGATGCTGTTCCAGCAGTTACTAAACCATCCTTTTTGAAGATAGAAGGTAATTTTTTGAGGTCATCAATAGTCGTTTGAGGTCTAGGATGTTCATCGATCTCAACTGATACTTCACGTTTTTTAGATTTAATGATTACTGGTGCTAATTCAGCCTTGAAGTAGCCATTGTCATGAGCTTCAGTATAAAATAGATGTGTTATTTTAAGCTCAATACAAAGAAATTTAACAGATGCAGCATATGAAGCAACTTACCAGCTTTCCATGCATGTTGGCTTCGCAATGCAAAGTTATCTACTTCTTCTCTGGTTACTTTAAACTGATCTCCTAACTTTTCTGCAGTCAAACCCATGGGTAAACCACAATGAGTGTCCATTAATCCTAACCAAAGAGAATCTTCATATTCATATTTTTGACCAAGTGCAGTTCCAAAGCGAGTATTTCTTACTACAAATGGCATTTGACTCATATTTTCAGCACCTCCTGTTAAAACGATATGGGCTTCTTTTGTTGTGATGCTCTGGAGTCAAAATCATGAAGTTATGAAATATTTGTCTAAAGTGTGACATTTAAATATTACTACAAATTTTGTACCTGAGCACCGCTGACAACAGCTTGAAAACCAGAACCACATAGTCGATTGACACCCAGAGCTGGTTTATCAATAGGAATACCTGCTTTCAATAGCACGTGCCTGGGCATAAATGCCCCATCAGATGATGACAGCTGTTAATTAAAACAAAATTTTAGTACATACTTTTTAATTTTATAATATGACATAAAAGGTATTTTATATCTTACAGGTAAAACATTGCCAAAAACTACGCTATCAATATTTTCAGGTTTCAAGTTGGCTGATTGCAATGCAGCATTAGAAGCAACTACTGACAATTCAGTTATGTTTTTATTAACAAATGATCCACCAAATTTTCCAAAAGGTGTACGCTTTGCGGCTACAATAAATATTCCTGAAACAAAAAATTTTCTTTCAATTTTCATGCAAGTATCTGTTAAAATATATTGACTTTGTAATTGCATAATGAGAGTTCAAAGTCATAGATTTTTGACAAAAAGTTAGTGTTATCTTTTTCATAGACGATACAGTTTTTTTTTCCTGTCACTTACAATCAATGTTATATAAATTATGAACAAAAGTATAAATCTCATGTTACTATAAGACCCATCAATAAATATGAATTAGAAAAGTAAATGAACAAAAAAGAGACCCTATAAAATATGAAATGAGTAAAGAAAATAATTATTTTCCGAAGAATATACTAGTAAAATAATAATAGATAATACGTTGATATATGTATTATCTTCTTTTCTCGTATCTTTCTTGTCAGCTGCGCGGTATAGTAGAAAAGTATACACAAATCCAGCTCTATTTTATTAAAATTATAAAAAAAATAATCATTACCTTTAGTAACAGCTGTCATAATTGTGTAAAACGATTACAAAAAAGTGTAAATAAGTAGATCAGTACTTCACAAATTTACTCTGCAAGAGTAGATTGGTGAATGGCGGCGGCCGCAGATTGCCACTGTACGCAACAAGTGAGGACACACACATCGCTTTTTACCATATGTATATATTATATAGGCATATGTGTAAGAACAAGATTGAGATCGGAGTCCAACAAGTTAGTAGAAAAAATTCTTGTATTGGAAAAAAGCGCACTGTCATCGTTATTCTTGCTTTTTTTATTTTTATATTGTAAACAGCTTAAGATCGTTGAATCACAATGAAATTTCAATAAATAGACATTTTGATAGTCTAACGTAAAATAGTAAAAGTTATTTATGTTCTTTAAGGTGACCGTTCTCGTTTACGGCAATAACTAATTTTGATTCGATTTTTAAATTTTTAAATTAAGTTAAAATTCCCGGTGTGCACTATAAAACTTGACTTACCGATTTTTTTTTCAAGTGATTCTGGCGTACATCGAGTACACCAAATCCAGATCCTACATATGAGATGTCAAAATCAGGATCAAAATAAAGATTTGTAAACCATTTTTGAAGACTTCTACTCATCATTTTTTAAAAGACTCTGCAAAATTTTTGTTTATGTGCTATATTGGAATGAATATGAAGATCTTTTAAAAAATTGTATGGTTGTTAAGAAAATAAAAAACAAAAATTATATTTTAACGTAGGAAACAGTCTTTATTGAATTATTTTTACATATTTTCTCAGAGTAACTCGTTTTTAACAGATAAGATACTATTTAATATTAAGATGCTTATGTGGAGTCATTTTTTCAAATAATATATATGCATATATATTTATTTATAAAATTGATTAACAATGATTATAACCATTATCACGAGCCAATTCGTAATAAAAATAGACAAATGATTTCATTCAACTAGACTTGATTGTAGTGAGTAGTAAGGTCCCATTGCTTGTGACAAACAGCTCTGAGAAGGAAAAATCACTACAAACATTACTATGGAAATTGAAAATCAAAAAAATCACTCCTAAAAGTCTTGCACTTTCTTCTCCAATAATTAATCCTACCAAATAATTTGTATCAATAGTAGTTACATCTATTTTGTAATTTAATTGAAAACAGGTGAACAAGCTATTCAAGAAAAAATCAAATAAATTGTTTCTCATGAACACATACAATAAAAGACCTGCTTTAAGCTTACATAGATTGTTCAATCCGTTTTTGTCTTACATATAAACGATACTTTCTTTTTACATTATCTAGTGATTTCCATGATTACTTCAAGGCAATACAGAATGGAAGCCAAGGTAAAAGTAAGCATTCCAAAACTTTTTTCAAGACTTTTAATGAATATTTTTTTAAACGGTACTATAATGAATTATTTTAAACGTTCTTATGAGCACTATAGAACCTTTTAGAAAAATATAATTCTTTAAAAACAGGCTGAAAAGTTTTCATTTTACCTTGGCCTTGACATCCCTTTAAGAATCTGTATCTACTTATTATTTTAAAATTATCAATAAAAAGTTAGACTATGTTTCAACCTCTTATGTCAGCTTTACTCGCAAAATCTTGACCCTACAAAAACAAATTTATAATAAATCATCGGCTACATTTACCTTTTTCTATTTAAACAAAATAAGAACTTACATCCAAGAAAACATTGTACATTTCTTGAGCTGTATTTGAAGATGAAAACTCAGCTTTCAAGCTACGTGATGTAGGTGGATCAATAGCATAATCAATAGCTTCCCAAATGCACTCTTTGTCAATAAGCTTCAAAAAAAACAAAAAAAACAGATCAAGTTACTTTAATATACTAAATGGATCTAAAATTGTTTAGTCTGAAATGAGCCAGTACATACTTGCATCGAAGTATCCATACTAATAACAGTGTCACTAACTACTTCTTTATTGTCAGTCTCTATGATGATCCTACCACCAAAGAGTTCTGAATCATAAATAATTTTGATATTGCCCATTGCAACATGATTCCAAGAAACATCACTTTCATTTTTGGAAAATAGAGTTGCTCTTTTCAAAAACAAATTAATATCTCCGTCTTCGTCATCCTCATCGTCTTCGCCAATGTATTCATCGTCGTAATCTTCATAACTCTCCTCTGGTTGTGTATCGTCGTATTTTGATTCTGAAAATTAGGAATGAAATTATTGAAAAAAATAATCTCAGCAGATAATTTTCATACATTTTACTATTACAGATGAAATGGCATAAAGTTAGGACTCACCTTGAAATTACACATTTAAATGTGTTAAATAATATCAAATTTTGATTTGTTCATTAAGTACGAATATCGAATTGAAGTGTAAAAAATTAATGGAGACAAAAAATTCGGCACAAGTATATTTATTTAAGACCAATTGTACGAAATAAATCAATAAGCATAAAAATAACAAAAAGCTTTTTAGATCTACAAAAAAGTATTCTTTAAAGAATATTCATATTTATTTCCATGCTTAGAGACAATTGAATATTTAATATATATAACAACATTGAATAATTCATTTATATTATTTGTTTGGATTCTCAAATAAAAATATAAAAAATAAGCAAACTGTATTGTTTCATTAGCAGAAAAATAATATTAAGCAATAAAGGAGAATTTATGAAGTTTATATTTTCTATTCCATATTATTTACAATATTATTCTATACCAAATTATTTTAAAACTTGCAGATAACCAAGTGCTAATAAATTAACATTTACTTATTCATAAAATTGTGATGAACATTTTATGACCTACTTGTTCTGTAAAATGTTGTTTGTAAAACAAAGTGATAAAATAAAGCGAGAGATCTTACGATCGTGTTGCAGAGGTAATAATTGGTTTATGGTATCTTTAGCAAAATTATTTAAATGCATAGAAAAATGCGCCTGTACTAACTGAAAAATTGTCACAAGTTAAAAATTCAATTCAATTCAATGAATGTGGAGAGAATAAGTCAAAAAGCGTAAGTACGAATATACCTGCGTTTCTAATCTACAAAAAATACAAAAAAAACTTCAACCATGAAGGGAAGTACGCATTTCCCTTTCAATGTTATAATTCAATTAAACAACACAGTCAGGTCAATTTCATCTTTGCGTTATCTAACCTTGATTAGCCATTTTTTCAGCAAGTTGAAGTTGTGCCTTATCAATAGCTTCTTTAAACTGTGCTGCTAGCTCGGGTGTTTTAAATCTCACTGCCAATTGTTCTATTTCTGGATTTTCGGGCTCGGCATAATTCATACCTGCCCACATCCACGCTCTGTCGGACGTGTTCATCGGGCGCATATCCAGATCAATGGTTACCAAGATGTTACATACGACTTTGTGAACCTGCTCACGACGCAAAAGTAAACGATAGGTACCGTGATCCCGATGATGTAGGAGTTTCATTTCACCGGTACCACGTTCCTTCCATTCTTTCGTATTATTATCGTAACGATAGAGTTTGGCACGATGAGCAAATACTGCAATACATTTTTGATGTTATAGAATCGTAATATTAAGATTTTTAGTTATTAACAAAACGCATAAAAACCTTTTTCTTCGTCTTCTTCGCCAGTCCTAACTTCAATAGCATCAGGTAACGGTATTATAGGTTCAAAGTAGGGATCATGCTCATCTCCATTCTCATTTTCATCATCGCCATCTTCGTCGTTATCATTTTCTTGTGTTTTAGAAGATGTATCTTTTGATGGAGTTTTTTTAACCGAGGTATTTGCAGCTTTAGCACCAAATACTGAAGCTCCTGCTCCTTCAAAAGTAAAGTTTGGATCTAGAAACAAGAATAAAACGTTAGACAAAGTTGCACTTGGAAAAAAGGCTTACATTTGAACTGAGCAGGTTACTGACCAACTTTGAATGCTGGTTTATCATCAGCACCTGTTTTGGTAGCTAATGCTGAAAAAGACAACGCATTTTCAGTGGGCAAGAAGCTAACAGTATCTTTTTTCGAAGTATCTTCAGCTTCTGACGCAACTCCAAATTTAGATAAGCTTTGTGGGGGTGATGCAATTATTGGTTTACCACCAAAAATATTAGTACTCGATGCACTTGTTTTTCCAAATACATTGTCTACTGGTGTAGGAGTACTGCTACCAAATATATTTGTTATTGGTGTTATTGTTGTTGCGCCACCAAACAAAGATTTTGATTCATTAGACGTTGAGCTTAAATTGCCGAAAATAGGCTTTGTTGAATCACTGCCTAACGATAAACCAGTCTTTGATGTTTCGGTTGTAATTACAGAAATAGATTTTGTAGAGTTGTTGCCAAATAACGATTGATTGCTCGTCGATGTCGTAGTTGCAGTACCAAAGAGAGATTTTCCTAAATTTCCTTCCAAAACTGATGAAGCAAAAGGCTTAGCATTCGTGCTCATTGATGTTTTGGTAATATTAGAACCAAATAACGATGAGCTACTAGTAGTTGTATTAGTACTGCTTGTGCTTTGATCAGTTACAGATGTTGACTGGGCTTTCATAAGACTAGAACCTAATAAATGCAAAAGGAAATTGAAAAATAATTCAAAAGTTCAATGATGAAATTTAAAAATTCATTTCTCAAAGAGTTTAACGTACCAAAAGTAGGTGTAATACTTGTTTGTCCACCAAAAATTGACATGTTTGGAGTAGCAGTCGAAAATATTATACTGCTAGTAGTAGAAGATGTTGATTTTGCTAGTCCACCAAATAAATTAGCCGACGTAACTTTTGGTTCTTCTAAAAGAGGTGGATTTTGTCCAAAGGTTGGTTTTGATTCACTGAACAAATTTTTCGCTACCATACTAGGATGAAGTGTAGTTGCAGAACTTGAACCAAACAGTGGTTTTGAATTTGCGGGAGCCGTAGTGATAGCACTAGGGCCAAACAACGATTTAGTCGTTGTGGGTGCGCTTACAGCTGCAGTTGAACCAAAGTTTAGTTTCGAAGTAGAAGAGCCAAAGCTAAAAACATTTTCTCCCGATGCCGCAGGCTTAGACGACGGCTCACAAATTTTCAAGTTATCTAATTGTGAATCTGTCGAGTCACTTTTAGCACCTCCAAAAACGAAACTAGTCGATTTTGCAGTTGTATTACTGGAACTGGAATTACCAAAAAGACTTGGCGTTTTAGTTGAACCAAAATCCGTTTTAAAACCACCTCCTTGAACATTGCTACTACCACCAAAATTGAAGGTGGCACTAGTCGAAGGACTATTAGCTTTAACAATAACAGGGCCACTTGGCACATTTTCAAATGAAAATTTATCTTCATCACGACAACCACGACAGCCTGGGCAATCCGCTTTATTTTTGTAAGAGTAGAAATTTTCAGGAAGCATTAGCTCACAAGCAGCTTTTTTGTCGTCCTCTGATACTTGAACTTCATAAACAACCTGTTATAAAATAATGCATAATGATTGATTAATTTTTAAAAGTTCGTCGAAGTAAAAAGAAAATTATATACATATTTTTTTTCAGTTACCTCTATGTCGGATGAAGGTTCTTTCAAGGGTAAATTGGTAGCTTTTGGAGTCTTTTTTTCAGGTGCAATTTCACTCGATGGTTCTGCTTTACAAGCATCATCAACTGCCTTTTTAAATTCTGCAGCTATTTCAGGAGTTTTAAAGCGACAAGCAAATTGAATGTACTCAACAGCTCCCTCGCTGTAATCACCAGCTGACCACATCCAAGTTTTATCATCTTTTGGCTTTATTTCAATAGCTGCAGACACAGCATGGTTCAAACATAATTTTAGGACTTGATCCCTTCTCATGACTAATCTTAGCTTTTTAGTTGTTTTATGTTTCAAAAGTTTGATGTCACCCAAACCACGTTCTTTCCATTCTTTAGTGTCTGTATCAAATTTAAACAATTTCGCTCGATGACTATACAATACATCCTCATCTTCTTCGCCAGTCTTAACATCTATTTTATCGGGCAATGGAATGATAGGTGCGAAGTAAACATCTTCAGATTCTTCAACTTCGTCATCACTAGTTTCAGGTCGTTCTGGTGACTTTATGGGTGACTTTGCTTGGAATTGGAAGTCAAATGATTTTCCAGGAGACCCAAATGAAAATGCACCAGAATTTCGATTGGGTGGAGTGGATGGTGGTTGCATGCCGAAGCTAAATCCAGCTCCAGATGAAGCTTGATTGGTACCAAAAATCGAGATTGGTTTGGTTGATTCAGGTTTGGTTTCATTAGCTTTGGTGCTTAAGTTGAAAGCTGTCTCCTGCTTGGATGCTTGCATATTAGTTGTCTAAATTTGAAAATAAATATCAATTTCATTGAAATTTAAAATAATTAAAGTTTATTGTTTAGTATACTTACAGGTGGCATTCCGAATGAGAAAGAAGATGGTTTTGCATCGGAACTTCCAGAAATCATAAATCCACCAGCAGGCTTAGGTTTAGGTGGTAACTTTGGATCACTAGGGGCGTCGCATGCCACGCAGTATTGATTGGAGCCAACATTTCTGGTGTAACAAGCTTTGCACTCCCATGAATCAGCAGGTGGCTTAAACATTGCAGATAAAGAACTCTGTGCACTAGGAGCAGAATTCGTGGTAGGAGTAACTCCTGGAGCCGGAGCATTACAAGCTGCGCAAGCACTTGTACCTGCATTATTACGAGTATAGCAATCATTGCACTCCCATGATCCTATAAAAATAATAAAAAAATATAATATATGCGTGCTAAGATTGAATTAATTATTTTACCTTGTGCTGGTTTAAATTGCTCAAATAGACTATTTTTAACTGGTGGTTTATTTGATGCAGCAGGAGCAGTAGCAGAAGAAGCTTGCTTGGATGAAGCTGTTTGGCAAGCAAGACAATTGGTTTTGTTCGACGGGTTGACAGTATAGCATGCTTGACACTCCCACGAACCAGCTGCAGGTTTAAACATTTCTGACAACGGCTTTTTCTGTTCTGCGGGTTTATTATTCATTGAAGACGGCGGTTTTTGTGCGACTACTTCTTGAAGTTTCTCACCGAAATTAAAACCACCAGGTTTAGATGGTTCATTAGAGGATTTTCCAAATGTGAAAGTAGCAAATGGACTTGGCTTTGAAGTTTCTTCTGGTTTTTTCTGAACTAAAGGCGTCGTAGGAGTTTTTGCCTGTTGCAAAATTGGCGTTGATGTGAAAGAAAATCCACCTAGTTTGTTTTCTGACACTTTTGCCTCAGTAGACACTGGTTTAGTGGATAACTCTTTTTTCAATACACTGAAATTGTTTTGTGAGTTTTAATCATATAATACTTAAATTTTTATATATTGATGTACAAAACAAAAATAAAAATACATAAATGAAAATTTTGTTTTATAAAAACTGTAGGTGATATTTCATAGAGATCATCGCGCTAATAATGTATTATATTCGGGTATATTTAGAAAGCCGTGCACGAGCTACTAATCAACAATCTAGAGACATAAATACAGCTTTCTTGCTGCGGGATAAGTTTGTCTGATTCCAGAGTTGATTTGCTTTGTAATTAGTTTTTCGCAATCTTCGCGATCAAGGAACTTATTCATCATTTTACGATGTACTTGTAACGTAATTGTAACGTAAAATCAACCAATTATTCAATTTAAATTATTGCACTTCATTATTTTCAGTTTCCTTATATCGCGTGTTATTCCGACGAAGAATATCAACAAAAACCAAACTTATGCCTCTGAGAAATGAAAATACCACTATAAAAAATAACTCTGGTAGATTAGTTGTGTGAATGAGATACTATTAAGCCCACCTTCGTAAATTGTAAAATGAGAAATAAATAATATCATAAAGAATTTTACCTGCTTTCAGTCTTTGGCTTCGATTGTTTTACACTGTCATCTGGTAAACTATCTCTAGCTTTTTCAAAATGCTCCTTGAAACTTTGAGCTTCTTCAACAGTTTTGAATCTGATGCACAATTTTTCTAATTTCAGCTCTTCATCGGCAAAGTCATTGGCTACCCACATGTAGGCTTTTTCATTGTTAGGCATTGGAGACAATTCCATATCTTTCCTCAACATGTGATTTGCACAAATTTTTAATACTTGCTCGCGTCGCATAAGTAAACGAACTTTGCCTTCTTCATTTTTCAACAGTTTAACATTGCCAATACCTCTTTCTTTCCACTCTTTATCAACAAACCGAAACAGTTTGGCCCGTGCGCAAAATAGTTCTTCTTCGTTTTCTTCACCAGTTGTTACAGGTACCTCATCTGGTAATGGAATAATAGGCGCAAAATCTGGAATGGGATCGTGTTCCACCTCTACTGTATCGCTTGAGATACTGTGGCGCGAGGTAACTGAGACTGAGCTCGTATTTTTATCTGTAATTTACAAACCATTAATTATATTCCAAAAAGTAAATTCAAGCTAACTAACTATGAGAGCTACAAACCATTTGCTTGAGTTGGTGAAGTAATGGTCATAGTGGCAGATAAAGGTGGAAGATTAACAGTTGTTGGTATATTTGCTTGTGAGGGCATAGATATCTGATAACTGTGAGGAACATTAGGTTCTTGTTCAACATTTGGCGTAACTCCTAGTCTATGTTGAGGAGGTACAGTAACACTGAACGTTTGCAGCTGTGTAGCTGATGTTTCACTTGGCATAGTATCAGATTTAGTAATTACTACATTGACTGGAGGTGGTTTACGATTTGTTGGAGTTGAGCTCATCACTTGAGGTTCTTTTTGTGCATTTTCAAGTACATTGGTGTTTGTGGGCACAAAACTGTGAGATTGCAGAATTTATAATGTGACATTATCTTACAATTTTGATCATTTTGTTAAGATATATAAATACAACTTACCTGAATTTAGGCTCAATTTTTTTCTGATCTCCAAAAGCCAATTGTGGTTGCTGTTGAACCATATGAGGTACAAAACTAGTTTGTGATGATTGAATTTGAGGTTGCTGTTGAGGTTGAAGTTGATGTTGTAGTTGAGGTTGTGGTTTTGGTTGCTGTTGAGGTGGGGGTTGAGTAAATGTCTGAGGTGAGAATAATCCATGCGTCAAAAGTCCAGCGGTGTCTGGCATTACTGGATGATAATTCATTTGTGTGTTAGGCATAACTGGATGATGGTAGTTCATCTGTGCTGCTGCTGCAACGGCAGCTGCAGCTGCATTTGTATCAGCAAATGGAGCCAGTTGAGAATAGTAGGGATTTTGAAGAGCAGCTGCTGCAGGAGTTGTTGGTGGATACATAAAGGGATAGGGACTGCGTTGAGCGAACAAATTTGGCGCTAAAGGAGCTGTTCGACTCATTCCTCCAATCGGCATTGAAGTGTTGCTAAAACTATCGAAATTTGTTATTTATTATCAATGCAATACATATTGAGAGTAAATGAATAAATTTGTCGAAGATTTTTTACCTCACATCATCGTCATGGTATGTTACATCATCAACATTTTGATTTTGCGATGAACGAGATTTTTTCAATTGGTTATCTTTATCAGAATGTAACTTAATCAGTTCATCTAATTTTGAGATCATTGCCAAATGTTGTTCACGCTGTTGTATTTTTAAAGAATCAACAGAGTGAACAAGCTGACGTATCTGGGCGTCAAGCCTTTCTGGACTTGGTCGTGATTCTATTAAGCGACTGCGCGAAAACTCAAGAACACTGATATTATTTGGCTGAGGAGTACTGAATTTTTTAGGTGTGCGACGTAGATGATGCTTTTTGGGTGTATGATGATTAGAATTGTTCAAATTTGGCACAGAATTGGCAGCCAGCAAGCGTTGTTCATCGCTGTGAGCAGAAGAGTAACTCTCTTCAGAAACTTCATCATAATCGTTTGGAGCTCCTATAATCGACGTTAAAAAGAGATCAATTATTTAACTCATTTTGAATTAAAAAAAAATCCAGTGCTTCAAATAAAACTCACGGTCATAGTCTAGTTCATCAGGATCGATACGTTTCAACTTATTTTCAACTTCAGTAATGTAGTTACAAAGTTCTGCATTCAAAGGATGTTTTGGATCAGCATTTGGACTGCGCAAACGATCCAACGTCAAGTAAAAACAATTGCGAGCTTTAGATAAAATAATTATATATTGCGTTCGAATTTCTGATGACATGCTTTCAATTTCTGTGTTATCGATGGATTCTTCGGCCAACTGCTTGTAGATCTAAAAAAATTAATGTATTTTAAGTAAGTATGAGTCTTGCTGAAAGCTAGGTTTTTTCAATCGCTACTTACTTGGCCCTGTTCAAACGATGCTTCTGGACATTTTAAGGATTGCAGTGCCTCAATTGCTTGTTCATAAAGCTTATCTTTAACCAATTTCTGTACTAAAAGTAATTTTCCTTCTTCAATAGCTTCTGTTATTTCCATGTTATTCATCTCTTTCCTAAAGCAACAGTTCAATATTGAGAAATAATTCAAAATGTATTACAAAATTTAATAAATTCTCATTTACCCTGTGTAATCAAACAATTTTTTCTGCGATGATCGAATAGTTTGGTTATTATGCATTCTCTCAAGTAAAGGAACAGCAGCAGACCAGTACAAATCAGCGCGAGCTTCTAGAGCTGGTATATCACCACTTTCGCTGTTTTTTTCTTTCAACTTTTTGGCTCTATAGTTGAATAATCGCGCCAAGTGAACTAAAATTACTGGATGCAAACCATGATTACCAATGCAGCGAATTACTTCTAATCCATGCTGCAAATTCTGCCGTGTATCATTGACATCAAACATTTCTTTTCTGGAAATACTATATGCAGCTGTCCACCTTTAATCAATTATCACAATTATTCAAAAATATTGCTCCAAGTAAAAAAGTTTAATATTTACTATATTAAATGATATACAAACCATTTTTGTTGCTCTTCAGTACAAAGTTGACTGGTTAAATCTGCAGGTAAAGTTGGAAGTTTGTCTGGATTAAAAGTATTTTTTTGTTGTTCATCTACAACTGCTGATGCACATAAAACTGCAAATATAATTTAAATTATAGTGATAATCTATTATACAAATGGAAATGTATAGATAAAATTTATTTACCAGCAGCATTCAAAAATGCATCAATGTCAAGACGGCTAAGAGTTGCAGGACCAGCTTGATTTAGACTATAAACAGTGTATTGAAGAGTTGGAAATAAATGAGAAGAGAGATTTGGTTGTGGTGCTTCATATTTGTTGGTACTACGGCTTTTTATGGCTGGCCAAATCTGATGATGTAATGAATACGGCCACACTTCTTCCGATACTTCGTCATATTGTTTTAATTCATTGGAAGTAAGAAGTCGGTAACGCGGATTCATTGCATTATTGTTGGTGAAATACGATGTTCGTATTTTTTGATACATTTTACTGACGAAAATTCTCTGTAAAACATAACCAATGAAATTGTGAGTAGAATTTTTGAGTATCAAATTGTTTTTCAATATTTTAATGCAATAAGTTCAAGTACCTGATACACCCGTTCCCTCCAAGAACCAGAGCAAAACTTTTCTATACTGCTGATAAGTTTTTTAGGATTACCTCTAGCATAGTCTTGAAGCACATGTCCTAAATTTGCGTTTAACATATTACTCAAAGCTGCCCAACTCATCAAAAAGTATGAAATTGCAATATTAAAAATACTCAAAACATACCTGCTTGACTGCAACGATAATTTCCTTCACGATACCAAAGCTGCAATTGATTCTTAAGCTGTGAATCAAGATGAGTTGTCCAAGAAGCAGTGAGATCAATTGGTTTAGTATGAACAGCTGTTAGAAAAAGAGGTCCACATAATCTTCCCGCTTCTGTCCAGCTTCCTTGTTCACGTTGCGTCATTAATAACAAAAGACTTGCAAGATGTAGGTTCAATTGGCCCCACATGTGTGCAAAAACACTCTCCGTCATCGAAGGATGGCTTGAGAAACTTTGAGCTTTGGCTTCAAACAAGTGCTGATCGAAACTAAAAAATTTAAATTAGATGATAAAATTTATGAACATAATAATTTTGATCTTATGAATTTGAATGATTCAAATTACTTACTTATAAACTGCTTGAAGAGCTTCAAATGGTTTTTGTATAGAGTTACCTTGCTCTTGGATAGCTAAAGCAGCGTAACGTTCCAGTACACTTATATACGATATCCAGTAAACCCAGTTAGTATGTTTGGAGCTTTTACATTTTAAAAAAAGTTCACATAAAACCCTATACCAAACTACACTGTTTCTATGAGTACTGAGTGCTTCAATATCCATTGCATGCTTGTATGCAACATCGTACTTTTCATTTTCCATGTAATGCTTCAAGAGCTTTACTCTGAGATTAACATCTAATGGTCTTGCTAACAATTCAGCTAAATAACATGATATTTAAAAATTAACTATGAGTAAATTATCTCAAGATTAATAGTCACATTTTTTCAAAGTATAGTTACCTTTAATTAAGTGTTCAAGGCCTTCTCCTTTTCCAGATGACTCTTCAGAAGATAAAATTTTTTCTTTAAGACAAAAAACTACTTTATCGTGGGAAAAAAGTTTTTCTGCTCTTTCGAGCCAATATTTGGCTCGATTGACATCAATAACAACATCAGAATCTACTAAAAGTTCACATACTGAAAATCAATGACATTATTAAAATACAGTTGTGTAAATATCAACTCAATAATAATTGTAATAAAACAAACTTTTTAAAATGAGATCTTCTTGTCTACCGTCTAATTCAAATGACAACTTGAACTGACTAAGGGCAGATTCTTTATTTCCCTGAGCTTCGTGGATCTGACCCATGAGTTTGTAAGCCTTGGCGTCCTTTTTTTCTTCCAAATAACGTGAGAGATATCGTCTGGCATTTTCATAATCTCCAACATTGAAATACAATTCAGCTATTTTGTAACTTCTTAAATTCCTCTGTAATGATTTAAAAACATTTGAAGTTGAGCTCAGTTTTAGATTTGCTTAGCTTGTATCAATTTTACATTGATTTGTTTATCCAGATGTAAACCATAAAAATTTCAAAAATATTGAAAAAATAAGCTTCTATAGTTAATGATTGAAATGTTGAGAAAGACTGAAAGTTCTAGAACACGAGCATAAAACTGCTGAATTGAGAATGATTTTCATCCTGCAAGATTAAAATTCATCGCATAAAGGAAATTTTTCTGCTTTTCGTTAGAGCAGCTCATTAATTGGGCATCTTGAAAAAAATTACTCGTTTATTCGGGCACGCGGCAAGTATACAAAAATTTTGGCGGTTAACCGTTGCGAGCATCGGAGTCGACTCGAAAACCTACCTCAGTCTCATCGGGTATTTTGCGAAAAATATCATTCACGTGGCGATCGACATCCTTCTTGGTGCGCAGCATCTTCGAGGCACAACACCGCGATCACTTGCGGCATACGGATTTCAATACAAAAAAGGCGAGAGTTTGATTATCAAGTGCACTCGAGTCGTCGTTCCGTATCGTCGGTCGAGGTATTGGCACTGCACACGCCGGCGGCTGCACACACACTTTCCCTCTTCACAAGTAAATTTGCTCGCGCAGCCACAGACTGTCACGACAGCGTCTCGCGAATCTTATGTCTGTGCTAAACCTGTGCGAGTAACCTCGCGTTCATAACGGACTCGAACTGGCACGAGCGTAGTTTGGCTTTTTTAGCGGTGACCCGGTGACGACGTATAAGTAATCGGAGGATGCGTCCAATTGTCGACGGGCTTGACGAATCGATGACTCTAATTCCCTTCTGGCTTTTGTTTTTCGTCAGTTTGCACTTTAAAAGTCTCGTCTATCGAGGAGCAAGGCGCTGCTTGTATCGCGTGATTCGCGACTCGACCGTTGAGAAAACCCGCCTGCTTCGCCGTTTAGGGGGCGGCCAAGGTGAAGAAGAGGCGCGAATTGTAACTCGCGTGCGAATAAGCTCACGAGGTTATGGTGTATCGATGCGCGCGCGATTCTTATTGTTCGCTTATTCGCTGGGAAAAGCTGAAAGCATGGCATTAGGCATAGACACAGGAGCTGTCGCCGCCGGTTTGGCGGGCTATGTGCGCCGTGCGCAAAGCAAACTACATGAACAAATCGCAATCGAATAATAGTTAATGAATAATGAAAATACGTCATTTTTATTACATGCAATTGATCGATATCGACATTAAAATTCTATGCTTCGGAATGATTAGTAGGTAAGAACATCGTTGAAATTGTTCGGGTCGCTGGTTTGGCAGATTCGATACCAGTCGGGATCGCGCTGGAGGCTCGAGGCGTTGCGACGATAAAACGACGACTGGATGACGGCGCGACGACCCCGATCCGATACCCGAGGCTTGGGGTAGTCTCGCAGGCGCCAGCCGTATTCCCAGCTCGAACAGTAGGGAAAGTAAAATTTCTCGTCGGGTTTTTCCTTGTATCTGCGAAAACGTGTATTCGGTAATTATCGAGGGTTTGCATCATTTCGGCAGCAATTGAGCCCTTTTACCTTTCTCTGAGGTAATTCTTTTTCGAGAGGAAACTCTGATCTTTGGGCCTGTAGAGAATATCGAGGATGGCCGGTTTTATCGGCAACATTTCACTAAAATCGTCCGCCTCCCCGGGCGGTCGCCAAGGGGGTAAAGGTCGCTGCTCTACCTGCATTTGAAACAAGCGTGTAGGATTCATGGGTGACAATCAATTGGAACAGTTCTAACGCATCGATCGCATACAGGTGGTCTGGATTCTTTTATCGGTTCGATTTTTTGTTTGGATTGCGACGGTAAGCGGTGCTTTTGAGATATTCCATCTTTGGCCAGGTTATCGTAGAGACGCTGCCGATTTTTTATGAACCAGAGGGTTTTCAGCTTTTCCGTTTTCTTGGCCATTTCGCGATGGAAGTTTTGACATCGAGTGTCGCACACGGCATTCCGAGATTTCGACATTATTGTACAATGTAATTTAGAAAAGATTTAACTTGGAATGTTACGCGTATTTACTTTCTCTGCTATACTCGAATAACCTTATATTTTTTATCATTTCCAATTCATTTGTTTCACAGGTTGATTTAGCTAATTTTCTTTCGAGTTCCGATTTTATGAAACACTCATTTTCTATACTGTGACTCGACTTTCAAAAGTTCAATGACAAGCAGATGTGTTCGATTTCATTGGTCGATCAATTTCTTACTCCATTTTCCAGACGACTGTAAGTCCGTTTTCATTGCGAGCAGCGAATGAATGAACTCGAGTAAATACAAATTCGGAGTGAGTCGCATTCGCAGCGCTGAATGCACCGTGCAGACCGCTTCAAAATTCGACCTTATAAAAGCACGTTTAACTTCGGCTAAAGGTAAATCACCCCATCTGTGCTTAATTGAGCAATATAAACAGTGGCGGCTTTGCATCATTCGAACATGAGATAAGGTGAAACTAGTGTTGTATTGTACGCGATCGCAGTGATCACTATCAGTTTACAACATTGAAAAATTAAATACATTATTCTAGAATTTTCTTTTGGGTGTAAAAATTGTAACATTCTGCTGCGATATGGAAATCGAAGCACCGTCAGGACCAAATGTCACTTTGTGCCAAATGTAAGTTTATAAAAAAATACCGTTACTGAGTGTTTTTAAAGTATAAGCAAACTACGTTTTTGCCTTGTATTCTAACCTTGCAGTTTAGTATACCGGAATAATCCTCTTTTTGTTAAAGATTATTTTCCGCTCGAAGTACATTTTGATTTCCACATGTTACATATAAAACTTGCATAAATACTCGAAATGTGTCGATTCAATCGTTTTTTTTTTTCATGTAGTTGTTACATACGTCTGGAAAAACGGTTGACAGCAGTAGACTATTCATATGACAATCTAACTGTGTGTTTATTTTTTATAGCTGTACAGAAAACCAAAGCCTCTATGTCTGTCCAAAATGCACAATCAATTATTGTTCACTAAAATGCTACCAATCTGAAGCTCATTTAGAATGCTCTGAGACATTTTACAAAAATTGTGTAGAAGAAGAATTACAATCTCAACAATGTGATGCAGAATTGAAACAGAAAACTGTAGATATGTTGCAAAGGATATACAATGAAGATTGTTCCTTAAATGACTTTTTGGAGGGAGAAGGTGATGAATCTGATTATGAAGCAGATCTTGACTCTGATGATGAAAATGTAAAAATCAAAATAATATTGATTTGTTTATTTTACTCTTTTACTCAATTCAAATGCATTTACAGCTACCATCACTTGAAAAACGTTTGGAAAATGTAAACTTAAACAATGCCGATGAACTGTGGTCTGCTTTGACCACTAGTGAAAAGCAAGAATTCGAGGCTTTAATTCACAGTGGAGAAGCATCAAAATTGTTGCCAGCATGGAATCCATGGTGGACCTACCACCATAAAAAGCCATTAGTTGAAGATTTGAGCAAAAAAGAGGTACCTCAATCTTATATTGGTAATTGTCCTTCAATTTTGGATGTTCCAGCATGGGAGTCAGTATCTGTAAGATGTCTACTTTTATTTAGAAATATGAAAATGATCTAAAATCATTCATGTATATTCTGTTTTTCATTTCAGAAAGCTTCACCTTTTTTGAGATTCAACATTATCAACACTCTATACGCTTATGCATTTGATGTTTTATACTTTAATGGTGAACATCACACAGCTCCATTGGATGCAATGTACATATTTTTACATACCTGTGAAACTATGAAGATAGACAGGGTATTTAAAAATTCTAGTTCTGCAGTTGAAAGTGTTTTACTTGCAATAACCAATGTAAGTTATATTTTTGATCTTCAACAATTTCAAAAAACTTATATAATTGTAAAAAAAATCTTTTTCTCTAGTGCGAAAGTTTTTCTGGTGACCAGGAAACAATCATGGGTACCAAAGCTGCAGGAGATGCTATTTTAAATGGACCTGATGCAGAAAATAAATCATTTTATTGTCTTTCTGCATTATCAGATCTCCATCAACTCATAAATGAAGCAAAGAAAGAATTAACAACAAAACTTCAAAAACCTTTGTCTGATGAGTTCAAAAATAAATTTCAAACTCATATAGATTTAGGGTCTTTTCAAATTACAAGGAAAAACTTATCTCTATATATGAAAAAAATTGAGTTTTATGTAGGATGGTTAAAGTGTAAAGGTCAGATGTATGACATTACTGAAGGAGACACAATTTAATTTATCTGCTTTTAAAATGTAAATAAAATGTGATATACTGTATGCATTTAAAGTATTCAGTTATGATTAGATTTTTTTTTTAAATAAAAATTTATTTTAGTTTAAATTATATTATTCATGAAGTTGACTTGCTCTGGTTCAAACATTTTTAAATAAAAACCATTGTATCATTATTTAATTGTCATTACTTGTACTTCTTGTACAATCATTCTTTTATTTACATCAAATATTACATTTCTTTCATCTATAACTTGCACTACCTTGCCTTCTTGCTTAATTGCTCTTATTATGATCGGTTACATTATGATGTCATAATTTTGAAGAGTACAGGCCTTAATATTATATATACATGCTACAGCTAGCTTAAGCAACATTTTATCAATTTTTTGATTTAAATTTATATATCTTGCACCTTTTTACTTTAACTCACACTGGATCAATGCTATAATTTGATCGAAGTTCATTATGACAAAATTATTAACTAACTTTTTGTTTTAAAATTTTTTAACTGTTTAATGAGTACATAAGTTTATTGAAACAGTATAAAATTAAACATATAAAAAGATGGTAACGTAACATTAAATCTATTTACTTGCATTAGAAATGGATATAGCAAACGTGTCTATAAGGAGTATCTTTAAAAATTGTTGGTTTTAATTAAATAAAATAAACGTGATAACATGTAATAGTGTTTCAAGTTGAATACACGGAAAAAACTTGATGAATTTAAAAACAATGGTTTTTTTTTCATTATTGAGAAATGTCCTGCATTAACTTTGCATGATTGAATGCAATCATCTTTGTTTTAAGTTGACGTTTTCGTTTTCATATGGCGTGAACAAAAGAGTACTCACATGATATTACTCCCTCTTAAAGTCAACATCATATGTATTTGACTCAGAATCACAGCCATGGGAAGCAATACAGTGGGACACAGAAAATATATTTTATTGTTCATCACGTTATTCAACTGGATGTTGAATAAATGTTAATGAAACGATGATAAAATGTTGGTAATAAAGAGTAGTTGTTAATTACATGCTGTTAAAAAAAATGTTGCATGTGAAGTTTCAACATACTCATTTCATTAAATAGCTTTAATAAATGTGTAATAAATTCAGCATGCCCAACCTTACTTCAAAATTTATGTGGTTTAACAATTTCAATGTCATCAACAAAGTTTAAAATAAGTTGTTTGGCGTAATGGTAATTAAGAAAGTGATGTTTGAATATGTACTTAACATGAAATCCTCTTCATTCATAAACGCGGTTATTTTGGTCACGTGAAAACTGACTTCAATACTATTTTATAGATTAAATTGATCATTAATATCAACAAGCTGATGTAATACATTGAAAAATTCGATCGATGCACTTCATATTTTATATTTTTAAATTCTCATTTCTTGTCATTTGAATAAAAAGCATTGACTCAAAAATTTTGTAGAAAAGAAGTTTAATATTGAATTGTCATTATATTAGGTATTGTTCATGATGTAAGAGAACATACAATTTCAACCAGTATCATTAGGTTGAAATTCTACTTCAAATTAATTCCTTTTTTTCGCCCTGTGTCGCCATTCTCAATTATACATATTATAATAGAAACGCACTATTTTCAACCTAATAATTATTTTGAAAAATATTTAACATATATCGCTATAAGAAAATACAATTAAAATTATATATATGCAATGATTTTTTCGTGAATTCATTCTCTTAACTATTACTGTATACAATAGCAAAAAAAATTAGTTTCACACGATTTATCATTATCAACGTCGCTAACAATGGAAAATTAAAATGAATAGTACCGAATAAAATGTACAAACGAGACTCAAATTATGTATAATAATTAATAAATATATTTATGAAGATATAAATATATTATATTTTATAAATATATTTATAATTATAGAAATTGTATTTTATCGCTTTAATAATTATACAATTATTTTAAAAATTTCCCTATTTTTCTGATTCAATTCTAAAAATCTTACACGTCTCCAAGATATTAACCATCCAGAGAAATTTCATGTTCTTTTTTTTTACACGAGATAAAATATTTCATTATAACAATCGTCCAAAAGATTCCTCTTTACTTATATTGATAACAAAAATGAAACGAGATCATTTTCATTAACACGTATCTCACTCACACATTCGTTTCAAACAATTTTTTGATGATATTCATTTTAAATACTGAGACAAGAATCAGCCAAAAATAGCAGCGCCTCCGAAAAATATATTTTGAACGTTTCTAAATTTCTTTTTCTACTTGCTCGCGCGTTTACAGTATAACATTGTTTGGCGAGAGACACATATATTTTACATTTTGAAAAAGCAAAGCTTTTTGTGCTAACAACTGTTTACGTGACGTAATACACTTGTGAGGGTATTATTCTCGCTTCAACGCGTTTATCGCTTTATTCTTATTTACACTCTGGTGTATTGGTCTTAGCTTCGTGTGACATCAAACAGCACTGGGGTCGTAGGTTTCGGATTGAACAGGAGACCTGCTCCCGCTTGAAAATTGTTACTTGGAACGCTCACCGTGCTATTACTACTACTATTGATATTACTATTACTAATGTTAATATTACTACTAATGTTACGTTGCTGGATCGTTAGATTGCACGGGCCATCTTCTATAATGCTGTCCATTTTGCTTGGTTCGTTTTGAACGTTTTGCAGCATGTATTTGAAAAATTCATACCTTAAAACAAATAAATAATACTTTAGTTGAAATGCATCGTAATTTTTGAGAATTTTTCTTTTGTGTATGTGTGCATCAAAGATATCATTGTTCCAAAATGTACGCTGAATTTTAAAGCGATAAATTGTAGCTGAAAGTTATAGCACAAGATAAGATGTATCAATTACGCGATAGTGAAAATTATCGCGATGATTTCATTTGAGCAAACGCGATTGTAGAAAGTAAACTGAAATTTTTGTCCCCTTTATCAATTAAAACGCAAAAATCAATTTTTTATTCAGAAATAACAACAAACCAGAATTAATAATACGATGCTGCTATATTTAGATACAAATCTAGAAAAAATACGAATATTTCATTCAATCTATATAACTCAAACTACTTACGTTGACCAACAAATGGCAGTAGCGGGCATTTGGTAAACAATCCGCGCACTGAGTCCACGGAAAAAACCAGCCATCCCCCAGTACCTGTAGACTAGTGCCATGGCGTCTCGCATACCCGTGGCTCTTACTTCCCCTGTTTGAGTATTGAGCAGTGTTTTACAAACATCCAAAGGCATTGATACAGTAGCTGCTATTGCTCCGGCCATACCACCTGAAAATGTATTCCATGTCATTCAAATTTCATAATTCTGTAACTATTTTTTTTTATTGGAAACAGACAATCAATTCTTAAAAATGTTATTGTGACGAAAAAAAAAATACCAATAATTGTTTCATGGTCAGTGACATCATTTTCGTACTAGATTGATACTAGCAACGATAACAGATGTATACACATACATGTTACACAAATTAATAAAGTATCATGTACCGGAAACAACATGCGCCGCTGGATTGTAGGTGCGCTGTGGATTCGTAATTGACTGAGCGAATTCGTAAGTAACAAAGTGAATGCTCTGGAAAGGCACATTCATGAGCAGTGTTGTTCGGTAACTTCGATAAAACGCTGCTAGACCCTCGGTCGCGTACACCTGCTTAACGCAGTTTATCACTGATCTGTAGGGCGAATTTGGCATTTGCATACGTTGTTTTACCACTGGAATGAAAAATAATAATAAAACCTATGAGACAAACTTTCCTTTTTGTATTCCAAAAATTTTAAAACTACTTTGAACTATTAAACACGCACATGCAATCGGAAATTAAATACGACAAATTATGACTCAGCAAAAATGACATGTTATAACTAGCTTGTAAACAAATTTATTTCTCTATAATATGACATCTATAACTATTATTGAATCATTTTTAGAATTTGGGTTTTACTTATTAGCAATAATAATTATAGTCAATATCAAAAATGATAAAATTCAAAAACAATTCTAATTGTAATGATTGCAATAATTCTTACCTTCAGCAGGATTCATCACGCCATCATGTAATACAGTGGATAGCGTTCCAGCAAATGCATAAATGAGATGACCACTAAGTAATTTTGTACTCGATATTCTGTCTTTTAAATATTCGTAACAAGAGAAGTAGAGAGCATGCGCTGGACCTGCACCAATAACCATAGCACTGATTCCTCGAAACGGCCTAAAAATACCCTCTTGCCGCATCATGTTGCCAATTTCTGTAATTATTCCTACACCTCCACCGGGTCCTGGAGTCATTATTTGTCTTCTCGTCTGTAAAAAATTTTAATTTGTTATCAAATATTACAAAAAAATTATTTTTCTCATTTTTTGAGACTGTAAAAATGATATAATTTTTTTAATTCATTTTTTTCTTATTTAAGGATAAATAAAAAAATTGAATTTAATTCTGTTGCATTCATCATACAGAGAATCTATAATTAATGTTTGGGTGAATGGTACTTAGCAGAAATTCATAAATAGAATCTGTTACAAGAATACTGAGTATTATGTAATCTCACAACAAGACACATGCTCTCCTTTAAAGAAAGGAAATAATCACAACATATTTAACAGTTTCCAATTTGAAGAATAGAACACAAGTAGAATTCTAAATTGTTTAAAAAATTGTATTTGCAATTATTTAATTCAAAGATCATCATGAGCAAAATTGAGTACTCCATTTTTTAAACATTTGGTCTTAAATGAAAATTTAAGCTTTATTTGAAAAGAAAAAAAATTTGAATAATTTTATGCATAAAAATAAGCTGTTACTTGACAAATACCAATTCAATAGTTAAAATACTTTCACGTGTTATATTCAACTATCATGCTTGCATAATGCATGTAATCACAGGTATAATCAAAATGACTTTGAAAATTAATTTGGAAGTATGACACAGATTTAAATTATGAATTGAATTGTGATACTAAAAGTTTGAATTTCTCCATTTTTAGGAATGATCATTTAAAGAACTGGGAAATCTTTTTAATTTATTCATGTGACTATTATATTCTCACTCATAATGAATTCGCGCAAACATAACCCTACATTCAGATGCGTTGAATGAAATAATGAAAAATATTGAATGCCTAGTTTTGACAACAACCATAAATTTTACATTAGGATTTATAGTGTTAAAAATTTTACTTAATGTGGTGAAAAGTTTTTAATTTTATAAATAGTTCAGCGCCTATCAGAATCTTATTAAATTCAATGCAAAGTGGCTAATATTCAATATTGTATCAAACTAATTGACATATTTTTTATTTTAATGGTAATCATGAAAAACTTTTGAATCATTTTCTATTACTTTTCAATGCCCTTTATCTAGACATTGTAAGTAAAATTACAATCATTTGATCAGTGCACTGATTTAGAAAATTTTCATGGATTAAATTATATTCAAGTGAATCAATTAGTATCGAAGTAGTGTTAAGCAGTTCCCAGCTTTTAAAAGTAGATCAACCAGGTACATACAATTTTTATTTATAACACTAAGACTGATGCTTGAAAAGCAAATGTGTCTCTTTGCTACGCGACGAGCAGGTTTAGCATTTGAGGCTACATAGTTTGGCCTCTGAGGAATTCTCTGGGTGATAGCTTTGAATTTGCAAACAATAAAATTACCTTGACACTGTCAACTGAATACATAACACAGTGCTCCATAATTCCAGCACAAGCTCCAGCCATCATGTGCACACCAACCGACTGGGTTGGCAGACTTTCGTAATCGTCGGCGTTCATTCTTTCGTCGTCTTCAGTTACTGGCACGTCAAAGTAATTTTAGACCTGAAACAGAGATTAATTAGTAATTGTGCATCAAAGTTTTTCAACTAAATCTATGCAATCGTAGGATTGAGAAGAATTTATTACGCCGAAGGCAAAAAAAGCACATGTCACGCACGAAATGCAGGAACGACCGGTTTATCTAACTTTCGTTGTCTTCGGAGTTGAAATGTGTGTACACATAGACGATGAGCGTTGGAGTATGATATTTAATGCTACTCACGAGACTCGTTCGTTCGAAGGCGCAAAAAAAATTACCTCAGGAAATACCGACAAACCACATGGTATAATAATGCTTAAATCGTTGGTTTTTAATCATTATTAAAGTATTGAGCAATTCGTCAAATTGCTTGCAAAACAGATAATAGCTGCCTCACGTTACGATGTAACCGCGAGTGCGGGAGAGAAAGAGAGAGAGAGAGAGACTGAGCGAGTGAGAGAAAGAGAGAAAAAGAGAGAGGGAGCGAGAGGAGCATACGAGATCGGGGCCGCGTGCAAAGAGTGCAAAGATGGAAAAAATAAGTTAAAAAATAGCAGAGACCAACCGGGTACAGTCGACCAAATAACTTCACCGACTACTGTCAATCATAGTTTTTGACGGAGACGATCACACGATCCTTTGAACGAATCAAAGTAAAAGGCACCGAACGGCTGCAGCGCGAAACGTTGCTGCTGCAAAGTGCCTTGGGCACTTTTTCACGAGGAACAGGCGAAAACTGCCAAAGCGTGCCGCGGCTCGAATAGCAGCCCAGCAGCAGCAATACGCGAAATCCCAAGTGGAGTTTGATCTGTGATGATACGGGCTGCAGAGGTTAGTTTGATTCGAGCAGCAGAGCAGCAGCAAATCACGCACGTCTCTCTCGTGCAGAAACGAAACGACGGGAATTCATGCCTCGGTCGAAATTCGCCGCTGCCGCATAACATGAATAATAAATCTCATCGTCGATAGCGAATGACTTGTGGAAGTAGAAAGCGAATCACGCGAAAAACGAGCAAAAAACGAACTCGGACATTCCTCGCGTAAAATCGAGCAAGGATCGCAAACTGGCGAAATCGCCTCTCGCGAGAGGGATATATTTACTCGGAGTCGGATTCGGACCAGGATATTTGCTCCTAATCCATTTAGATAAACATGCTAGCTTATTGATATACACACCACAGCACTATGGGTCGTCCGCACTCCAGCCCGCACGCGGTTCGGACTGCAAAGCACAGCAGCAGCAGCAGCAGCAGCGGCGGCGGCAGCAGTCTGCACTTTGCAATATAATATATATACACTGATATATACCTATATACTGGTACACATGCTATACATGTGTATTCGACGAAGTTGAGAGCGTAGTTGGTATATATCGCACACGAGACACGAGCGGTGTGCGGCGGCGGCGAGCTCCGCTCCGCGATAGTCACACTATACTATACGCGCACGGGGGGCTTGATACGGGCGCCAGGCAGAGCAGCGCGGACGAAACTGATTCGGCTTTGCGGAATCGCGCTACGGCTGCTGCTACTGCTGCACTTATACATATAGATACGCGCGTGCCTGTGTCTGCGTGTATATATAATAATAATCACGGAGTCGGAGCGCGGTGTGCGACACGATGATCGTAGCAGACTCGAGTCGAGAATTGCGCGCTGCGCTGCTGCAGTGCAAAGTGACGGGTGGATTGCGACGAGGCTTGCGATACATTGCCGAGCATAGCCGACGACGAGTTACGTTACCTTACGTTACGTTACATTGCGGCTTTACGATATCGGAGCTTCGTTACGCGTTCTGCTCGACTCGCGACTTCGTATCGACTCGTATATTACAGTACACCTTTGGCACTCGAAGCGGCCGTACGATCGCTGCTGGAGGTCCCTAAAGAACGACTCCAAAAGCGCAGCTTTCATTCGCAGTTAAAACATTTCTAATCACGCAGAAAGGAGTTGCTTCGGACTTCGCAATCCTCTATGCAGATTCGTCGTGGATTTCGGAGCAGTCGTCAAAAATTGGCGCTTTATTTCTGCGGACGGTCAATCTTATGACTCGTGAAGATCTCCAAAAGCACGAGCTAATGCTTAGCAGGCGATCAATTGCACATTTTCGACGTTCTGCTAACTGGACCTGCCAAAGCGATATATAGACGACGTAAAGCGCCTGGCACGCACGCCCGGCGAGGAGACCACGTGCTTGCTAAGGCCAAGCAGTAGCCATTCAGTCGGACTTGTCAGCCTATATACAGTGTACAATATATAGGTATCCCCATCGGACGACTCTGCTTATAGACAGCTCTAGCTCGTGCATAATAGCGTGGTAGCAGCACCTACTTACTATACTTACGTTTGACCAAGATACCTATCGCTATTACGCGTCTAGCCTGCAATCGATGCGAGCCGAGTAGTTTGTATGCGGTTGCATCGCAATTGTCATCGAGTATGTAAGCTCGCGTGGATCGCTGCTTAAATGTACACTGTCGCGGCGTCTTCGGCCCCCCGAGTCTGCGGCCGTCGTTACTCCAGCCGCGCAACTCCGAGCGATAACGCCGACGAAAAAATACACAAACAATTACTCGCTGATTTTTCGCGACGAGCGCCATATACGCATGCTCACCTTAATAGCGAACAATTACATAATCCAAGCGAATGAGTCTCTTGGTTTTTTTTTTGCCTTCGTCCACTTGGCAATTATGGTACTTCTCGTGATATTTTGGCTCGATTGCAATTACTTTTTTCCGCCAGCTGATTTGTACTGGAACGTTGCAAAAAAAAAAAAAAAAACGATCGATCGAAAAACATTCGGCCACTAGAAATTATCGCACCGCGAGCGTTGCAGTGCCTACTTGAATATGCATATTTGAAATAATTACGAGTGTAAGTAAGTCAACTCTTGATATATTAGCTTGAGATGCAATCCGCTTGGCACATAGAAAAAACCGCAATGTCACATTTTCAACGCCATGAAAGTTCAGAAATCCGCTCGATTAGAAAGTTTAAATTCTCACTCTATTCGTGTCAATCAAAATTTACTTTCTATATCGATCATTTTAAAATATAAAATTCAAAATTGGACATCGAAAAAAGGCACAAAATTAATGTATAAGGGCTTAGCTCGTGGCATAGCGCGCAGTTTACGCAATAATTGATAATTTACAGCGTCGATCGCTTGCCTTGCCCGCGTCGACGTTTTAAAATATATATATCGTCTCACCCACTTAATGGAGGCTCACGTATTTGTCTATCTCGCGAGATAGTGGAGACGCGATGCGAGATGCAGATAAGGACATTTTTTTTCTCTATGAAATTGCTCACGTATGTGTGTACAGCCAGCGACGTGCCGATATAGCGCTCGATTTATATCGTCACATGTTTATGCAGTCGCATCGTTTGTTTATTTACGTATACGCTGATGCAGAGATCGCGTCGCGATGAGGAAAATCGAATGAAAAATCGAAGGTGAAAGCCAATCGCGGCTGGGAAAATGCGCTCGTTTTTTTATTAGCTCGTACGAATCGTATGCTCAATTTCAGCCGGATGCCCACGACCGGACGTATGCATCTATACATTTTCTATGATTTTGAACTCTATTTGGTCGGTGTTACGCAATCGGTCGGTGCCAGTGGCAACACCAACGCTTAAATAACTGAAAGTCGATTTTTTAGCGATCGATACTCGCCGATGCGCCGCGCTCTGCATTATTATCCTTTACACGCCAACTGGTTCTACGAGAGTTTCAAGTATCAAGGTTGTTCTTCGTAACGACCAAATGACGTAGCATTCAATGTTTCCTTCTCAATAAAATACCAACGATTTTACATTATTTTTATAGTACTTTTTATTAAACGCTTAAATTAATAGGTACAATAAATTATTGCTACGATTTTAGATTAGTATTACCGAAAAAATCTGACTCAGTTTCGTAAAATTACATATAATAATTATACAAATGTGTGTATTCGATTAAAAAGATCTTTAACAATAAATTTATTTTACGGAAAATTTAACTATCTAAGATGAATACATTCCTGCAGGCACTGCTATATGTAACAAATTTTCCTATCATGTTTTCTTTATAGAGTATCTCGTGCGTAATTGATTTTTCATAAGCACGTATTTTTTCTATGTACAACTACAATTAAAAATGAATTTTACTCTTGGTAAATACAATGAGTTCACATGTATGCAGGCAAAGAGTATTTTGCTGGCAATCAAGTAAAATTTGTCAATTGTGAGAGATATGTTATTGCGATTCAGTGCTTATTACGAATTAAGTAATTTTGGTTTTATTCAAAATTCATACTATTTTTATGGAATACAAAAATACTTTCTACTTTTGACGTGAAAGTATTTTTAAACATTAACAATTTTTTTAACCAAATAAAATTGACTGACTGGTTGCAATTTGCTTAATTAAAGCGTTCCAAAAACTATATTTAAAAATATAGAATACTATTTTTCAAATCAATTTGAAGTGTTTTTGATTTTTTCTAAATTTGCACGAACATCACCATGTTCAATTTATCACAAATTCGCGAATTTTTGTACTTATTTATCTCATATTTACATCCAGAATATTTATCATAGTTAAATTTCAAAGTGATGTTAGCAATTTTTGCAGATATGATTTATAAAAATAATTTATAGATAAGAACATTGTACACTAAACCTAATGACAACATTTTTGCGCTTATTAAATTGTACTGTAAGGACATGTTGTTAAAAACAATTAAAGCAACTTTCAACACTTTCAACAAAACTTAAAATATCAAACGAAAATAACAAATAATGCTCAGTTACTTGATTACAAAAACTATGAAGAAAATGTCCAAGCAAAGATTATCAGAGTGACAGATGAAGTGCGAGAATAAAAAGCAATCAGACGAACGATTAATTCATTCACTAATCTATATGATCTCTCAACTTAAACAGAATATCCATCAGACATACACACAATAAAAGTTAAAAGCACATAAATCTTCTGTACAGAGAATAAAATGTTTAACAGTTCATCAATACTCATTCTATTATAAAATTGAATAAGTAATAAAATATATTCTCATGCTTTCTACCTCTTAATCATATGTAAAGAACATCGTCTACATACTTTTTTTAATAGTAAAGTTTGCTCTGATCAAAATCTGCAAATTGAGCTTCGTTATAAAAGTGCATTTATCTTTCAACTTATTAGAGAATTACCTATATGATTTTGGCACTATAAATGCATCACCTTGAACCAACTATTTTAATTCAACACCTGCTTTTATCCACAGATGTTTTGTTTAAAGACATCTTAAGTAAATAATATGTCGCAAAATATAATTTTTTTATAGTCTATATAAATTAACGTTATTGAATAAGCCCAGCAAAATACATCATTTGCGAGCGAGACGAGCACGAGTCGCCGGGTCTAGAAGACAATCGCTTAGAACAATGCGAGGTTCGCGTTGTTGCTGGCTCGGCGATTCTGGTGATGACAATACCGTTGTCGGCAATGTCGGCTGGACCCGGTACCGAAGTCGGGAGCGCCGAAAGGCGCGTGGCTATGCCGGTTGGAAACGTCTCTGTCTGCGCGTAGATGACGTTATTAGAGGCCTGGGCTTGTATAAGTCGTCGCTCGAGTAGCGCTGCCTACTGCGATTACGCCTATTATTTTAGTAGTAAAATACCATTTAGTTCATTGTTAAAGTGGTTTTATTAATTATTTGATATCGTATGGAAAAATCATTACCCTTTCTCTTCTCTAGTGAGACCAAGGTCACTGGTAACTGAAGCGTCGCTGACTGGACTGAGAGGCATAAGGAAATCTTCCATGCTAGATGTGCCAGGCTGTGGTTGCATTGGTTGATGAACTTGTTGCTGACCACTAGTACTGGGAGAATTATGTATTTTCTTAGCCCTGCCGGCTTTCTTCTTTTTTTTACACATAATTTCCGATTCTGCTAGAGGATTTTCTAATACTGCTTCGGCAGAAGTACTATTACTTGAAGATATTTCAGATGTTGAATCTGTAGAAAATTTAAAAGCAGGGGATGGAGTGTCTGATTCTCTTCCAGGAGAAATAGCTTCTGATTGACTGTCTAGAACTTCAGAAGATCTGAGTTCAACCGGAGGATCTGGACTTGAGCACTGGTTTGCTTCAAAATTTCTTAAAAAGCACAAGAAATTTTGATAATGTGTGGTATCATTCTCCAGATAATAGCAATCTTCCTCAATCGGTGAAACAGCTCTACGTTTCAAAGAGGGTTTAATACTTTCTTGATCCATATCTTCATTATTTGATGTATCAATTGAAGTTGATTCAGAATCTTTTTTGTTTAAATCAGTATCAATTGAACTTACTGCTGAATTGCTATCTTCAGACTCATATTTGATAATTGATTCTAATCTTTTGCTGGATTGGATCAAAATATTATCTTCAGATAAGTCTATTTTTTCATCTATTGTTTCAATTGGTTTTTGAACAAAAACAATATTTTTTTGAATAGTCTCATTATTCATATCAGTAACTTCATCTGCCACATTGTTTGAACAATCTGATGCAGGTGATTTTTGAGCACCAGTGTCAATTAGAAATTGATCTCTTGATTCGGAGTTTCTTAATTCTTGTTCTTTAATTTCTTGATCATTTTCTTTTTCAGAATCTTCATCTATGATTAATTTCCCTTCATCGATATTATCACCTGTACTATCCATGCTTTCAGAGTCTTTTTCATTGAACACATCATTACTATCTACAGATTCATCAATTTTTTCTATACTGTCATTGACCTCAACTTTGGAGTTTTCAGATGAACTTTTACTATCCTGTACTTCTGTTTCTTCAATTTTGTCAGTATCTGTTGTGATATTGGATGATTCTTCGTGATTTAGTAAAAGAACATTATCTTTTATTACTTCAAGTTCTTGAGGCGCCTCAATACTTTTTACTTCTGATAGGTTATTGCAATGTTTATATTCTTGCGAATTATCATTTTTATTTTCTTCAGTGTTGGTGTCAACTAAGTTTTCACCAACATCAAAAGCCTCACTGATATTTTCATCATTTTTAATATCTGTTTCATTATTTGAGAAACTTGCCTCCAACTTCTTTTTATCTTCTTTTATGCTTCTTTCTGCTTCATCTACATCCATTTGAATATGTTCAATATTTTCTTCAATATTCTCAGTTAATAATAAATTTCCAGAAGATTGAGTAGTATCAAGAAGACTTTCAGATGGAATTACTGAATCATCAGTAAGGGTTTCTAGAAGAGATTCTGAATCAGTAACAATTTTAGGATCATCAACAAGTGTAGAATTACTTATGCTGTCTTCTGTTGATTCATTAATCGGACTTTTACTTGTAACATGGTCAGCCATCATTTCCCTTAAAGAATCTCTTATGGATTGTTCCATTTCTGATAATTTTGTTTGGGCTGATTGAGTAAATTGTTCAGTATCAAGAATTATTTTCTTTGTCTCTTCAATTGATAAAATAGGATTTGGTTCAGGGTAAGGACCATCATAGTCTTCATCTTCATATTCAACAATTTGTACTCGTTCATCATCTGGAACGCATTCAACATCCATGTCACTTTTGAAAATATCATTTTTCTTTTTCACGACTTTTGTATCGTCTATTTTTGGTTTTTTAGGAGCTGATGTGCATGGAGTAGAGTCTGAATTAGGAAGTGGTCTTTTCTTCAAAGGTAATGATATTTCTGAGGAACCAGGATCCACTCGCTTAAGTTGATGTTCCTGATGAGAGTTTTTAAATTTTGCAGGTAAATCAATCACATTGTTAGAGCTTTCTCCGCTTAAATGGCTACTTCTACTGCTTCCTTTGGAAGTTTGTCCAACTTTTGAGAGGTTTGATTCATGTGAACTTTTATCAGAATTTTTACTGTGAAAATCATTAGATCCTTCTCTGTCTATTGAGCGATGCTCATGAGAATTTCTTTTGTGACTGGCGTGATCATCCTTAGATTTTTTCTCTGTGGTGCGTTTTTTATCTCTCGATCTATCACTACTTCTACTTTCATATTTTGAATCTCTCCTGCTGCTACTTGATTTAGAATCATTTTTACTGGTAACACTTTTTTTTTCTTCATATTTGGTGTTACTATACTTATCTCGAGAATCTGATTGACTTGAATGTCTGCGATCACTTGAACTTTTAGATGAAGATTTTTTACTATCATCTTTATTTGAATTTTCTTTTTTATCCTTGGTTTCCTTAGAGTCCTTACTGCTTCTTCCAAATTTTTCTTTTTCTGTTAATTCTTTTTTCTCACGTAGTTCTCGTATTTTTTCCTTGTACAGATCTTTCAAATCCTTAACATCTTTTGACGATTCTGAATCTTTTGTTTTACTATCTTTATATTTGACACTGTCTTGAGATTCACTTTTCTCCGATTCGTTCTGATCTCTACTTTTACTCCTAGAATGTTTACTATATTTACTGCTATACTGTTTTTTAGAATCTTTATCCTTGTCTCTACTACTATGACTTCCATATTTGTCTTTTGAGCTTTTTGTTCTAGAATCATACTTATCTTTACTGTTTTTGAAATCAGTAGCATCTTGAGAATTTTCTTTTGATAAATTACTACTCATATTTTTCTTTGCAACTTCAAACTCAAATGAATCTTTAGTAGAGTCATTCTCTCTTACGGCCTTAAAATTATCTTTGGAACTTTTTATATCATCTTTTGATTCTGACAGGGAGTTGGAAGCTTGATTGGAAGAGCCAATATCAGTCACAATAGATAAATGTGAATTTGAAGAAACTTTACTAAATTGAGAATCTTGATTACTACCATCAAAATTATCACGAGCAGTATTAACCAAATAGTCTGGACTTCGTGAAGTTGGACTCGTTAACTCAGAAATTCCAGACATTGGAGAATCATTTGACATATTAGATTCTGCTGCATGTATAGCTTCAATTGGTTCAAACATTGGACTTTCTTCTTCATCTTCTTCAGTTTTATTAGCATCATCAGATTTTATCGAGGTATTTAACTCAACTTTTTCTGACACGCTCTCTTCAACTTCCATGCTTTCTTGATTTTCAAGAGTAATAGTTTCTTCCTTTACTTCAGGTACTATCGACGAGGAAAGAATTGGTTTTTCTTCAGATACATTGGACGATGGTTTTTCCATTTCTTCTGTGATGGTTTCTTTTATTTCCATATCATCATCATCTTCTTTTTTAATATCCATCACAAGATTTTTTTCACTCTCCTTTTCAGAGTCTGATTCTGAAATTGGATCTAAATCTTTTGGTAACAAGTCTGTCAAGTCGCAAGATCCATTTTTTTGAGGTTTGGGTCTTTCAATTCCCATGTATTTATAAACGACATCTTCAATATGAGGCATGAAGTTTGAATATATCTTTGGATTAACTACTTGATCAACTATTCTCTCAATACCTACATCTAGGTATGGCGCATCACGTATATGTTTTCTTAATGTTTCCCTCAACTGATTTTTATTTAAATCAGCCCTCCAAGTTTGCTTGCTCAAAAATGAAGTAACTGAGCTCTCTACTCTTGTCCTCAAATTTTGGTATGCAGGCTGCAAAATAAGGTTGTTTTTAATACATGGATATATTCAATAAAACAAATGAATATTTATATTCATCTATTTTTAAGTAAGGGTTATGTCTTAGGAATCTATATTAAAATGAACAAAAATTGAAATCATTTATTATTTGTTTCAAGTTTTACTGGTTAGGTAAAAACTCAAACAATAGAATAATAATTATAATTGTGTTATATAGCAATCCCAAACATTTCTCTTTGAAACAAACTCGAATGATGAATATTGAAAAACAATTTATTTAAAAAAAAAAATAGAATCCACTACTGATATAAATTCATTTGTTGGATTTCAAGCTTTTTAATTTTTTAAGTATACTCTCATAATCTTTATAACTTATTAAAACAAATTTACAACCTACATATAGCTATTTTAAGGATATTGCATAGTAAATTAGCTTCCTTTTTTCACAAGAAACCACTAATATTTTCTTAATTCTTTAATTTATAATGACTGCATCTTTTACCTTGAAAGACCATGTGTTTTTTATTAACAAGCATAAATCCTCAAAAAAAAAAGAGATGAATGTCTAGTATCAGATGAAACACTAACAGCTAATGAGCCAGGAAAAAAAAAGCTATCGCTATGACAAAGAAGTAAATAAATTCATGCAACTAGATAGATCATGATTGATTTCACAAATTTCAATCAGTCAAATTATGATTTGAAATAAAACTTGAAAAATTAATAGAACGATGAAATGCAGGAGAAAACTTGAATTAAAAGTTTGAAATTAGATTAGATAATTTAATGGTTCATGATAATCACCTTGGTATCGACGTCGGCCAAACATTCCTTTCTAAACTGGTCAAAAATGCCTTGAGATTTGACTTCACCAACTATATGGTCAATTAAGCGTTGATCGCCAGGGATCATTGAATTATTTATATCCATTTCCATGATTTTTTCCCGAGTGTCTTTTGACGTTTAGTCAGCTTTCGAGTCCAAAATAGCGTTGCCTCTTTTACAGATACGATATATGGTATAAATAATGCACTTATGTAGCGTGTGTAGCAGATGCGCGCGCCATCATCCGTTCAGTGTTACTGATGAACACTGAATGGCCATGAGGTCGAGCTGAGCGCATTTAGCTAAGGTAGCGCTGTATAGAGTACGTCATTGCAGACAGAAGTGACGGTACTTTTCTCGCTTCAAAGACTTTGCCTGGAATCAAGTAAATAATATCGTGAAATGTCGTGACAGTAAAGAATAAAGCTCCAAAAAAGCCAAGTTAGTAATTGACTCTTTGATTCAAAATTATTAAAATTTCTACACTTGTTTTTCTTGGACTTGAGTATAATCGAGAAAATAAAATTTGAGCACAATGTCACAATTAAAACTTGAACTTTAATACGTACATTATCTTATCTTCATGAAAAAAATTATACCTAGGGTATTATGTTTATTGTTCGCGTCTACTGATTCGTGCATTTTTATAGTATTCCGCATTATGCTAAACGTTTCAACTGTATCAAAAATCATAGTAACCGTAATGAAAATAAGTTCTATGCATTTTTTAACTGTACGGTCATTAGTTTGTCTTTACAATTTGAATTTGTCACCTATGCCTTTTTGTATTTAAAATTAATGAAATATTAAAAATTTTATTTTAAATGACCCTTTGATTGAACATTATTTATTATTTTAGATGGACCTGAAAATTTTCAGGAGCCAGAAACATGCCAAAAAACACAACCTGGAAACTGTAGGACAATTAAAAAGAGTATTAACGCGAAGCTGAAAAAAAAATAATTCAAACTTTGACTTATATATGTCAGAAATAATTATTTTATAATAACAAGTCGTAGGAGTTTTTGTCTACCGTATAGACACTGTAAAAAGAGCCGTATTTTCGTTGAAATAATTATCATGACAAAGTGTCGGTAGATCCAGATTGATCAAACGTCAATTTCACGAACACACGTGAAAAAGAAAATGAAAGTGCAAATGACTGTCTGTCGTGAGCACGCATGGATGAATACGCATATATACACGTTCTTTACAGCATCAGTAATAATCAGCATATACGGCCGTGCGCGTCCGTGACGTTTTCGGCAATGAATTAAGCAGTACAATGAAATTGTAAAGCATAAGTGGCAGACAGTCAGTGTTGCTAAGATGGCGAGCACGGTCGAGCCCGAGTCTGCTGCGGCTGGCGAGGAATGTGATTTGTCGAAAAAGCCCGATAGAATACTCATTTTCAGTGGCAAAAGAAAATCCGGAAAAGACTTTATCACCGATGAATTGTTCAAAAGGTATTTAAATTTAGCGATTTTTTATGAGCATGAAAAACTTTATATTCGCTTAACAAATATGTGCAATTTCAAAAATTTCTCTGAATTGAAAAGCGGGAAAAATTGACGTTTGAGATATATTGAAAGCAAGGATTTAAAAATACCCTGAATCGCCTAGTAGACTTTGAAAAACTAATATATAATACAAGTGCATGAATTTAACATATGTAGAAAGGAGTCAGTGTAAATTCTACATCCGGAATAACGGGAAAAAAAAGTGAAACGGAGCAGCACGAAGTCTGCATATTTGAAATTCCAGAATTGCGCGCAGTGTTCCGATGCAACATTTACAGTCGATAAAAAAAGTTTTTTATTTTTTTTATCTTTCAATTGAAATTAGCTTATCTGGCAATTCTTTAATTAACATTATGTTTACAACAGACTCGGCGACGACAAAAGCGTCATTATAAAACTTTCTGGACCGATAAAAACACATTGGGCAAAAGTAAAGAATCTCGATGCTGATCAGTTATTTGGTGATGGAAAGTACAAAGAAATTTATCGATTGGAGATGGCCAAATGGGGTGAACATATGAGAAATAAAGATTACGGATACTTTTGCCGTGCTGCTATACAAATGTATAATGGTAAAATTTCAAATTTTACGCACTGGAGAGGTGAATTATTTTCAATGAGATGATATGATGTTTTTAGCTAGCAACAAATCGATCTGGATCGTAAGTGATGCAAGAAGAAAATCAGATTTAAAGTGGTTCCGAGAGTACTGCCACAGCGCTTGCAGGACAATCCGAGTATCCTGCAGCGACGAAACCAGAGCCCAACGCGGATATGTTTTTACACGTGGTAGGTACTCATGATTACTTAAAAAATGTGCACTTACTGATTAAAATTTCAATCTCAGGAATCGATGATGCGGAAACCGAATGCGACCTTGACGACGTTTTGGATTGGGATTTAGAAGTTAAGAACGATAATCTGAATATTGAATATATTATAAAAAAAATTGAAGATATTTTAAAATGATCGTTGCAATTGGAGTTTGTAAATATATAAATAATTTTACATACATTGTACATATAAAATGATGTCGTATGTAGTATTTTAGTTAGGTTTTCGATTCATTAAAAAATGTTCCCCATACAGATGGGGGATGCCTTTTGAAACTTAGGTTTTTATTAAATATTTTAGAGTATTTTTAAATGTTAATAACAAAGAATAATTTTCGAAAAAATTGTTTATCAATAAAAAATCGTTTTATATTATTATATAATCATTCATTAATTTATTTTTTCATAGTAGTATAGTTGCATGTAATTACCAGCTGCAGTATTAAGTTCGAAGTTCACAAATTGTAAATGTAAGTTTTTGAGGTGTAGTGAGTGGTTTGAATAACTCCAATTCTGAACAGATTCATTTTACATTACAAAGGTACAAAATGATTACGCTATTAAAATTACCGATTTCATTGGCATGAATGAAGAAATGGTTACGCTTAAAAATTTTAATTTTAAATGAGTATACGTCGCGTTTTTAAATTATATTTTTAAATGTTTCGTAATACTTATATGTTACGATGCTCCTTGCGAAAAGTCAAAAATGTAATTTATATTACGAAAAACGGAATTTTTCATATTTTATGAAGACGACTAGAATGTTTCAGCGAACCTATAGGATAAGAATTAGGACATCTCAGACGTCACAGCCGAACGATATTTTACTTTTATTGCTAAAAGTATGATGGTTTATTGTACGAGAAAAATGTACATGCCTTATAGGAAGACGAAGCACACAGTCTATAAGTTAGCTGTTATTTGATATCTAGACCATACAATAAAGCCAACGACATTATTAGAAATATCTAAACTATATGAATCTTTATATTAAATTTTATAATAATATGACGAAAAAGATATCCGCATTAGAGTATGGACATAAATAGTTTCTTGCAAAAAATTATTTTTCTTTTTCAATAAATTTATTTAGTAATTGTTCGATTATTTCAATTGTACTTTTACTTTTCAATTTTGATAAAAATATTGATGCGTCTAATCTGGTTCAAAGTTGAAACTAATTATTCAAATGTCTGCGTGAAGAATTGGACAAAAGAAACTTTATTTTAATATTAAAATTTTGGAGCTCTATAAAAAACTAAAAGATGAATTGCTATTAACTCGCCGGTTTATCTAAAAATTTTATTCTCAAAATTGTCGAGGGTCACAGTTTCTGCGATCTGTGATGTGTATAAACATTTCTCAGCAGTAAACCAAAATAAGCCGACAAGCGCGCTAATCGAGAAGGATGACAACGCTCTTTAAATCGGATTGTGTGATTTGTGGCGCTAGCGTGCGATATACTTTGGTTTATAGATCGAGGCAGTTCGGCACTATCGATATGATTTATTTACATTATACACTACACTATTTTTAAACCGGCGATTCGGTGAGCTGTTGGAAATAATTAAAGTACGTTCATTCTTTAGTCAACAAATTTCTTTGTGATATTCGGATATACGTGGATCGTATTGAAGCGACTCTCATAGAGAAATTGACGCTTATACTATCACAACTGGCTGCTTCTTATAATTAATTTCTCGTTGAGATTTTATTAATTAAACTCATTGATTGAATCCTCTTATTGGTAAGTTTTGATAAATTTTACACTCTGTATTTAAAATCAAATAAAGCTACGATGACGACATATACAGCATCCGAATTGAAATTCACACACATTTTTAGAATTGGTTTGCACTGACTAAACTTAATATATTACATATGTCAAAATTGCATATGCATATAGATAATGTTAATAAAATAATAGTGCATGTATGTAGGCGTGCACAGTTTAGACAGTGTACCTATTATGATATACGAATAGGATTATGCTTTAGACCATAATAAATTGAATATTTATTTATATAATACGATCGAGTCAAAGGTCAATCTCAATCGAAGATAACCCTATTTCATCATACTTATTTTATATTTTTGCTTTTCAACTTTGAATAAAAATAATTGTTACATCGCGATGTAAATTTTTATTTGAAAACTGTAATAATCGAATTTTAATACTCCTTGTGTTAAACACTTTTCTCTTCCAGAATAAAGAACAATGGATATCCATAAATTATTACCTGAAGGGCTTAAGATAGAAAGTCCTTTTACTTGGGAGTTGGATTTAAAACAAGTTAGTAGTTTTCATGAAGAAGAAGCAGTGTTAGCTGACTATGAAGAATGCCCAGTAACACATTTTCTTGAGATGAACACATTTGCATATATTAGATCTATGCAAGGAAAAATTGATGCAGCTGAAGAATTTATTAGAGAAATTAATAATGTTTGGAACGACATTTATGAAAGGTAACTGAAGGGCTCATAGGCACCTTTAAATCGAAAATTTTTTCTATTCAATTTTTAGAAAGGGCTTTTTTTTCTCTTTCCATTCGAAGTTGCGTTTGTGACCTTTGATATTCGGAAGAAGATTACCTTACCTGGTAGGGTGTTGTAACTTAATTTTGTACGTTTTGAACGTTACGATAGATGATCAAAAACACGACTCACCGCAAAACGCAGAAGAAGAAAAAATTTATCAGGAAAAGTATACAAAAAAGATTCACGAAAAGTGCTGTATCTCAGTGAAAAATCAACTTTTCAGAGTTTTGAAAAATGCAATGAAAGGGAAAAAAACCTTTCCAAAAATTGAATAAGAATATTTTCGATTTATATGGGACTATGAACCCTTAAAATGATTAATTTAAAACCAACTAAACATCTACTGTTTTTACAGAGTTTCAGAGCAAAAAGATTGCTCAGTCAACGTACTAATGCATATAAAAGATGCAACAGCTTATTGCATATATTTAATTGCTGGAAAAAAAGACCAATCAGAAGAAATGGAAATGAAAATAAAAAATGCAAATGATTTCAAATCTGATATTGAAAAAGGAACTATAGTTGGATCTCAGGCTATAGCTTTAAGTCTGTTTAAAGAAAAAAGTATAGATATATCTTTGAAATTAGCTAAACAGGCTATTTCATATGTTCCCAACTGTGCATTGTGGCACTATGTAACTGCCAAGTGTCTACGAAGAAAAAGACGTTGTCAAGAGAATTGTTTAATTGTTTCTGAAGAAGAAGAAAATGAATTTTTGAAATGCTATGAGTTATCACAAACTGATCAATACAGATTGTGTGTTGCAAGAATGTATAAGGAAAGTAAAAATTGGAAAAAATGTTCAGATATATACAATGAAATCTACAGTAAAGAGCCAACAAACATGAAAGTGAGATTAATTCTGGCCTTGTATTTCATGAATAAAAAGGATTTTTTCAAGGCCAAAAATTGTTTAGATTATGTTGAAAAGTTATTGCCTCCAGAAAAAACATCAAAAACTTACTATCATTATTTGGGAAAATATTATGAAAAAACTAAAGATTTCGCAGTAAGTTTTTCGAAATTGAACCGATCGATAATAACAATTTATTGAGATAACTCTTTTTCCAGAAAGCAAAAGAAAACTATTTAAAAGCTATTGGAGATACAGGCAATTTTCCTGCTGATATGGATCATTTTAATCTTATTAGATGTAGTTCAAAGAATAATTATAACGGTATTAAATACCTTCAAGATATGCTAAAAAGATATGAAGACAACAAAAGTCGTTCTTTGAATATATTGGTTCATTTAGGCATCATTTATTTAATTGAAAACAAAAATTTGAAGCTAGCAGCCGATTATTTTTTAAAGGCTATAAAAATAAATCCTTGCGATCCGCAATTAACGGTAAAATCAAAAGTATTTTAAGTTACTGGTTGAATTGATTTTCTTAACTTATAAAAATATTTTTTATTTCAGGATTACCGTTCATTTTATCATAAAAGAAATTATAACATTTTTCAATTGATTAGTAGAAACATTCTGACAGGAAATGAAAATAATTACGGGAATACTCTCAAAGAATTGAAAAATTATTGCATTGAATATAAAAAGAGAGTAGAAAAGAACAATGTCGTAGATTCACTGGACGAGAAATTTGCTAAAGCACTTTCCCTTAAAGAATAGTAACATTAGAAATTCACGCAGGAAAAATTTAAAACCAAAAGCATGATTGGTTATGCTATACTTGCAATTTTAATGGTCAATTTGAATTTGAAACAGCGAGATGTTTATGTGCTCAACAACAAGAACCTATTTCCTATGCAATTATTGACTTTCAAAATGAAAAGAGACCCGAATGACTGAAAATATAACCAAGACACACAAATTAAAAAATTACATTTTTATATGGCGTTGTCCAGTTATAATTTTATTGATGCTTATTAAAAGTTGTTTTTGTAACTAAGTGTAGTTTTTAGAGAGCATATTGATTAAAAAATCATGTTTTAGAAATTGATTTTAAAGTGTACTAATATAAAAGTGTTTGTATCAATTACAATTTTAAATTGTATCAAAGTTTTGAGTATTAATTCAATACTATACTTTTAATGTAATGTAACATCGGAAATGGTCTTTAACAATAAATATTGTTTGATTATGCATATAAACTGTTTTTTTTTTCAATCACTGTTGTTGAAAGGCCTTTCATCAGAATCATACTTTTAATTAAAAAATGGCCATCAATGTGCTGGAGAACTCGACAGAGTGTTAAGTTAGAACAAGAAATTTACGATTTTTATGAGAATTTAGTCCACAATATATCTTTACATCGGGTGCGCGGGCGGCACGAGTATAAATTAACATTTAGAGAAGTTATTTTTAATTGTTTATTGTTAAATGAAAAGTTACGAGTCGACTAACAGCTACAATGAAACAACAGCATAAAACCGCCCTTGAATTTGAATCGTAACACAACATCGCTAGTGTTAGGAGTGCAAGAATTACTTCGGCAAATAAACTCTACCATTTTTACATGTCAGTGCTGCCAACATGAGTAATGTTCGCATTTGATTACTTGCTTTTTCAATCACATTAGAACCACCAAAAGTGATTGAAGAACAAACTCTTGACTACACATAACATTCCTTTGTTATACAAGAAAGTAGTGGATTATGCTAGGATTGGACATCTTTCACAGTCGAATCCCGCCTACTAGTGCGATTTCATTTCACAACATAACTCGCTGTGCTTCAATTCATTTTCAAAGAGACACTTTTTTGTATCGCTAAATATTCGGTGAGTTTAATAATAATTAGTAATAAAGTACTATGTAAAATAAAAACAAACAAAAACAATATCTGATAAAATTTATACAGAAAATCGTACTTACTCGATGTAATAATACGAATTTTATGCATATGCTTTTAGTAAAAGTATCATATTATTTTTCATCATAATGTAACAACATTAATTCGTCCTTTTTGAATTCAAACAAAAATAATAGTGAATTCAACAAAAAATGTTCATCATATAAGTGAAGATAAAATAAAAATTATTTGAAAAATTGAGAAACATGTAGCAAGGTTCTTTGCATGATATAATTTTCTTCTTTACTTTCAGAACTAAGTTGCAATGGATATCCATGAATTACCATCTACAAACCTTACAATGGAATGTCCATTTACCTGGCAATTGGACTTACAAAAAGTTTGTGATTTTTGTGAGGAAGATAAGACCTTAGCCGATTATACAGAAGCACCGATATCATGTTATATTCAAATGGTGACTTTTGCATACATTAGATATATGCAAGGGAGGATTGTTGCTGCTGAAGAATTAATTGAACAAATTAATGATCTTTGGGAAAGAATTTATGAAAGGTTGCTACATAAAATATATTTTTGGTTTGCCTCAAAAATTAACTGTTTATTGTTGTTACAGTGTTTCAGAGCAAAAAGTTTATTCAATTGATGTACTGATGCACATAAAAGATGCAACAGCATATCACATATATTCAATGATAGGAAAAAAAGAAAAAGCAAAAGAAATGGAAATGAAAATAAAAGATGCAAATAATTTCAAATCTGATATTGAAAAAGGAACTATAGTTGGATGTCAAGCTTTAGCGACAAAACTACTTGACGAGAAAAAACAAATTCCAGATATTTCTCTAAAACTAGCCAAACTAGCTTCTTCATATGTTCCCAACTGTGCGTTGTGGCACTATGTAATTGCTGAGTGTCTTCGAATGCAGAGACGCTTTCATAATTTTAGTGCAAATATCTCAGAAGAAGAGACAAATGAGTATTTAAAATGTTATGAGTTATCAGAATCTGATCATTTCTACATGTGTGTTGCAAGATTGTACCGGGAGAGTAATAATTGGGAAAAATGTTCAGACATGTACAATAGTCTTTACCTTAAAGAGCCTACAAGCTTGAGAACAAGATTATCTCTTGTCTTATTTTTTTTAAGTTCAAAAGATTTTGTGAAGGCTAAAGATTGTTTGGACTACATTGAAAAAATATTACCTCCAAAAAAGTCAAATAAAACTTACTATCATTATCTGGCAAGATATTATGAAAAAACTAGAAATTATCCTGTAAGTATTTAAAAATGTCAACAATCAATAACATCTTTTGAGATTCTCTTTTTTTTTCAGAAAGCCAAAGAAAATTATTTGAAAGCTATTGGTACAAATAATTTTCCTGCAGATATGGATTACCTTATTCTTATTAGAAATACTTCAAATTCAAAGTATGATTATGAAGTTATCAAGCACCTCAAAAGTATGTTAAACAGATATAAAGATAACAAAAGTCTCACTGTACACATAATGTTGACCTTAGCTATCACTTATTTGTTTAAAAACAAAAATTTAAAGCTTGCAGCTGATTATTTTTTAAAAGCTATCCAGACAAATCCACATGATCCTCAATTAGAGGTAAGAATAAAAAACATGTTTAAATCTCTGATTTAAGTGATTTTCTGATTTGAAAAATAACTTTTTATTTCAGAATTTTCAGACGCGTTTTAGAGATGTAGATAGGTATAATATTTTTGAATTGATCAGTTCAAAAATCCTGACAGGAAATGAAGATAATTACGGAAATACTCTTCAAGAATTGAAAAATCATTGTATTAAATACAAAAATCGCAAAGAAAATAATGTTTCAGATTTACTAAGCTTAAGTGTTGCTGAAACTTTATCTCTCAATAAATAAAATTCGAAATGCATTCAGGGAACAATAAATCTCTGCCTATCAATATAAACTTTGATTTAATTGAGACAAAGAGTATAAATTGATATTATTGTAACACTTGTCAATGTGAGCATTTATTATATTCTACTTCATGATTAGAAGAATATTTTTGTACGATTTTCAATTGTATGTAAGAGTATATGACGCTTGTTGATAACTAACGGAATAATGCTGTAGTTAGATAGTTGAGATTGACTATTATTATCAATAAATTCCGTTTAAATACTCTCATCACTTTGATTTGTTATTTGAGATACTGTTGCTGAATTGAGTCTAAAATGGAAACGAAAATTTAACGATTGTTATATTACAGTTTAAAATGCACCCTGTCATCGCTTTTCAACTTTTCATAGTGGATGTTAGTGATCAAGTATGAAATACCCTTGTTGTATAACTATTTTGGAAACGACACTAAAAAACGCCACTTGAATTCATAAACCGATTTACAATGCAATTTTTTCCCGCTACAGTATCGTCTCGTGGCTCACTTGAATCGAACATTGATAAATTTATCATTTTAAAACGATTATAAACATATTACCGAAAACCATTAAATAATTTTTATTCCCTTTGTAACAAACTTTGACGAAATCAGATTGTCTCATTGAAATTGTAGAGGTGTAAAAGTTAGCCTTCCAGGATAACAAGGAAGAAAGACATGAAACATTTTTTACGTTGTATCATATTATAAATTTTTGTTTGATTGTTGTTTTTTGAGAGCTTTCGAGTCTTCGCGATGGAATGATTGGGAATAGTTGTGTTGTCGAATTTGATCAGAGTGGTTTTATTGAGTAATACAAAAAAATTTCTTGTCGAGAGTTAAAGCTACGCTGGTGTTACCATCCGTCGATTCATCCTGCAAGCTCGATAATGGGATCGGTGACTCAGGACTAAGGATGAGTTTAACTGTGAAATTATCTAACAGCCTAATAGTGGGATTCCCGATCATTTCTATCGTGACTGGGGCTTCGCTTCTCAACAAGACTTTTTCATTAAAAATCTAGTGAGTTCAGCTTTTTCATTAAAAACTAGGTAAGAGAGCTTGGTGATCTGTATTCTATAATCATATTTCTCATTAGAACGTTTTTTTATAAGCTCATCGTATGCAAATGAAATTGAACAAAAGTAACAATGGCGAGATTACATTACCTTATCCAAACCTTAATTCTTCATACGATTGAAATTTAGAATACTTGTGCGTAATATGAGATGTGCAGTTGATTTTTCTTAAGATCGTAATAAGTTGAGTACTTATTTATTTATTAAATGAAAAGAGCCGATGTTAATCTTATTCAAATACAGTATACTTTATTGCATAGTTTTGCCCTGAAGCCCAATTTAAAATTCAGTAAAATTTTTTAGGGTGACATATTAAGTTATATCATATTATTTTGTGTTTCTGAACTTAAAATGTGAATAATATATAATGATTGCTTCAACATAAAATACTAGTTAAATAATTTGAAATTTGAAAATATTGATTTAAACACTGCAATTGTGTTATGTATTTGTACTTTTTTTATCAAGCGCCTTTCTTTTCAGTGCAAAGAATAATGGATATCCATAAATTATTACCTAAAGGGCTTAAGATAGAAAGTCCATTTACATGGAAATTGGACCAAAGAAATATTAAAAAATTTTGTGAAGAAAAAATCGTGCGCGATTATGAAAATTGGCCTATCTCATGTTTTATTATGATGAATACATTTGCATACATTCAATTTATGATAGGAAATAGTATTGCTGCTGAAGAATTAATTGCGAAAATCAATGCTATTTGGGATAATATTTATGAAAGGTGCTGTATAAAATAAATTTCTGATTTCTCGAAAAAAACTAACTGTTTATTGTTGTTACAGGGTTTCGGAGCAAAAAGTTTATTCCATCGATGTACTAATACACATAAAAGATGCAACAGCTTTTCATATTTATTCAATGATTGGGAAGGAAGAAAAAGCAAAAGAAATAGAAAGAAAAATAAAAGATGCGAATGATTTCAAATCTGATATTGATAAAGCTACTGTATTTGGATGTCAAGCTATAGCGACAAAACTGCTTAATGATACACATCCAGATATTTCTATAGAACTATCAAAATTAGCTTCTTCATATGCTCCTAATTGTGTATTATGGCACTATATAACTGCTGAGTACCTTAGAAAAAAAAGACGTTATGAACACCGCAGTCTATGTGTTTCAGAAGAAGAAAAAAATGAGTATCTAAAATGTTACGAACTATCTCAATCCATTGATTATGGCATGTCTGTTGCTAGAATGTACATGGAGAGTGGAAATTGGGGAAAATGTTCGGAAATTTACAATGAAATCTACTTGAAAGAGCCTAAATGGAAGAAATTCAGATTCATTCTTGCCCTATTTTTCATAAAAAACAAAGATTTTGTTAAGGCCAAAAATTGTTTGGATTACGTTAAAAACACATATCCTGCAGAAAAAAGGACTAAAACTTACTATCATTATCTAGCAAGATATTATGAAAAAACTAGAAATTATCCTGTAAGTATTTAAAAATGTCAACAATCAATAACATCTTTTGAGATTCTCTTCTTTTCAGAAAGCTAAAAAAAATTATCTGAAAGCTATTGGTGAAGCGGGTAATTTCCCTGCTGATATAGATTATTTTAATCTTATTAGAAATACTTCGTTAAAATCAAATAATTATGATGCCATTGCATACCTTGAAAGTATGTTGAAAAGATATCAAGACAACAAAAGTCTTACTATATATATCTTGTTACATATAGCAATTACTCATTTATTGGAATGCAAAAATTTGAAGGCAGCTGCTGATTATTTTTTAAAGGCGATCAAGATGAATCCTTGTGATGCACAATTTGAGGTAAAAATTAAAAGTATGTATATATAACTTTTTGATTACATCTTATTTGTAAATCGCAATTATATTTCAGAATTTTCAGTCGCGTATCACAGGTAAAAATTATTATAATATTTATGATTTGATTCGTAAAAAAATCCTTTCAGAGAATAAAAGTAGTAATGAAGATACTTTGAAGAAATTGGAAAATTATTGCACTGAATATGAAAAAAAGATCAGTGAATCGCAATCATTCAGATTCATGAACCAACAATTTTCTGATGCTTTGTTATTTGATAAACAGTAATATAAATTCAATCTATTTTTATAACTTTTTATAACTTGCTTTTTTATTCGAATATAATTCTACAACTAATAATATTTTGACTGTAAGAACTTACTCACTGAACTTACTTACTGAAATTGAAGTTTTAAAATTAAAATATGTTTAATAGTTTTAATTATTCCTAATAAATTGTAATACTTCCTTTTCCTGTTTTATTAAAATAAATTTTTTTATTTAATTATTTAAAAAAATATTATTAAATGCACTAAAAGAAGCACTAGTAAATTGTTTCTTCGATCATCTATAATACTCATAGCGAACAAAGTCGTACTATTTAAAAAAATAAAAATGTCTCGTCTATTGTAATAAATAATATTTAATCATTCATGTACCGATTGTCTTATTTTTTAATTACTGCTTGATAAAAGGACTTCCTTAATTGTACTCTCTGAGTATCAGCAACAATTTTTTTTCGTTCAAAAAAATACACATTTTTTAATAATCCCTAACATTGATCATTTAAGTTTCAATAATGGTCTCATTTTCATTAAATAGATAAATATTCGTAAGCTATTAACCATGCATTTGGAAATTTTAAATTATGGTAGAGAATTTTCAAATTCGAGTTAAAATTTACAATTGCTTAATAATTCTTCGAGTCGTAATTCAGTAAAAAATTGCAAGATTCGTCCTAATAAAATTCAAAAATTAATTGCAATCATTTTCCGTAAAAGAAATTGTCATGTGGTAAGATGTAACTTCCCTGATTCATGTACAGTTCGTACTGTACGTCATAACGATCGTCTGCATCTGCTGAGAGGCGTACGGACGGGGAAAGCACTGCGTAGCCGCAAAGCGCTCGTAGGCGGTTCGTCGCCCGACTCGCGCAATGATATACAAGCTCGCGCGTCAATTCTCGGCTCCAGCGGCCAGTCGATCTAGCTACTTGCGCTCGGAGCTACTCGCGCGTTCACCGTAGTCAATTCGCACATGCGATGCATTCGATTTTGAGATGGTACCTGCTGCTGGCCCTCTGCAGCGGGGTCGTCCGTTCGGTGATCGAACCCGAGGAGGACAACGAGATACCGCGCGAATCGGCAAGTCCGTTGAAAAACGCCAGCTCCGCTGCCACGGAGGTGGGTAAAAACGTACGCGTCGACTGGAACAAGTCCATCGTCGAGACGTACGAGACGGCCGTCCAGGCCTACCTGGACGAGGACTGGAAGGGCTGCGTGCGGGGCTTCGACGAGCTCGCCGCGAAATATCGCCAGCTCAAGTCGACGCTGATCGACTGCCGTCGCCAATGTCGCAACGAACTCGAGCAGAGCTTCAAGCCCATCTGGCCGGAGAACATCGAGGATCTGCACTTTTACGAGCGAAAGATCCAAGAGGCTCTGTGCGTGCTCAACTGCCATCAGGACTATCGCGAGCTGCCGGGACACAAGCAGGCCCTCCGGCGCGTCCCCCAGAAGTTCGAGTGGAAGCTCGTGGGCGGCGAGTACTTCGCCTACCTGCACGTCTGCTACTACCAGTTGGACATGCTCCAAGAGGCGGCCAACGCCGCCTACTCCTACCTCGTCTGGCACGCCGATCACCAGCCCAGCCGAGCGGCTCTGGCCTGGTACATGCAGATGCCCGAGGTCGACAACACGACCATTCGCAATCTGCTGGCCGAGGACTTCGTGGCCGATTACGTGGCCGGCGTCAAGGCCTACGAGTCCGGCTACTACGAGGAGGCCGTGGTCAGGCTCGAGGCCGCGGTGGCCTCCTACCTCGAGGGCGAGGAGCAGTGCCGCTACTACTGCGAGGGCTCCTTCGAGCAGAGCTGGAATCCCGACTTCGTCACCTCCGTCTCCAATCACTTCGTCTTCGATCTCAACTGCAAGCGGCGATGCTCGCGACTGCTCAACACCATCGACGGCGAGTACCGCGACGCACTGCTCGTGCAATTCTTCAATTACCTGCAGTTCGCCTACTACAAGCTCAACGAGATCGGCAGCGCCTGCGAGGCCGTCGCGACCTTCCTGCTCTTCTTCCCAGCCGACGAGACTATGCTGTCCAACAAGGCCTACTACGAGTCCTTGCCGACCGTCAGGCCGGAGCACTTCGAGCCGAGGGAGGAGCTGCGAAAGTATTTCTTGAGGCAGGAGTACGAGATGAGGCTGCTGCTGCTCGTCGAGGAGAAATTTTCACCGATAGAGGAGAGGCTTATAAAGTTGGATAAGACTCAGAATCAATGAGCGCTCATTTTCACTAATTAGCTAATTTTTTTTTTATCTCGGCTAAAATTTAAACCAGAAGGCTGGTATTTTTTTACCGTCGAGTACGTTTTGGTCACAGCTTGTACTTCGATTAAAGTCAATCGGAAAATGTTAGAAAAAATGTATTCATTCCAAATTTCTGTAAATAAGGTAAATAAGAAAATTGTTCTTGCAAACAAAGGCTGTATCGTTTAAAAGTTTCGTAAGCGAATTTGTTGCAGGATTCATTAGGAATTGTAGAGTTCGAATAAAACTATAATTTTCGTAAGAGATCTGAAATGGAATTTTCTTATGACATTACGTTACATTTTAGTGATACATATCAACTTATTTACTATATATTGAATACATTCATCCACAGTATCAAACGATCGGAATAATGTGACAATTACTTGTGATTCAAAGGGCGAAATTATATACAATTTAAACAATCTAAAAATTATAAAGTACATGAATTGAATGAAAAATTACCATGGGTTTAATTTGTAATTATTGCTCATTGATATCATTTTCATTCGGTACTCTATGATTTCAAAAATTGTATCGTTTTCGATTTAAAATCGATATTTAAATATTTAAAATTTTCAAAAAATGATTGTATTATAGTCTAAAGACTGATTCATGAATTGATTTACAATTATAATCGAAAAATTTGTTCGCATGTTGCGTCAAGGTATCTTAGCGTTAAGAATTATTTACACAAGTAAATCAAAAATTATTAAAATTAAAATGTATAATGTATTTCAAAGTGAGATTTGCCATGGAAAAATAGGATACATCTAGATATCAAAAACAAGTTTGAAATCACACTCACATTTGTTACGAATTTTTTTTCAGTCTATTTTTTTCTTTCGTTTCATTGAAACATTGGGAATTTATCCAACTAATGTTATTTTGTTACGAATGACAAATAATTTTGTATATATTTACACACTCATACACCACCTTTTTTAAAAATAAGTAATCAGTACTGCATTTCCTTACATCTGTGAATTTACGAATAAATCATAGAACAAATTGAAAAAATATTATTTATAAAATTAATGAAAAAAAAAATGTAGAACCTCGAAAGTTGAAAAATTAATCACAATTTATACAATATTTTGTAACTTTCGAATGGTTTTTCATTCATAATTATTCAAATCAATTTTCATTGGTGCTTTACCAACTGAATAGCAATAGGGTATACATTTATTCAAATAAGAATAATTTGTATTTTGAATTTTGTTTTGGTTCAAAAATGTTGCTTACGCCAATAAATGAAAAAATATTTCATAATTAAAAAGTTATTATATTGAAAACTAATATCAAAGCACCTGTATGAGCTCTTTAATTTTTTTACACACCTTCCAGTTACAAATAGCAATTTTAACTAGAAATGGCATTGCATCGTAGCTAAGGCTTGAATGCGCAAACGTTTATTTGGAAATTTATGCATATTTAATCATCACTTATGTAAAGCTTGTCATTATTAAAATTGTACATACTTGCTGCTTTAATCCAGGGAGAATAACATAGAAAATTTTTATTTCATTTCATACAAATACACGGTGAAGAAAAATATTTATTTTACATCTATAACTCACATTTGGCGCTTGACGATTAATGTTAATTTTGCTAGATAAATAGCAATTCCAACCATACTTTTCTTCACGTAATAACTTTATAACTTGGTAATTATAAGACGATAATCAAAAATTGTTCAAAGTTTATACGATTTTCTTGAACTCAGTCACAGACATACGTACACAATGAAATTATCATTTAAAACACACGACAAAACATAAGCTGTCCCTTTTATGATCGCACAACTTCACACTATAAATTAATTACATTAAAAAATTCATTTACTATAATACACCTAGTATTTTACTTAATCACCATCCTAAGATCGTTTCCTTTCTTTCTTAAGTCTTTTTTCTACGATTCCACACTCAATTTATTCGTACAGTTTTTAAATTTTTTCCGCGCAAAAATTGCATTGGAAAAAAGTGGTCAACTTTGTCATATTTACTCGAGATGCACTCTTTGATTGAGTTCAAGTGAAAAGCCAGTAGTTTGTGAACTTGTTTTCAATGTACATCCATAGGATGTACTCGTATTCATTAGCAGCTATAACTGCAAGTTTTGACTTTTCATGCGCTTTATATACCGATTCAATGTAAATATAAGCATGATTCTTTCGAACAATATTTATTGATTTTTTTAGTACCTAGAAGAATAAAATGCTTCTGATGCTTTTTCGATGCACACGGTTCGTAACGAAAAACGATGAACTAATTAGCGGCTAAATTTCTCATCTCCAGCCTTGTTCTCAGATCACGATAGCATGCGTTCGACTCAGGAAAATGATCGTCCCTTACAGTCGATCGTTTTCCATGGCGCAGGTTATCGCGAACACATTGAAATTACTCTTAAACCATTTGTCTGTAAGAAGAAATAACGTTGCACTTATTAATCATCTAAAATTAAGTAAAATTAGTTGGTAATATTCATGAGGGAGATACTCACAGTTATATCACAATAAAGGAATCATTGTTTTGAATCGTCACTCGAACGCTGTTGAAAACAGAAGTTATCAGTACTTGTTAGAAAGTTTTTTAATTGATAGAACACTATAGGGACAAGCCTTCTCTGCATGCTTACTCAATCCTTCTGCTAATATTCATTCTCAACTAATTCTGGTGCTATAATATCGGAAGGGATTCGGTCGTTCATAAAAAAAAGAAGGAAAAAAAATCAAACATAAAAAAATGGAACCAAAAAAAATTTTTTTCATCAAAAGAGTAAAATTTGTAACTCACGAGATGGAGATCTGGTATCTGAATGATTATGATTACTCGCTGCACTGTTTCGAAAACTGTTGGGGCTGTTGTCGCTGCCCGAAGTTTCCTGATTACAGTTGAGGAAGTCCCAGATAAGTATGGTATCGTCATGCGAAGACGAAACGATTTGAAATTCGTCAAATTGTAATCGGAATACTCGTCCAGTATGTTGCTGGAAAAAAGTCGAATCGTCGTCAAATTGTGAAGGCTAAGCGTGAAGATTAGTTACAAGTGAAAAACTCACCACCAATGTACGCAGGCACAGGTTCGCTGAGCTGGTTCGTGGATCTAAGGCTGCCACTAAATCCCAGACTTTGATTTTACTGTAAAAAGAGAGAAAAATGATGACTTGCTGACAATGGAGGAGAGAGGAGAAAGAGTCGAGACTAACCCGTCGTAAGCACCACTGACGATGTGTTTACTGTCGAACCTGATGCAGCGCACGAGCTCCTCGTGTCCCTCTAAAACGCGCAAGCAGGCGCCGCACTCGATGTCCCAGAGCCGTATGGTGTTGTCGCTGCTTCCACTTACTACGAGACGGTCTCTATACTGAAGACAGGCTATGCCGCGTTTATGGCCGCTGAGGGTCCGAACGAATTCGCAACTAGACGTGTTCCAAACTTTGATCGTGCGATCGCCGCTCGCTGACACAATGTACTTCTCGTCAAAGTCCACCACATTGACGGCCGCGCGATGCCCGACGAGTACGCGTCGCAGCGCTATTTCCGTCTGCGACGTCATGTCCCAAACGGCAATAGAACGATCCTGAAAGGTTCATCGATCGTGTTACAAACACAGCTTCAAAATCAGCGCGATCAAAGAGAATTGAAAGAGAAACAACGCACCTTGGAACATGTGACCATCATACCGTTGTTGAACCGTAAATGCAGCACAGCCTCGCAATGGTGTATGAGAGTACTCAGTAATTCGCCGGTATTGGCGTCCCAGACACGCACGGTGCTGTCGGACGAGCCGGATATGATGACCTTGTCGTCGTACTGGAGGCAGAGTACCGAACCCGTATGCCCCGTGAGCACCTTGACGCACTGCAGGCTGTTGCGGTCCCAGATCTTTATCGTGTTGTCCCTGAGACCCGAGACGATCTTCTGGTCGTCGTACTGCAGACAGTAGACGCCCTTGGAGTTCTCCGAGCGGCAATTGATGCGCTGCAGATTGAAGTTGCCGTTGCGCCAGTTGTTGTCGATGTTCTTGATGTCGCGCGTGATCTTCGGGAAGAGATTCCGATAGAACGTGTGGTTTGGGTGGTGCTCGCCGTGGCGCGGCTTGAACAGGTACTGGATCCAGCCCCGTCGCTCGGCCAGGCCGCGCCACACCGAGTCCGTCCGGACTTTGCGCTCGATCAGCTTCTTCCACAGCATGCCGTCGCTTATGACCCTGTGCCACTCTTTGCAGACGAGCTCGGCCGCCGCCAGCGACTCGTTGTCCAGGTACGAGAGAATCGTCTCGTTCACGTGGTCCAGTCCTTTTTCTGCGAGCAAACGAAAGATCGAACCAATCAAGTTTCATCATCATGATGAGCACCCCAAATTGCTTCAACTTACTGGGCAGTAGCGAGATGAAATCTCGTTGCAGCATCGGCTTCAGGTAGTCGTTGATGTAGCCGTGCTGGTAGTGACACATGCGCGACAGCAGCTGCTCGACGCAGTTGATTTGCTCGAAGTCGTTCCACTTTTCAAAGTACTTCATGCAGTGGTCGAGCTCCTCGTTGAATTGCGCCGACATGCTGGCGCTTGGTGGCTCCTTCTTCGTCTCGCCAACGTCGCTCAATAGCGTCATTGGAGCGGTCTGCAAGCAGAGAAATGACAATCGTTATTACTAGCTCTCCAACGACGGACAACACATTTTATCGAGCCCGTCGACTGGTTTTTTATGCGCAAAAGTGACTTTGATCGAATGCATTGTCCAGGTACCAAAAAACAGTCCAAAATCATATAATTATACAAGGCCAAGACCTAAATCACACATCGAGTTAATGTTTGTTTTTTTTTACGAGAAACGCGAGCGAGCTAAAAACCGGTACTCGGACGGAATAAAAAAGAAGATGTGCGTGTCGCCACGAACAGATGGAATCGTTTAACGAAAAATTTTGAGTGTCTCTTGGCTGTCTTTTTCATCGTCACATAGAGACGCTTTATTGTAATCAAGTTTTGAACTATCGAGTCGCTGAGCGAACGTCGAATGCTTTCGAAGGGAGAAAAAAAAGTGTGCGGGGTTGATCGATCACCGCCATCGTACGCAGGACTTGATTGGATTTTTTCATGTAAAAGTTCGCGACGGGGCGAAAATTATTACTTTTGAAAAGCCCGAGAGTCGGCCAGTAATCATTTTATATACAGGAGAAAAAAAAATAATCGCTTTTATCGAGTTATCGTCGTAAATGGGTATGCAGGACTACTACTCGTCGGGGCAGACGAGCGAGTATAACTGACACGACGACGTTGTAAGTAATATACACACATTATATACGTATACAGGCTGTATATATAAAGAAGAAGATCGATAAAGCTCTGGCGCTTGGCTAGTCTCTCCCTCGCTTTTTTGCTGCCCTCCGTCTGCCTCGCGCGCGTTGTTTTTTTCCTTCCTCTCTTTTTTTTTTTGTTGAATCATATTTTTCTCCAACGACGACGACGACGACGACGACGACGACGAAATGGTTTGCGAACAGGGGTAAGAAAGGCGCCGCGAGTTGTATTTTTCCACGTCGCGTGATATTTGGACTGCTGCTAAAGCCGACGATGCCGCGCGTTGAGCTTCATGTATCGGAGCAACGTACGCGATTATTTCCTCTTTTGCATTACCGTAAACGCGCAACGATCACGTCGCGATCAGCTCTTCGTACACGGACGCACATGTACGCGGAAAAAAAAGCGCCAGCGGCAAAAAACTAGTTGATACCATAACGTCACGATTGTAATTGGCGGATACTACGCTAGTTCGACTCATTTTTTTTCCGCGTTTTTATTGAAAATTTTTCCCGATACACGCGCAATATGTTCTACTTTTTTCATATTCGTCATCTCTTACGTTTGCTCGTTATTGTTTTATCTTTTATTTCTTGCGTTTCTTTTTTATTTTTATCGCTGCGCATCCACACACCGAGTGCGGATCGTTGCGGCGGATGCACTTATTAAATTTTTTAATGAAAAAAAAAAAAAAAAAATACGTACGACTGGTGCGCGGTGCGTTTCAATGGCAGGTTCGAGTTGCGGGTGCGATATCGAGTTGCCATTGAAATTAGTTAATGACGGATTTACGCAATAGGTGTATATGCCGAGCCGGCTTATCGATACGACTGTTGCGCAACGAGCCCCTCCGATATTTATACAAATACGAAAAATATTACACGCCAAAGCCGTGCAACTTGTCTTTTATGTCAATGCATACGGAGCGCATCCGGCTGCTGCTGCTGCCACTTCTCTCGCTGCTGAGCAGCGTAGAAACAACTCAAAAAAAAAACCACGACGATCGAACTTCTTCTCGGGGATTACAGTTAGAGCAACAATCAGCCTCGGGCTTGACTTTTTATGGCCAATTATAAAAGGGAGAGAGAGAGAGAGAGAAGAGAGGCGGGTTATATTGCAGCGCGCAGCAGAGAGAAAGAGGAGAAAAAGGATGCGCTCGTCGAGTACGTATCGAGCTTATACGGCCGAGCGTAGTTTTCCGATTATTTTACGCGGCGGTAATAAGTTTGACGAGGAAAATTTCATCGGAATTGCAGCTACAAAGAGTACACGCTGTTTCATTACCCGTCCATACATAAAATATTCGGAAATTACGACGCAGCTGCATTTTAGGCTTCATTGATTTATTTAAAAATTTTCATCGTTTATAAATTTCCGCCAAACTGCGACACACGGCTCCGAAAGAAAAGAGTTGGCACCGCCGAGGCGCGATCGAGTGTCTGGGGAGACTGTATACGAGTTTGAGAGAGAGAGACTGGATGCTGCTCGCGTCACGTTTTGCCCGACTCGGAGAGTTTCTTGACCCTGAACTGTGCCTATGGCGCACTCGTCATATATGTACGTTATAACACGCACGGGGTGGTGCGTATGCAGCAGCGACTCACGGATATCGTCGGAGTTTTCGGGCGACGCGCGATAAACCGCGCGTGTATAGTGCATACGAGTCGTCGAGGAGTATCGTACGACGAAGAAAAGCAGCTCGAAACGGAGAATCGAGACGTAATATAATATTTCGTACGTGACGCGTGGATAATATAATTGACGATGATTGTCCGCTGCACCGAAGAAGTATAAACAGAGTACGAGGCGCGCGGACACGTGTACCGTTACATAGATTACGCGGCTGTTATATATGTGTAATAAAGCCTCGCGATACATGCGCGGATTCGCGGTAAGTACGCAACAACGGCAACGAAAAAAAAAGGCGCAACGTTTTAACGCTGCGCACCGAAGACTCTTACGTTTCATTTCCTTCTCTCCTCGGCGGCAGGTATTTCTTGCGCGCACTGCTCGGTGCATTAGCGCGATGCGTATCTCAAATATTTATTATATATAAATATAATATAGCCGAGTCGAGAGAAAGAAAAAACATAGAACGGCGAGTCAATAACGATAATTTGCAAGCGCGATAATTGTCCAGGCAAGTGCACGTATTCTCTTATCGCTGACCGACGCATACACTACGATTCATTATTGTTGCTTTTTTACTTCTATTCTTGACGAGAGCGTAACTCTATTATTGTCATTGAAATCACCGAGTCGCTGTCACCTTATCCTCTTTTGTTTGACCAAACTTGAAAGGTCGATGCATCGCTCTGCACCATCGGGAAAAAGTATATATGAGCTTTGCGAGAAACTCGAGAACGAATATTGGACATTTGACGAGAGCGATTATGTAAACAGACGTTATAGAGTTCGATGGAAAATTAGAGAGAAAAAAAAGCAACTGCTCGCGTCGAGGTTCTCTCTCTCTCTCTCCCGAGTGCGCGGCGCAGCTTTTATTCGTGGAGATGATGTACTTACGGGGGGAGAAAAAAAGCTGCGATCTCGAGTTGCGAAACAAAACAAAAAAGTCGAAAGTCGATCGTGCTTTTCGAGTGTGTGTGTGTGTGTGTATGCGGCGGACAAAAATCGACGAGTGCACATCGAGTGAACTTTCACGCGCGCAAGAAACTTCGCATAGGTTCATCGGGCGATACGAATCTTGTTTACTCGGGACGCTCGACTGCCTCCCCGCGGCGTGGAATAAAAATCACATCGGATCGTAACGGAGAAGACGCGTCAATCTCGCGTAAGCGGCATGGACATCATCGATACTTATTCAACGTGACATCGCGCGTAAAATTCAACACCTCGAAGCGTGGACAATGGGACCCGACCTCGCTTCGTGCGCCATATCTATATAATTACGCAACGCCGATGAAATTTTGCGCTTGACATTTTCAATTTACGTAAGATAAAGCAAGCCACGCGCACGGTTATACGCTGGAAAATCGGCTCGCCGCTACTGCCCACGTGTCCAAGTACGTGCTGATCGCGGAGCTCTCGTACGTATTACGCAAAATTAATAATTGCAATTGTCGAGGATCGGTCGAGCGCGCGGCCTCACGCGCCGTATTATACATATCCACGCGCATGCAGTCCAGTTTTAACGAGATGCGTAAGAGCACGTATCCGATCTCGATGTGTGTATACATAAAATTTGAATTAGCTGCGAATATATAATGCGTAGCTCATAATGCACACAGAAGAGAAACTTTGCTCGTCGGGAGAGAGAGAGAGAGAGAGTTAACTAACGCCGCTGCTCTCGGCTTAATAGAATGCGCCAATGCAATTTAGCGCGCATGCGATAAGAATGGAAAGTACATTCGTAATCGCCGCTTCGTATATTTTTCTTTCCTATATACGATATATTTACCGAACTACACTGCCACTGCCGTAGTTAGTATGCGTAGCTTGGAAGGACCATGGAATCGCCAATGCGAATCTCGCGCCCTCGTTTGCCGTTATCTGTTTGTTCGGCGGCCGACTCTTACCTACCTACTTTGCGCTTGCAGCCGGAGGAAAGCTTAAATTCTTTTTTTTTTATTCGTTCGAGCGAGCCAACGAGTAAGCCAACAAAACATTTTGAAAAAACGAGGCGACGGATCGCGTCACGCTGAAATTCGGCCTTCTTTCCGACAAAAAATTGTCTCGCGCCTTTCGAAAATCATGCGAAAAGCTGCCCTTTCGACGCGCTGCTATTCGCATCTACCTGCAGATCCAAGTCCCTCGCGAATCACTTGGATCGAGAGTAGCGAGTTTTGCACATCGATTGCTCCAAATCAGTAGCGGTGCACGCCATTAATCCGAGTTTTAAGTTCGTACGGCAACTGTTACAGACAAGCAAGCCCATGTTTACAGTACTTTCACTTGCAAAAAGTCGCCGAGATATAAATCATCGTTCGACGAGTTTCGTATGTATACTTGGTTGCTGCAGCGCTGCAACGACGTCGGGCGCAGGTTAAAGTTGCAGTGCAGTAGTCAAAAGACGGCCGCATGATTTACGCAATATAATATGCTCCGTAGGCTCTCTGGCTTATGGGAAAACGGCGCTCGCGCGAGGCCCGTTATCCAATGCTAATGTCACTTTATAATGTCGCCCGCCTAATGGTTTATATACACCTAGATGTGGTAGTAGCGCGGCGCAACTTTTCCCAAACTTGGCGATTTATAACGCGTATCCAGGTATGTTTGCGCGCGCGAGGCTGTATAGCTGGCTGACTTTCCCCGCGCACGAATTCGGATTATAATTCAAATCGGGACTACGTAGGACTTTTGCAA